ATTCGCATTCATTGAGTAAGGGGCAGTCACAGCGCCGCCACCTTGAGTTGGAATCTGCATGAGCTGCATTCCCAAAAACTTGCATCATCTGATTACCTGTAGTAGTACCAGCAATTCGCAAAGGTGTGTTAACTGGTTAAGAAGAAAGTTGGCAGTTCTACGGCTGGTCTTAAGCAGGCCACTAAGTCAAACTTGCCCAAGCACGTTTGTTCACTTTCAGCAGCCAAAGCAGCGTCCTCAAAAGCCAACCCCACAGTCTCAGATTCATGTGGATACAACTCAGATGGAGGGCGATACTACTACATCCGTTTTCCCAGGATGAGAGCCTCTCATCTCTGACAGCGGCATCTCCGGGAGGAGTACACTCGTTTTTCCTTCCTTCTCCAGCTAGCAAGTCTGGTAACAGCAGATCTGCTAAGTTGCCTTCTTTGGTCGGCCGTGGAGCCCCTTGCTCCGCAGCAGGGCCATGAGAGGCCCCAGGTTGTCTGCCGCTAGGTCACGGTGTGCAGGCAGAAGAACTCAAATTAGTTGCCCGTCAAGTGTTGTTTCCCACGCTTCACTTGACAAATATTTAAGTTCTCTTCCACCAGGAGACTGCCCCGGCGACGACCATTGCTGTCGCTCTTCACTAGCTACTCGTGTTACTTTCCAGAACGTTAACGACGTTCTGGAGGGAGGTGACCATGTGAAAAGCGGCAGATCAACTCCTGGCTGCAAGATGAACGAGTGGGAATCGCGTTGTTGGCAGAGGCCAAAACGTATTGGCCCCCTATCCCAGAGGGTCACGGGTGGAACGATAGAATGCGTCAGGCGACTATGAAGGCAAAGCAAAAAGGTTTTTATTCGGCTGTCGCTTATAATAAACAGCAGTCACAATCCTTTGGCTACTACAGCCTTTCAATGGGGAGGATGCAATGCGACAGTGCTCAGCCAGGTCTCGCATTGAGCTAAAGAAGGAGAAAGTGATGCAACAAGGCTGGGCGTTGGGCTCACGTTCGTCTTCAAGGGAGGAAGCTTAAGGCCCGCAGGGGGGATGATCACTCCGGCTCTGTGATCGCCGCAAGGAAGTGGTCCAACGCCCAATTTCACATGATCTAGTGTTGGACGGGGCACATTTCCCAAACAGTCTCTGCTTGAAAGTAGATGTTGTGCCCAATCTTGTGATTTGTCTATTTACATACTCCTTTTCGCAATACAGGTATTGCTGATGGAACAGGCATGTGAGCTGGTTTCCTTCGTCAACCTTCCTGTTTCCTTTTCTAAGAGAATCGGTTTCATCAACCGCAGAGGCGATACAAAAGGGCATGATATCTCTGTATCAGATCAGCAACAGTATGGCCCGTTTGTTGCAACCGTTCGATATCTATCTTCAGATGGAAAGACACGTGTGTGTCGGAAGCATACTCTATTCCTTTGTTGTATACCATATCAAGAAACTCTTTCATGTATTTGGGTGAGGTTGGTGCACTGTATCCATCAAATCCATGTATCCACTCTGCTGACTCTGTAAAACGATGCCCACCCAATACATCGACAGTCTCTGATACGCTAAGACCATTGTCCCAAAAGAATGAGGACATCATTATATCTTCTCTGGAATCAATAGACTCAGCATAAAAGGTGTCCATCCCTTTTGTTCCCCAGAAGTCGATTGCGGCCCGATTCAATATGTACCCACCTCCACCCGCTATCACTGGAAAGCGTTTGTGAATCATAGGATCACCCCAAATCAAAGGTCTAGGCCGCAACGACGAAGTGTGAAGGGCGCGTGCTCGATACTGTGGCAAGCTGGAAATCGCATCCAGGAACCCATCTTCCAGCTCCTCAATCCTAGAGTCTTGTACAAAGGCTCGCAAGTTATCTGCTATGACATATGTATCATCACCACAAATATAAAAGTAATCGTATTTGTCACGGTAGTGGTCGTACGCATAGGACCACATGGTTCGCACTTTTTGCCACATGTTGGTGTAACTTTCTTCACCGAAATGGGGCAGATCAATAGCCCCAATGGTAGGGTCTGTGAAATTGCTCGCGGCAAAGAAGCCATCACATCTTTTGGCCCACGTCCGGGTAATTGCTCTGAGGCTTGTATGAGGATTGGACTCAGTGTGTACCGTGTACACCATGCAAAGAATTCGAGGGGTAGTCTTGTTGTTAGCCGACGTAGTTGCCTGTAGTTGTGGAACCTTCCCTTCCGCCACGTTGTTCTCTTGACGCATTTGATCAAGACCTTTCCGAATCTTTTTTAGCACAAGGTTTCCGCCTTCTCCTTCGATTCCAGAAGCATCATTTGGCGTGCAAATGGAGGTGTTGGATGAGTCAATAGCCGGCAACTCCTCCATTCTCTCCATGAGGAAATCCAAGTTGACCACGCAACCAAGGCGGCCAGACTTGTCCCTTGCACCAAGATGCGGATGGGACAAGTTTGCGGTATTGAATCGCGAAGAGCAGTAATTAATTTGCTTTATACGTTGAGGAATGCCGAACAATTCACGATGGACAAAGCCTGGTCCATCATGTTGTTTCCATATTGAGAACATGTTGTACTGACACACCATCACGATTAAATAGGAGATGCAATGGGTCGCCGACAGCTTTGAAGCCTGGCGTTTCTTGGACTTTAGTTTCACCTTCAGCCTCATGATAATGGTGATGTCGGCCTTGGTATCGGATTCGAAGTCATATAGTAGGCAGGTTGATAGGTGATAGTTTTCTCAGGATGGTGATGCAGGAGGGAAGCGAAAGCTATCGCCAACACGAGAATATATATATGCGGTAGGGATGCGCGATGAGAAAAACGCGGGACCGACAGTGTGACGACATGATTTGCGACAAAAGGGTTTCCGTCTGTACGTCCCCTGATCCATTTCATTTCCCAGTCCACCAAATTTCGTGGCATCACAAAATCCACAGAAAAACACAAATCTTGCAACCATGGTTGCGAAACAACAAGACAGTTCCCTTCTCGGAACTTCGTTTCCTCGTGGTGGGGTTGAAGAACGCCGTCAGAAGCATACTGAAGAAGCAGAAAATGAAGATGCTTCCAAGAAGAACTACAAGCGAAAAATGAAGGCCCAAGCCGAGGAGACGGATTTCTTGTTTGGAAAGAAGGAAACAGGTGATGTGGACAACAAGAAGCGTTCCAAAAAGCGCAAGACCTCTACGGCCGTGGAAGGAGCACTGAATGCCCAGTCTATGCTACCAATCGGTGGAGGAGGTGTAAGTCTTGCGTCCACTTCTGGCAAACAAAAAAACAAGACATCTGCCCCGACCATCGAGGCCTTGGGATTCAGCAAGCTTGCCAAGAATACCAAAGTTTTAGCAGTTGTGAAAGAGGTGCAAGAAGAATTTGCAATCTTCAGTATGCCCAATCTTCTGAATGGCTACATGCTGCCAATCAAGAAATCAGGCAACCTCGAAGAATATTCGCTTCCCCGATGCCTTCGCGTTGGACAAACCATGGCCGTTTCCATCCAAAAGGTCGTCAAGGAACAGGTTTCTGGAGGTACTGTTCGCAAGCGCATCCAAGTATCAGCTTTGCCACAAATGGTAAATACCAAAGATGAGACTGCCTTTGGTAAACCGCAACTTCCAGTTCGTGGGCAGATAATATCAATTGAAGATCACGGGTGTCTCATTGATTTGGGATTGGGTCGACGGGGATTCCTTTCTTTTGATAAGATCCAAGGAGAATACACCCTAATGGATGACGACGAAGAAGAAGAGGATAGTGACAGCGAGATGGAAGGCGAAAGCGAGAGCATCAAGAAGAAGGAAAAGCACATTTTGTCAGCTGGCCGACTAATGGATTTCTTTGTTGCTGACGACAGCAACCATGGTAGCAGCAAGACAAGCGTTTACTCGTTGAAACTTCCTACCCGAAGGAATCTGGCTCATCATTTCGTGACTCCTTTGGCAAATGCGCAGTCGACACCTTACACCCTGGCCAGCATTACACCCGGTTGGCTTGTTAATGCCAAGGTGGAAGCTGTTGCAAAGAATGGATTGTGTGTGACATTCTTGAACAATGTCTTTCGTGGGTCCATTGAATTGGGGCATCTCGGTGGATATCACATGCCTCCAACTTCCAAGGAAACAAATGCAATTGGAAACAGCAGCAACAAAGAAGAAATGTGGAGGAAACTCTTCCGCAAATATCAGCACTTTCCGGCAAGAGTCATTGCAGTCGATGCGCCCACCAAGTTGATTCGGCTGACACTCATGCCGCACTTATTGCAATACGAATCGGCGGCGGTATTGTCAGCGTCCCTTCCAAGCGTCGGCTCCATTGTGGAGAACTGCACAGTGGTTCGAACAGATCCCGGGATTGGAGCCCTACTCACCTTGCCTGAAGAACATTCTGCTGAATCTCCCGGTATCCCCAAGAAACTGTTCAAGTCGTCTGAACTCTTTCAAGCGCAAGAATTTCAGGATGCTGCCTGTCTCAAGGCCGTCTACGTTCATATTTCCAAGGCACTTGATGGCGACAAGAATGATCAGTCTGCGTCTGTCTTTGGAAAGGAATTTGCCCCAGGCACCAGCCATTCTGTTCGCATTTTGGGCGATGGAAATTTGGTCGAAGGAGTTGCTTCGGGAGCATGCGCTCCTTCAATTCTCGAGTCTCATGTCCTGACACATTCAGATCTGAAACCAGGACAGCTTTACAAGCAGGTACCTGTTATTGCCCAACTGAAGGGTGGCAGTATACTTGTCCAGCTTGGAATCAACGGGATTCGAGCTTTGATTCCTCCAATGCACCTGTCAGAATCGAACAGCACATCGGAATACAGAAAGAAGATTCTGAAAACCAAATACGCTGTTGATGCAAAGGTGGATGTTCGCGTGTTGTACGTGGATCCCATCCGAAAGAAGTGTACGGCCACTGCCAAGAAGTCTCTCGTCAAGGCGCCTGAATCTGAAATTGCTACGTCCTATGAAAGTCTTAATCTTGGTGACAAAGTGACTGGTTTCGTTTCCAAGGTCGAACAGAAATGCATGTACGTCACCTTCTTCAACAAGGTATATGGTGTTGTGACAGGAAGATCACTGGCAACAGAAATGGGAATGGAGAGTATCGAAGACAACTATTCCGTTGGCGATGTTGTCACATGCAGAATAGCAAAGTTGCTAAAGAAGACCTCTCGACGAAGGTCCAATGCTGTCAGCGATGAAGTAGAGAGCGACGAAGAAGATGGACAAAGAGCGTATTGGGAGGTTACGTTAAGTGTGTCAGTGGAGAATGAAGAGGCCGGACATGACGAGAATCAAGAAGACTTCATGACCCTCAGTAAGCCAAAAGAAGTGAAAATCCAAGCAGGAAATATTCTTCCATCCAAGTCCATGAAAATTGTGGAACTTTTTAAGGGAAAGCGGAAAGAAAAGGGCTCCTTCGTACCAGGTTATGCCATCGTCAGCATTAAATCTAAGTATTTACTTGATCCCTCCGACGAAGATGGTATGGTCGGAAACTTGGAATGCAAGCTGCCTTTCGATCAGCTTTTGGACGAGTATTCTGCTGACGACATCGAGTCCGTGGAGGCTTTGGATGCGCTTGCACAAAGCGCCTTGAAAATCGGAAAGAAGATTAATCAAAAAGGGATCATTTTAACAGATCCTCATAAGTCAAATGTTGACTACTCAAGTGGAATTGGAAAGCTACCAGTTGTTTCGATTCGCAAGAGTTTCATTCAAACCGTCGAGAGCCAAACGTCTGAAAACGAGTCGAGGGCAGAAAACTTGATTTGCCCTTCCCCAAAGACAACCTTATTCGTGGGAGCACTACTGCAAGGATATGTTGCTCAAATTGACCACAGGTATGGTGCTTTCGTCCGCTTCTTGGATGGACTTACTGGTCTCATACCGAAGAAGAGTGGTGGCATGGACATGCCACTCTATGAGACTGTTGTGACAAAGGTCAAGGCAATTGATGAAGGCAAGGGCCAAATGCAGCTCCAGCCTATCAACCCTCCATCAAGTGCGAAACAAAAGGCTCGATCAACGTTACCAGTTAAGGTTGGTGATCATGTGGATGTAAAGATTGAAAAGGTCGATTTCTTTGCGGTGACTGTTCGAATCATGGATTCTGGTATTGACGACGAGAAGACGCAAGCGATTCTACACTGCACAATGAAGGATTCTGCACTGAAAAAGATCAAGTTTCACAAGAAACCAGTGGTAAACGACTTGGAAAAGATAGCCAAAGGACACCCTTTCCATGGACTTAAGGCTGGCCAAGTGCTTCCCCAGTTGACCGTTGTTGTGGCAAAGCGACATCGAGGAAAGTTGCAAGTGTACTTGACAGATCGCAAATTGGACTCGTCCAAGGAAAAGCCTGCTTTTATATCCGAGCAGTCTGAGCTCACTCCTGGAACTAGCACATCTGTTGTGGTGACTGGCGTGGCCCCAAACAACAAAGGTCTCTATGTTGATGTTAGTCCATTTGTCAAAGGCTTTGTACCTGGTCTGGAAGTCACAAAGGACATCAAGATTTTGAACAACTTGTCATCACAAATCTCTATTGGATCAAAGATCGAGTGCTCCGTCGTGGATCAAAGCCAATGGGAGGAAAACAGGGCCAAGAACTCAAACCACAACACGAAGACAACTACAAAGTCAAAACCTCTATTATTTTCAGTGCTCGCAGAAGAGGGAGATTCCGAAGTCACGAAGCCTACTCGTGGCGGTTTGATTATCGGTCGTGTTCAGCGGAGTTTGAAACAGGCCCAATCCCCTGCATTAATGGTTGCTCTTCGCGGCGGCTTTGTTGGGCGATGCTGTATTACTGAACTTGACGAAAATGACGACTGGGCAAACATGCCAATTGGAAGAATCCGAGAAGTGAAGAAAAGCGTCAAAGGTGCCGACGAAGATGGCGGCGACATGGAAGTTGACAAAGAGCCCAAAGAGACTGAAAATGACAGTGATGATGACAACGAAGAGAGGTGAGTTACATTCGGTAAAAATCGCATTCTTATTTCAAGCGCACAAGTGGAACGGTTGGTCGTCTTCGTCGCCTACTGTGAAGCTCGCCTTCGGGTGATTGTGCAAATACTAAGTTGGTTGTTGGTGTGGAGAGGCATTTCGCTATCTACGAAAAGTCGCGATGAACTACCTCCTACAATTTATAGACGTTTCTCACAGTTTGATTATTTGTGACACAGTGACAGCGAGTTTGCTGATGGAAAGTATGTTGAATGCAGAGTCTTGAAGGGCGTCCCAAAACATTCTCTTGTGGATCTTAGTCTACGAAGCAGCCGTATTGAAGGAGATCTGGATGACGATACAGCACCTCTCGAAGGCGAAACCGTTCGTGCATATGTCATCGAGACGAACAAGAAAGGCTGCTTCCTCCGTCTTGCTCGTGGAATCGAAGGGCGTGTGACTCTGAAAGAGCTATGTGATGGCTACTTGCCTGACCCAGCGGCTTCTTTCCCTACTGGTCGATTGGTTGTCGGTAGAGTCAAGACTGTCCGCGAAGCCCCGAAGAAGAAAGGCAAACACGCTATCAATCCTGTCAAGTTCCTTGTCGATCTGGATATGAGAGAGTCGACCTTGTTGGATCAGAAGAAACTTCTCACATTCGATGATATTACAGTGAATACCAAGTACAAGGGTACTGTTGCGCGAGTCGAAAAATATGGTGTGTTTGTGCAAATCAAGGATAGCAAGGTTTCTGGACTTGCTCACATGAGTGAATGCAGCGACAAATATATCAAGAATCTTGGAGGATTGTATGACCCTGGTGACCTTGTCAAGCTTTTGGTCACCAAGAAAAATGCTGAAAACAAGACCTTGGGATTCAGTCTCAAGGCCAGCCATTTCAAAGATGACGAAGACTCTGACGACTCATCAGTGGAAGATGACGACGAATCGGTTGATGAAGAAATGCTGGATGCTGAAGGTCTGGATTCTGATGATGAGAACTTCGGCGCCAAGCTTGCGGCGAGAATTCAACGAGATGGAGATTCCGATGACGATAGCTCCTCCGCAGAGGACTCGGAAGAAGATGACGACGACGACGAGGAGGAGAGCGTTGCATCGCAGGATGACTCCTCGGAAGAAGAGGATGAATCGCCCGAGGTGCTGATGGATACTGATGTTGGTTTTGATTGGAATGCCAAGGGCCTTGTTGGAAAGTCAAAGTCAGATCGCGCTGATTCTTCTGATGATTCGGAATCTGACAGTGATGATGACTCAGACGATGAGGATAACGAAGGCATGGCATCCACTCACAAGCCTCGCAAGAAGCAAGCACAACGCCGACGAGAAGAAAAAGAAATCTCTCGCCGTGAAATGGCTCTTGCTGATGGGACTGCTGACGAGAACCCCGAGACAGCTGGTGACTTCGAACGTTTGCTCGCAGGTAACCCCAACTCATCGGAGTTATGGATCCGTTACATGGCCTTTTATTTGTCCTTGGCTGATATTCCTTCGGCACGCAAGGTTGCTGAAAAGGCTGTGGAAAGAATAGAGTTTCGACAAGAAGTTGAAAAGTTAAATGTGTGGACCGCCCTTTTGACACTGGAACACAAGTACGGCAATTACGATTCGTTACAAAAGACAGTGGATCGAGCTTGCAAACAATGTAACCCCAAGCATGTATACTTGCGAATTTGCGAGATTTTGGTCAAGGATGTTGCGGCAACCTCCAATCCCGAGTCTGTGGTTCGCGCCAATGCCATGTTTGTCAAGATGTGCAAGAAATTCAAGTCGAAGAAGAAGGTCTGGTTGGCCCACTTGGAGTATTTGCTGCAAAATGGACGCCACCAAGAAGCTCATTCTTTGATGAAGCGAGCTTTGCTTTCGTTGAAACCCTACAAACATGCCGAGACCATGTCAAAGTTTGCTCAACTCGAATTTGAATTCGGCTCTGCAGAACGTGCTCGTACAGTCTTTGAAGGCATTGTGGATAGATTCCCCAAGCGTTTGGATTTGTTTTTCGTCTTTGTTGACAAGGAAATAAAGCATGGTACTGTATCCCGTGCCCGCAATCTGCTTGAAAATAAGGTGGCCGAAGGCAAGCTGTCTGACAAACAAATGAAGAGTCTTTTCAAGAAATGGTTCCGTATGGAGGAAGCCCATGGCAGTGCCGAGGAACAAGATCATGTCAAGGAAACTGCCCGCGAATACGTCGAGAAAACAACGCAATAAAATTTAAGCAAATTATCAAAAGATGTTTCAAAGTAGTATCACTTGCAAATGGGTTTTCGTGGTGCGATCAAGTGGGAAATGAACATTGAAAATTCAAAATGTTTGGAAATTGTGGAGGATTGGAGAAAAGGGATAAGTGACAAACAAAAACCGCAAAAAGAAGCATGTCGGTGAAACCATTTTCCAGTAAGAAAGACCCATCTCACGTCATATCCCCTCTATTGCATTCGAAAGCAGCTGACCAGCCGTTCCATACAGTATTTCTAGCGATTGCATACAAACACTCCACAGTCCTCTTGTAGCACAGATATCGATCCTCGCGCTCCTGCTAAAACCCAAACGAAGAACTTTCACGACTGCCTGACTGACTCTTTTCAGAAGGATGCCAATTGCCAACGATGCCAGCCGAAAGGTAGTCTTCTTTGCAGGTCCTCACAAGGCTGCAGCCACTAGTGTAGAAGAGTGGTTTTACAATTACTATACCAAGGAAGACTCGGATCATTTTGCTCTGAGACACTGGAAATGGCCCATTGTGGAAGGACCCAAAACAGATCAATTGGACGAACCCTGGAAAGTCTTTCAAGAACTCGTTCTAGCACCAGATGACTTGGAAATGAAGGAAGAAATTATGGTTTCCATTCAAGAGACCTTTGATGAATCCCATACGGGCATCATTTTGGGAACTGAAAGCTTTGATCAAGTAGGAAGGTATTCCAAGGGAGATGCCACAAAGGCCATGAAGGACATATTGCAACGCTTGGGAGTGTCCGACAAGGAAGTCACGGTCGTCATCAACTACCGATCGCCTCGTCTCGATCAATGGATTTCCGTTTGGAAGCACAGTGGGGTTCCCAGCTATAGGAGTTTCATGTGCGATAGTCAAGACCGCCACCAACTAAGAGAAGAACGAATTGAACAGCTTTCGACCCTCATGGACCCTCTCTACATGGCACAGACATTTGTCAAAGAAGGATGGGATGTCCGACTCATTGATATGGAAGGTGTTGATAGAGCGAATAAAGATATTGTCAATGTGATTGCCTGTGATATCCTTGGGGGCAAGTGCCTCATGAAAGATAGCATTGTCTACGGACATCGCGGCGACGAAACCCACTTTAATGTTGAAGACAAGGATTTTAGAGAACTCACTGCGGAGCAACGACACGAGGCTGATAAACTGTTCCGAGCACGTGATTGTGCCTTTGAAGAATATCTGAGCAAACATCCCAAATTTGAAGTGGGATATCAAAACAATCTTTGGAGCGATTGCGACAAACAAGACTTGGGCAGAGAAGATGTCTTTGTCTATCTCGCTGGTATGCCTCAAGCCATCTATTCTGGTCTGGTGAATCAATTCAACTGTTCCGAAGAAGGATTGACCATTGACGAACTCTTGGATGGGGAGCATTTGGAAAATTTGACACCAGAAGACGTATTTGCGGATTCCAAGGCCTCCAATTTCTTCACTATTATCATGTTGCCAATACTTTGCATACTTGCCATTGCGTATCAAGTGATGAAGCGTTCGAAGGATGATATTGGCGACGGAATTGTCATGGGGAATATTCGTCCAAACATGAGTGGCGCCAAGGAGAAAATGAGTGATGCTGGTAAGAAAATTAAGAGCAAGTTGAAGCGAAAGGACATGTATCGGGACGAGTTCCGAGACAGAAGGGGAATGACAGTAAATGAAATGTCTGAAGTCTTTGCGGATGAAGATTGGAAGATGAGCGTGGATGACGACAATCAGTTCTCGCTCTTCTCCAAGAAGAAGGGGAATCCTACCAGTCTTGATCTGACAATCTAGGGATTCATTCCTTGACTCACTTGATTCAAGGAGATTCATTCCCAAGCCAGTGTCGGTCACAGGAACGGCCGGGAAATAGAAATTTAGCATACAATTCTTGTGAGTAAATATTGATTTTCCCGGCCGTCCCACAGTATGGTAGTAATGACCGATCAAAATCTCGGACAATAAGGCTACGTCCAACAAAGCAAGCCATGAGAATAGAACAAAGCCGTAACGAAGTAATGTATAGTCTGTATTCTAGTTTCATTTGCTTTTATGGGTTGCGTCATCAAATGGAGAAGAGATTAAACCGCCGAAGTCTTCTGGTGGTGTGCTTCAGTTCCATACCACATGTAAATCTTGGGGCGCGCGTAAGGAATTGGCCATTCGTCAGAAATAGGCTGCTTCTGACGCCCGTGTTTCTGTCCAATGATCTGAGGGCTTGTGTTGGGGACTCTGATGCTCTTCAGTGGCACATGCTTCCATCTGCGAATTGCTTCGAAAATACGAATGGAACTATTAATGTCTCGGACAGCACTCTTTTCTAGTTGCAAAGAAACACTTTCCAACCGAACATAGTACTGGGAGAGGACCCGACGGGATCGGGCCAGAGCATTGCGGGGAGTCCAGACTTGGTCTGGATCATCAGGTGAAGGCGCTGCTGCTCCACTGGCAGTAAACTGGTAGAAACCAGAATTAGTTCCAGAGGAATAGGAATAGGGCAAATTCAGCATGGCTAGAGTCACCCCTTCCATACAATCCGGAATGACGCTGATGGTATAGCCACCCTCGAGGGCAGAAAGGATAGGCGTATCGGGACCAACAGCTTCAATGACTGCTCGAGTCATTGCATGAAAGAAGCCTGGTGTCAGGCAGCAGTCGCCTAAGAGATCACCCATTGCTGCATCCAATCCACAACTGATAATGACCAAGTCAGGTTGATAGTCAGTGATCAATGGTAGTATAAGCTCGTAGAAGGCTGCACCATATTCACGATTTCCCATTCCACCTTTTGACCAGGCAACATTCAGGTTCAGACCCCTGGCTTTCCCATTCCCCACATCTCTTGGGGATCCAGTGAATGGATAGAAAGGATGCTTTGGATTGTACCGGTGTAGGTCTACCCGAAAAATATTTTCATTTTCAATCGTGCCTTCAGCAGTGGCATTACCATCGTGTATGTCCCAATCCAAAATGAGTACTTTCTTAGCTTTTTTATTGGCGAGTGCGTACTTGGCTGCAATAACGACGCTATCGATGAAACAAAACCCCATTTCTTTGGACTGACAAGCATGATGACCTGGTGGTCGTACCAGTGCTAGTGCTTTGTTGGGCTTCGCATCGAATCTGAACTGGTGGCTATGACTACCTGTTGCCGTTGAGCCCATGTGCTCTGAGGACGAAGGGGAGGAGCAAATGGCATCGATGCACTCCAATAGTCCTCCAGCCGCCAAACGAGCAGCGTAGAAGGATTCTTGACAGTAGTACATGTCGCTTTGGGTGTCATTTGACATTTCTCTGAGCTCATCGTCAGTTTGGAATTCAAGCTGATGCAATCGATCGTATTGAGATTCACTGTGTGCGAGAAGAACTTCTTCCTTTGTGGCCTTTCGGGCAATGAGCTGCCTGTACAAGCTACCGTTGCATCCCACCAGCCGCTGATTCAAGGCGCACAAACGATTGTAAAGTACCTTAATTCGTTCTGGATTCTCAATGGGGTAGTCATTTTCGGCCTCATCACGGTATCGTGGGAAGACAGCGGGTTCCTTCCAATCGAGAGGTCGATGCTGCAACATTCGTTTGTCATAGAGCAAATGTATTGGTTCTGCATGCAGAACGTTCTTACTGTGGTGGTGCATGATGTTGTATTTTCTGTTGTTTTGCAATTTATGAACTAATTCCTGATGTCGGAGAAAATTGTGAAGTTAGAGCCTGCCGGAACGGGTTACTTAGGAATTCCCCAGGGTTCGCATCCGTGACGTTTCGACAGATCAGATCTGATCATACTCCAATGATGTACTAATAAAGTACCTTGGTACCGCGCAACATTCTGGCCGAAAGACAGTAGTAAATGGGTAAATGGGGCTTGTTTCTGTATTATAGTCCTTAGAATCTATTTGCAAATATTTCATACCATGTAATGCCGTTCTTGCTCGATGTCCATTGTAAAAGTCAGCAGCCTTCCAAGGTTCACCATCTACAAAGATTCTAAGAGTTGGATGGGCTCGGATTTCTTCCTGTTCATTGGGGGATCCGTTTGGTCACGTTGTGATGATGATCATGTTAAAAGATGGCTCTTTGCAACTTGCTTTTCTACATTAAAATGCAGCACTTCTCAAGCAAATTACTTCTTGAAACGTCTGTCGAGTTGATTCTGTGTGAACCGCACTGAATCGATCTGTTGTTGTTAGCACGTACCGGTACCAGGTCCGTCTTCTTCTCCGACGACTCCTCGATGCCAGCAGAAGCAGAAGAATGAATGAATCAATCAGGAAGATAAAAATAAAACATTTACTTTGGACACGCAACATTTCGACTACGACGACTAAATTTGTGGAAACCGTTAATGTCCACATTATCTTTTACAATAAAACTAATCGAAGATTACCCGGCGCCGCCTCCACTCCTGGGCTTGAATCGCATGATGTAGTCTTTGTCTGAAGAGATCGCGCACGTATGCTACCATGGAAACTGTGGCAAAAGCCCGATGCTACATACGAGAAGCGAGTAGGTTTGGCACAGTAGCGAGGTACTAGGTTAGTGACTGGTTTGCACCGAGGTCGAATCATAGGATTCGAAAAGGACAATCAATAGGATTGACAGACAAACCCGGACCAAATGGGGTACCGAGCTATGGTGCAAATGAGAGAGAGGGTGGTGAGGGCGGGAAAAGCAAAAAGAGCTGACGGTCTTGACCGAGCAGCTAAACTCCTTCTATCGCCTCCATCATCCCACAAGCTCCCATTGCGAACAATGTCTTCTCCAAATCTTCCGTCCTCTTCGTCGACACTCTTCGCTCCGTCCGCCAACCGTGTACTCCACTGAAGCGACGCGCCGTAATCGACACGACGGAAATTGAGACTAAGGAAGAGCTAGAAACGCCCATACGTCTCCCGTCTTGCCGATCTAGCATCTCGTTTTCAAACACAACAAACGAAATGTTCAAAACTACTGCTGCACTTGTATCCAGACACTACAAGGTAAGAAGCTTATGAAGAGATAGTAGATGCAGAAGAACTAGTTATCAAAGATTTCGAGGACATGATTGCCACACTCTCACCATAAATTCTTCGTCATCTTCAATGGTCAATCTGTTTTCCCCTTTCTAGACAAGCATGAACTCTCACCACAACAACAGCACAACCATTCCCACTCCAATCCCCAATGGAATGAACTACATTGTCGATCCTAATCGAGGCGAGACACTTATCGAACTGAGTCTCCCATTTCTTGGAGAGGAAACGGATCTCGGAAACGTCGCATTGGCGAACAAGCACATTCGTGATTGCCATTGGTATTACTTGTATGTGTGTATCAGTCAAAAATATCCAACATTCCAATTGGAAGGTCTTAGACCTTTGGAGGAGCAGAGGGAAAAGGCTGACATGTGTCTTCCTCCTTGCATTGTCGTTGATCCAAATTTTGCGCCAAAGACTTTCCAACCAGGCAACAACACCTTTCCAGTGCCCTTGCCTCGTCAACCAAAAATCCTTTATGATCCACGTTGCATTGGTGCCTTTGAATCATAGAGCTGGATGGACAAAACCAAGGCCCTCAAGGAGTATGCGGCAAACGTAAAGACTTGGTGTTCCTCATTGACAAAACATCGTGCAGAGGAGCTACAGGCCTCCGCCAACTTTGTTGTCGCATTTCTGGAAGAACAACTGGAGACATTTCGAGTGGATCCATCATGCTTCCGCAATTGGTTTTGCCTTAAAGCACGTTCTCGTCACCTTTTGAACGATCTAGAGAAATATCCATTCTTTCTTCAATGCCTCAACGAGCACGAAGTAACACTGGTCAAGCTTTGCTTCTTCGAGAAGTTCATCAATGAAGCTATTCCTTTCGAATCGAATTCCATCCACAGTTGTCTGCTTGTCAATTGCCTAACGGCTCTTGGCGTTCCATCCACCAGCAGCCACGTGCGGCCTTTTCTTGCTCGAAAAGCCGGATGCACCCGTTTACATTAGAGGAAGCTTGCCTGTCAGGTACACCAGCAGGACAGCGCAGCGGCCTGGGACTATTTCCATGCCATTTTCATTACTGCAACATTTCAAACGATGCATTTTTGTCACAATCACCAATGCTTTCAAAACCCTGTGCCAATCACTACTCGTTGTCATTCTTGTTCTGACTCTCACAGTCTCATTGCGTGTACTAGAGCACTGCCTTTTTTTCTTCATTGAACCAAGTATAAACCATTTCATTTCAGTTCCTTTCTTTTCTTCTACTATTCCTACTTTTAAAATTTGCTGCCCAAAGACGACCAGTTAGTACCTGGTACAATCTTCCATGTTACTTGTGTAGGTTATTTACACTTGGATGGGAGTGGCAAGTTTTCTCCATTGTACAGACTTTTTTTGCTGTGCTTTCTTTCATGTGCAGGGAAATTTGTCGAAACCCAGGGGGTCGTCAAGAATTTGTTTGATGATTGATTCAGGGTCCAACTTTGTTTTTATCGCCGGCACTTTTTTAAAAATCAACAAGAGGATCAATTTAAACGGTTTTGCAAAATGATTTAGGATCCAACTTCTTCTCGTTCTTGATCGTCCGCCATGTCTAGGTTCAATTGGTTTTCCATGCTGTGAAACTTATTTTCTTGTGAGCACTGTGAACAATAAGTCATGACCCTTATATGTCACCCACCATCAAAAAGGGCTCGCGAAGAAATTCCAAAAAGCCATCTGCAGAACCATCAGTATTGTTTCGTACGTGAAGACCTTCCGGTGCCACAACTTGTCCGTCTTGACAAGTATTATCTCTTTCCTCCAAAAGTGCAATGGTGGGATCATTAATGTGCAAGGGTTCCGCGTCATCATCGTCATCACCCAAACGATGATACGCGCCAGACACCATGATTTCATCCTCCTCTGGACCAACACCAACTTGACTGTTGTTTGGAGGAGCATCATCATTTGCATCCTGTCCAGCGAATCGGTACAAGACCAATCCAGCGAGCAAAATCACTAGACCAAAAACATCCGACCCATGTACCATTTCGGGCGAATGAATCGAAAAGACCAAGTGTCCCAATGGAACGACCAATGTCAATCCCAAGTACAGCAGAGATGCTGATCCATATTTCAGCACCAACATCATTGAAATGGTGTAAACTGCCGAAGTGAGCAGTCCCAAATGCACAAAGAGCGCCGCCTTGGAACAGTCATCCGGATGGCAACCACTTTGAATCGTATTGTCTTGAAAGAATAAGCATTTGGAAGCGGACCACCAGTTTTCGGGCAACTCCCAGGGTGTGACTTGAGGAGACGAGGACACACCGGCCGGAATGGCCAATGGAATCCCAAACAAGAGTTGAAAGGTGGCCACAAAGCAATTGACCAAGATGGGATCCATCTCCACCTGCAACGCGACTTGTTTGTAGACGGTGGAAACCACCATTGGGATGCAAGAGGCCAGCATGACAAAGGACCAAACAAATACCAACGAGTCATCGTGACGGATGGATTCTTCCTTGCTGACCCATTCGCAAAAGAGCGAGACAGGAGTATCAGTTGTTGTTTCATTATTCCAAGAAGCAATGTAATTTCCAGCAGATTCATTAGTATTCTTGACATGCGATCGGCAACCAATTTCAGAAACTTCCATTTCGCAAATCGAGCAGAATTCTTCTTCAAAGCCCATGATTGCCTGGCAGGAATAACTCGGTGCTCGGTGATGCGTCAAGACCGGCATTATTACTACCACAATCCCACCTAGCACAATGGCAGCTCCCGTAATCTGATGCCAGGTAAAGGACTCTCGTAAGACCAACCGACTCACAATCATGCTCAGGGGAATCGCCGCTTGTGGCAACAAGACCAACAAAGTTCCGGGCAGATATATGGTAGATAAAACTTGCATGGCGGCTGCCATGGCATCGAGGAATCCCATGACCAAAAAGGGCTTTTTCGAAACGGACAAATGCCTCCAGGAGATCGAGTGCGAGAACCATCCAAAGTGAATGGCCGGAAAAATGTAACAAATCAGGGACAGGATGATGGAACAAAAGTTCGCGTAGACATTGAGAAAGGTCGGATAATTGTACATGGGCAAGGATTGAAGCTTGGCCAAAACCACATTTGCCACACCGGATGACACCAAAATGAAAAAGACCAACCATAGTTTCCATTCTTTCTTGCTTCGTTCCGATAGCTGCATCAAAGAAACGATAGAGATTCCATCGTCCGTAGAAGGAGGTTCGTACTCCAGTGAAGGGAAAAAGGGATTAAAGGAAGGGTCCATGAGATGTTGTTGTGTTTGTTGTTGTGTTTGTTGTTGCTGCTGTTGACCTCCATTCTCAATCAAAGCATCACCAGTATTATTAATATTATTATTAATAATAATAGAATCACAAACTTGCGCTTCGACAGCACTTGCAGCAGCAAAGGAATCATTAATCTCTTCGTCATCCGTCGTGTCTAGAAGCAAGGAGGAGTGCTCCTCAGCTTGTTGTTGTTGTTGTTGTTGTTGTTGTTGTTGTTGTTGTTGTTGTTGTTCAAACTCATCGCCACTGCCGTCCGAACGTTGATGGGATGCTGTGACTTCGGACCAGCTGGATACTCGTCGAAGCAGCAACGATCGACTGCAGTGATGACCAGCGGGTATCATGGTTGCTTTTTATATTGATATTGATATTAATATTGATAGTGTTATTGATAGCAAGTGTATTGCATTGATTGATTCATCAATTGATCGATTGTTTGGGCGACACCAGGATGAATGTCAGCGATATGCACCAAGAACAAGAATAAAAGGCCCAATAATATTGAATGTGCCTTTCTTCCTTCGAACACCACCGAAGATAACGCTCTTCTTGTTCGACCAACCGAAATTCAATATCCTTGTACCTACGCACCTACGGGAGGTTTTCACGTCGCGGAAGTGTTTGATGATTGATGGCGGAACCGAACCGAAACCAGGCGGAATTCGGAATTAGGGAAATGACGTCAGATATTGAGTCAAATCAATCGATCGATTGGATGAAACTAAACTACCGGTACTCTTCAACATCATCCAAATAATCAAACAAACATCTATCTATTTTAAAATACTTCTATTAGTCCACAGTCTCCATGTAGTCCTATATATCTATTTTACAACTTAGTACAGAAGGACAATGACATTCATCTTAGACATCATCGCTCGTGTCTTTCTCCTGAATAGACGACACTGCACCCTCCTCGGCGTCAGCATCATCATCAGCATCATTACAAGAAGAAGGCATGATTGGATCATCATGTATCACTCGCAAGGTGAACTGTAAGAATCCGGCAATGAAACTGTACGCAAGGAGGATATAAAACCCAGCTCCCAATCCACTGGTAATGTCCAAAAAGACGGCATTGGAATCTCCCGCCAGTCGGGCCACCAGATCCGAAAACTTGAATTCCACGGCAAAGATTCCAATCAACAGAATTTCAATGCAAGCAAAGCACCAAATGGCAGATGTCCATAACGAAACCTTTTGAAGGTTACCAAGGAGTTGTTTGTCTTGTTGCTGTTGTTCTTGTCCTTTTTGTTGATACCATTTCTTCCAATTTACCATCGACCACAGTTGCATCAAATGTACAAGGATGGGAAAGGCCAGATTCAGCAACAAATACACAATGTACAAAACCCATGTTTGCCATGCCACCGAATTGTCAAGCAATCCCAATTCATTGACCATGGCATTGGCCAAGGTTACCAAATTGTATGACGTCGTACATCCTTCCGTGGCCGTTAGATCCTTGGAGGTGAATTGGACAATTTCCGTTACGGCACCGGCTGCAAAAAGACCAACCGACAAACCCCACAAGACTGCGCAAATTTCCAGTCGATCATCAAAGTACAATCTTACTGTTGTTGGAGATGTTGGTGTTGGTGCTGGTATTGCTGGTGCATCTGTAGTTGTAGCAGTAGTAGAAGCGGTAGTCTCTGGATTGGCCGTCTCTTTGGTATTCTCCTTGTTGGTGGCATCATTTCCATCATTTGCATGTTTATGAAGATTCAATACCTTGTCTTCGTGCATGGCCTTGATGACTTCAATCTGTATGAATTCCCACAAGGTGGCCACAAAAAAGGCCAATATTCCAAACCTTGGTTCCGCTCGTATAATAGCTTCGGTTCCTCCTACATTGAGTTGCAGTTGAACTCCCACCAGGACGACAACCACGGCAAAAACGTCCACCAAGGTATATTTGGAAAGCCGCGAAAGCCATAGAATGGACCAGGTTTGCCACTCAATGGTCATGGGAAGGTACCAAACAATCAGCAAAATGACATTTTTGGCGTAGGGCCAAAATCCCGAAAAGAAAACCACAATGACCGCCAGCAACTGAGCATCCCCATTCCAAGCATCATTGACACTGCCCACAAAGGTAAGATCGTAGACTCGGTACCAAATGGGAACATTATTTAAATCCCAATCATTGCAAACGTCATCATCATCATTCGTTGTTGTAGTATTATCATTCAAGAATCGGCGAACCCCCAACGTATTAGCAGTAGCAGTAGCAGTAGCATCCGCAGTAGTAGTAGTTCCATTTGTTTCTTGTGGAAGCCCCGAACAAACAAACATTTGAGCAATGCAATCGGCATTGCAATCTTGACATTCTTGTCCCAAACTATCTCCCGCACACACCAAAAGACAACCATCTCCTACCGCACATTGAGGAATGGATCCCAAACACTTGGAGCAATCTTCCGAGTAATTGTATTGAGCCTGAAAGCAGGTGGCAATGCAGGCTGGATTGGACAAGCAAAGGGCACCACCAGTGTCTTCTTGGGTAAATTCTCTCGAGCAAAAGGTGCTATGAATGGGACGCATGGCTTCTCCTCCCAGTTCGTTCCAAATGGAAATGTCGTTGGCCGTACAAACTCCCGTGCCATTGATGATGACTGGTGTGTCACTCGAGCCACCGCTAGCCGCAGAAGGATCTTGATTGGTAAAAATGACACCCGACAAGCCAATGTGGGCATATACCATGAGACCGGCATTCAATATTAGTGATAGAGATTGCCAGAATCCAACCTTGTGACCATAATAGGAATTAATGTTGCGCTTTGTTTTGGATGACGACGGTGATGACGATGGCGATGATTTTGATTCTTCCATTATGGCTGGTGTTCTGCTGGATTACTGGATTACTGGATTGCTGGATTGCTGGATTGCTGGATTGTGTTCGATCTTGCTTGGTGCTGTTCGATCCAATCCAATTTTCACACGACAAGATACACCAGTATCCAGTATTGCAACGATGATTTTCTTGTGTGTGTGCGTGATTCACTTTGTTGTTCCGGTCGTTTCTTTCGAACTCGTCGCGTCTATAAATTCAAAATGTAAACGATGACGCGACAAATGACAAAGAGGCTTCTAAAATCTGAAAGAAGACATTTGGGGAGATGGAGAAAGGGCAATTAGAACCGAGACAAGCAACTTTTGCCGGACTTGTGTCCACCTCCATTGGAATAAGGAAAATCAGAATCGAACAATTGGTATTGGCATAGTCCAATTGCTTTGGTCGTCAAACATCGTCGACCCATTTTCACCACATTTTGCACCCAAAATCTTCTCAAGCTACACCAACATGCGAATCAATCCACGCCCAATATAAGCCTTCTTTTCTGAAGAAGAAATCAAAGCCGCCATACAGTAGTCTCTCAAAGCACTGGGAAGGGCTATGAATATAAAAGCAACGTCCGGCACTTTGCCAATTCAACATTACAACAGCAACAGCCAGTGGATATTGGAGGAAAGCTTCAGGGAGGGCGATCTATTACTCTGGGCCAATGTCTCTGCCACAAAAGTGATGTTCTGAGCTAAATGTTTTCCACAGCATGCAGCAAATAGATACTAATTACAGCATCTTCTTCGTTTTTTATGAGTGCTTGTCAATAGGAGGGATGAGTGGGTTTTCCGATAATTGTATGCATGCAGTCACATTTTATCAGGAGTTTAGAGTTCTTTAGTTCGCCTTCAAAGCTTTATAGCTACGATCTAGCTGTCGACTTTGAACTTGTGCCTACAAATGGCATATAGTTTCGGACTTCGTGAAATCTGTACGTATTTTCTCTTGAGGGAGAGGACCTATCCCCCTTATTTACAGGTGGACACAATGTCCGGGGTAAATTTTCAAAGATCCATAATTTTCTCTGTGACTCTTCGGTGAAGGTTGGGTTGCTCCCTACCACTTTGCAGATAATGCAAGCAGAAAAAAAAAGGACGGATGGAGCGGATGGAGTGGATCATGATAACGGTCATCATTTTTCATTCCAGAACAAACTGCACAAGACGTACCGGTATGGCGTTTTTATGATGCTGATCATGTTCTTTACAATACTTACAGCAATAACGGAATTTTTCATGATTAGTGGGACCGCCTGGTTCGACAAGCCCAAAACAAGAAAACATTCTTACAACTCCCCCTTGTCGGACTCCACAACTTCCGAGATTGCCGCCATAACGTTACGCGCCCACGCGGCTTGGAAAGAGACCAGGCACTCAGGAATCGAAGAAACTACAGCTGACGAAGGAGAACATTTCACCTTCACTCCGTACAACCAACCAGTTGGCACGTCGTCCTATCTTAATATTCGTCTTGAAAATGCTGCGAACTCATCGCAATATATCACAGGGCGCATTGGCAGTGATTCGGACACGGTAGCACTCGAAGATTCACTTATAATGACAAATATGACGAAATGCATTAAGCGGGTGGTTTGCATGATACCCAACGGCAGATCCATTCGTCACATTGCGCACTTTGCCCAATCAGCATTCCCTTGCTGGTCAGCTCTCCAGCGTTTTCCTGAAAACATGAGATACATCAAATCGTTTGCTAAACTTGGTAAAAAGCCTCAAAGGTGGATTGTTGAATTGATGGAATACTTCAAGACAGCGGGAATCACAATAGTTTCAGGGAATTCAAATGATGTCTCTGGGAGAGATGAATGTGACTGGGACCTGAAGTTCCAAGGCAATAATGCTAGTGGCTGGACTGAAATGCCTACCTTAAAATATGACGCAAAAGGAGTATCTTTGTTGTTGAATCACAATGATTACAAGTGGAGAAAGGATCCTGTAAACTACTTTTCAAAGCCATCAGACATGGCGGTATTGCAACGCGTCGTCCTATGTTCCAACTACACTTCTGGCGTGTCTAAACAACCAAAGATTCATGTCCTAATTCTCAACCGTGAGGGATCTCGCAGCCTCTCAAATGGAGAGGCCATTGTATCAACTCTCCAAGATTCTGTACTTGGTGATTTCATTGAAGTTAACTATGTACAAGATATGGAGGGATCATTGCATCATCAAGCCTTGACCATGCACTCAGCAGATATTATTATCGCTCCTCATGGGGCCCAACTTACTAACCTTGCCTTCATCAAGCCTTGCACTGTTGTGGCAGAGATCTTTCCAAGGGGTTATTATCTTCAATTCTTCCAGTCGTATGTCGTTGCTGCCGGTGGTATTGCATTCGAGGGCTACGAAGATGGCAGGAGCCCTTATTTTGATCTATTTGGGTTAGAAAGTGAAAATGATCGTAGAGCAAGAAGAAGTGCGCCAATTCCTATGTCAGCGGCTTCGGTAGTCCGTGCCCTGCCAGAATTTATACTCAAGTTCAACACATGTAGAACCAATGAAGAACTGGTAGTATAATGCTGGACCTGTTTTTGCTCCGTGTTGACAATATTCGCACGCTTCAAATTCTTGGAAAGCAAAATTAGCTACTTGAAGCTAGTAGGAACACTTATTTCCCTCTTGAACGACAAAACTATATAACTCGATCTGACACTCTAGTCAAACTCGATTCGAAACTAGTCAAACTCAAACTCCAATTATTTTTGCCGAAAGATACAAATCCCATTACCTACCATACAGTCAACGCTATTCAAGAGCAGGCTCTTCAGGAGCATGCTTGTTACGCTTTCTTCATTGCTATGACTTCTAGAGGACACAGTGACGCTCATGGATCTAGAGGCAACTTTGCTCGGATCTATCTTTACTTCAACGATCTGAAGAACCCTGAATCGGGCTTCTTGGACTTGCCCGAGTTTCCAGCTCCTTGTGATAACAAGGATGCACCAAACATGCTGGACAATATTTACCAGTTTCTTGGCACAGTTCGCGGAAAAGGGGGAACGGTTACATTGTTCGCAAAGACCATGATCCCGCTTTAAATACCACTACTGACCCCGGTTTCTTGAATCCTTCCGTGGAAGCTGAAACACTATGTCGCACCATTGATACTGGTGATACTTGTGCTGCCAACAACGCTCATGTTTGGAACATGCTCTATCATGTTTGCCATAAGACTGACGCCTGAGATATTGTGAAAGGTCTCAAAAGAACCAAGGATGGGAGAGGAGCATACCTAGTGCTCGTACAGCACTTCCGTGGTCAAGGCTTTTGAGACTCAAGAAGAAATGAGGCAGAAAAGATCCTCAAGACTATGTTCTATGACGGAAAGCAAAACTTCCCGATTGCAACTCACGTCTCTCGCATCAGTGGTGCCTTCTCTGGCATGGCTGAATGTGGAGATGACAGAGCTGATTGGAACAGAGTTCGAACACTCTGCGCTGGAATCAGAGAATCGGCTCAGCTTGAAAACATCATCAGCTTTATCTGTAACGATCCAGTGGTCGGCCAGAATTTCCGAATGGCAGCTGATTGACTAATCTTTGAAGATACTAACAAATGAACTGATCGTGCCACTGCCTGACAAACCAGAAACCTCGCAAACGTTGGCTCAGCCGGACAATATGGAAGAGGTGGTGGAAGCAGAGGCCGAGGTGGCCGATATGGAAGAGGTGGTGGACAAGGTCGTGGAGGTGGTCGAGGTCGATGCCAAGGCCAAGGAAATGTGACTGATTTTATTGCTGAAACTGATGGTGTCGCCATTCTTAATGGAGGCACATACTCACGAGCCAAGAGGCGTTCATTCACTGATCGCGATCGAGCTAAAGTACTGGAAGCTTGTCATCGCCAAACCGCAAGAAGCAAGAACAAACGAATGGTGGCCAAATTGACCACACTACATGCTGAAAGAGATCGTAACGCTCCTGCTGGAACTCCTGCTACCGCACCTGCTCTCACACCAGCAGCTGGAGCTGCTGGTGCTAGCCTTTGTCGTTGACTCGTTACCGACCCTCAAGTTTGTGTTTCTTGTTCTTGTCTTCCCATGTTTGTACCTTGATGCCCCTATCCTATTCCACTCCTCTCTGTGAACTTGATTGTTTGGTCCTCAAGACCTATTTGCATACCCTGACGGTAACAGCCAGGCTTTGACCCCTCTCTTGGCAGTGTGCCTGACGTCAAAGTGGCCTGTGTTGCGGTTGCCTATGATTGCCCTCTGACCCTTGAGTTCTATATCTTGATCTTTGATTAAGTATTGTATATGCCGAGCATGAAAAGTAATCTTCTTTGTGTTGATAAACTTCTTGACAACGGTATTGTTGGAAATGAAGTTCCCTTGCAGCGATTGAAAGCTGAGAACCAAAACGAGTGGTCACCCTCTATCATCGAAGAGAAGTCTGGATTTTTCATCCATATGAATTTTCTTAAACCTATGAGTTCTTTCCCGTGTTGCAAGCCTACACTATTGAAAGTTAACAGAAATGTCCAACAAGTTCTCTTGACGAGTTCAGTCCCTTGGGAACCTTATGATCCCAAATCATCCCGCCTTGAACAAGCCCTCCGGAGCCAATATCAAGGGGACACCGCCAAGAATCACCGGATCTATGCTTTGGAGACTCAAGATCCCTCCTACCAATCCGTGTGTCGAATTTCTCTACCTATCGATGGCAGAAGCTATTTGGTGAAGCCAGAGCGCACCTTGCTCGACGCTGGAACATCAGTATTGAATGCGCTTGTTGCACTCTGAAGAAGACAACGCAACGTGCTGCTTGCAATTGGTTCACTGCCACTGGCTCTAGAAGATCCTGCCCAACTCAATTTCAACTTGAGTATCCAAGATTATCTGCTGACAGATGTCAAGAAAGGCCTGCATGTGTGTCCTCTGAAGGCAACCAATATGTTGCCATTTATGCTGTTGTTTGCCAATGGGTTCAAGATTAAAGTGGCCCAGGTGGCACACGATGGTTCTTCTCATTGGGTAGCATGCCAGTATGAACGCCTCATGAAGGAAGGCTGCATGCAGGAGAACCGGATCCGGTACGACCAGACCCGCTCCTCCTACCCTATTCCACCAATGACCGAACCTTTGTACTCCGACTTCAATGGCCCCCACACCAAGCAGAACAGTCAAGCACTGATCCAGGGCTTGTATGAGCTTGAGACCTTGGACCCTTATTTGGCGTCATTCCTTGAGCATTTCTGATGGCCTGAGGGTTTGGATGATCAACCACTGGAGGTGGATCTTGAGGACTAGGTTAGCTTCTGGCGCAAGATGGGGGGGGCATAAAGGCTCAGAACCACATGGTCTGCATAACGGACACTACAAAGTGGGAGCAACATCTGACCTGTTTGCCTGCTGTGACACAATCTTTTGCTCCATTCCTTTTGCTACGGGCTTTGCCACTAATGTGCGTATCGTATACAGCATGCCAAGGCAACAATAATAAACCAAATTTATAAAAATAATCAACAATCAATAACATAGAAATGCAACAGCAACAATTTCAACAGCAACAACAAGTCCCATCATGTGAGATATTTGCCGATCTGACATGCCTCAACTAGTAGTATCACAAAAGCCACTAGTAGTAGTAGGCCAATCCGATACTATAAGAGGACATGTACTAAAGAAGCTTTTTTTAAATATTATAATTCAAAATTGGAACTATAATATCTACAACCGGTTGCATGGTGGAATATTCTGTACCTATTGCTGCGGCTATCAAGTGGGGCGCGCTTCTCCCGCCTACTAGGTAGACGAGTATCGTCTCATTTATTCTTTGGGCTTGGGAAGGCAGCTGTTGGGATGTTCCAATCCGGTCATTCCCTTTGCATAATCTCGGAGGTTCTCCAAAGTAGTTGACACAATCTTGTCCACAGCTTCTTTTGTGAAAAAGGCTTGATGAGCCGTCATGATGACATTGTTGTTTCCCAGCAAGGATACCAATTGTGGGTCTTCAATTTGCTTGGCGGACCAGTCTTGGAAAAAGTAGTCCGCTTCGTTCTCATAAACATCCATACCGACACCACCAATACGTCCAGTCTTGAGGCCTTCCAACAATGCCCCGGTATGGACTAAGCCACCGCGAGAGGTATTCACCAACAAGACACCTTGTTTGAGTTTGGGCAGCGTATCCATATTGAGAGTGTGGTGGGTGGAAGGTAGCAATGGCATCATGAGAAAAATGACATCGGATTGTTCATACAATTCATCCTTGGTCACGTATTTGCCACCAATTTGTTTGACCTCGTCGTTTTCAAAGACGTCAAAGCAAATTAGATTGGCTCCAAATCCTTTGATAATATTACACAGAATCCCACCAATTTTGCCCGTTCCCATTACTATATTTTAATTGCAAAATAAAGAAAGAGTGTTAGAAATCAATAATCATAAATTGAAAAATCAACAACAAACAACATAACAACAACAACAACATAACAACAACATAACAACAACTCACCTCCAACCGTCTTGCCGTGAATGTCCATGCCCATTAGCCCAGAGTCCAAAGTAAAGTTGGACATGTGCACTCGACTACTGGCACGAGTGATCTTTCGGTTCAAGGTCATGAGCAACGACATGGCATGTTCGGCAACGGCATAAGGAGAATAGGCTGGCACTCGAGCCACGGTCAAACCAAAGGTCAACGCCGCTTTGGTGTCAATGCGGTCAAAACCAGCGGCTCGTTGGGCAATCATCTTGACTCCCAGCATGCTGAGCATACGAATGACATCTGAATCGGCAGTGTCATTGACAAAGGTACAAACTGCGTCATATCCAGTGGCATATGCTGCGCTTCTGGCATTGAGTCGGTCTTCAGTATACTCCATCACGATTTGGAGATTCTCAAGACCCTTATTGAATTCCATCAAGGCTGGCCCAAAGCCACTTCGGACCCATTCGGTAGTATCATAACATAGAACCCGCAAAGTTTTGCTGTCTCCTTTATCATCGTCGGGCGAGCTTCCTCGTGCTTGTGCCAATGCCCTCGAGACTTTGGATTCATGACGAAGCAATCGCGCCAAATGAGCCGCCAATTGCAAGGCAAACCCACCATGTGAGGCCAAGAGGTCACGGTAAGCTTTTGCATCCACTGACCATAGCTTTACGTGGCCACTAGCCACCACGGTAGAATAAGATACATGCTCTTCCTTCAAACTGTGAAAGAGCGCCGTGACACGACCTCTGCCTTCCAGTTTGTCCAAAATATGATTGTCGTCCACAGGTCCCTTGTACCGAAGCACAGTGCCTTCGTCAAGTATGAACCATTTGGCAGACACTTCGCCTTCTTTGGCAAAGACGTGCCCGTCGTCGCATTCTTCCTTGGTCATGAGTTTGGCGATTTCTTTTAGGTACGCATCTTCGGCAAACTCAAAGGTGACCGCGTCCTTGAGAATGGCAAAGGCTTCGTTTGTGTTTGTGGCCATTGTGTGCTGAGGTGATCTATGTATTTATCTATGAGTTGCGTTGGGTGCTGTTCTTATTATATTATTGTTGACCGGCGTTTTATGGATAGGAATAAGAAACACGACAAACAAAAAGGATCTTCTCCAAGATTCATTCAGGGTTCGCATTCAACCTCTCATTCTTCCCTTCTCCACATATTCAAGAAGGACTAACTAAGGCCACATCTCATAACTTTTTATTTCAGGAGCTATACCGGTTCTGTACGGTAGGAAGATCTGATCGCATACCTTACTGTTCATTCATATTGTCAAAGAAAAAGGTATTTATATTTCTGAGTTTACACGTTTTGAGGCAGTGCAACTGGTACCGGTAGCTGGTAGGCATTTCAATTCCTCAACTAAATCAGCCAACCATGAAGCTCACACAGTCCAACAATGGGATCCGTGGCAATAACTTGGGTTCTTGCATTCATACTTTCCCCCTACAATCTGTCAGTTTATAATCGTGACATATCCATCGAAGCAAGGTACTCCTCTCTGACGGCTCCTCTGGCAGTCATGACGGCTGCTTGTGTGTCGAGAATTACGCTCATGGCTTCCTCGGTAAGACCCTCTTCGCCTTGGGTTGCCACAATGTTGGCGCAAGTGGTAGCGAATTGAATTCCTTCCAAGTAGTTCATGAACATGGCATCCTTTTCCCATGCCGATTCCAAAAAGGAACGGAACTTTTCCTCGGTTCTTTTTTTCGTCTCTTTACTGATCGGCATGGACGCCATCTTGGTCCGTAGCTGGAGCACTTTTGCTTCCAGGTTGGGAGTACCTACAAAAAGCTGCATATCGAATCGTCCAGGTCGGATGACGGCAGAGTCAAAGGCACGCAACCGGTTGGTGGCCAAAAAGAAAACGCTTCGTTTCGCTCGGCGCAAATCGTTAATGGCCGTGAGCATGGCAGTGGTCAGCATTCTACTTTCCATTCCCAGACCGGGAGTTTCACGATCCAAACAAAATTCTTCAATTTCGTCAAAGAGAATGACACAGCGTTCCAAGGATTGAAGACGCTCAAACACGTAACTGAGCAAGCAAGAAAAGACAAGAAAAGAAAGACGCTTTCAGAACCCATTTCACACTCCAATCTCGGAATGCATGATACACTACGGCAATTCATCATCATCCATCATCATCATCGTCGTCTTGCTTACCGAATCCTTGAAGCAACATTGGTCAATCCATCCGCAAGAAATGCCGTGGTGTCAATTACCAAAAAGTCCCAACCCATACGTTCGGCAAGAGCCTCACAGATTGTCGTTTTGGCGGTACCAGGAGGACCAAACAGAATGACAGAATAGGCTGCCCCAAACCCTGGGTTGCTGCTGGAATATTCAAAGGGGACAATAACACGCTCCTCCAATACTTCTTTCAATGTTCGAGTTTTGGGACCGACCGCTCCCAAATCCGTATCCAAAAGACGGTCCCAAGCGGCCATTTGTGGCGTCTTTTCCATGTTCTTCAATCCTTTGAACTCGGCCAAGACGTCAACGTTTTGCAAGGCGCGGACGACTCTGCGCATTTCGGAAACGCATCTCAGCGTCTGAGCAGTACTCCAGGAGAGGGGCCCGGTATCTTCCGTAAGATGCGGGGAGGACCATCCACGAAGTGCCTTTCCGTAGCACTGACCACTTTCCGCATCGCAATAATCCGGGATTACTTCGACAAGTTGATGCGATTCGATCCATTGCAATGTCTTTTCCAGCTTGTCAAGATGAGGACGAAATGATTCTGCTGGCAGTTTGCTTAACAAGCAACCAAGTGTATCTGCAGCAAAGACAAAGGCATTTCCGACATTTCTTCCACTGCGGCGAAAGGACTTGTAGATTGGTTGTCCCTTGTCCCAAAGCCCGTCATCTTTTTGTTCCGAAAAGAAGGCATCCAAGGCAGCTTTGATAAGTTTGCGGTTGGGTAAGCTTACTCTACTTCCAGGAGACGGGCCTTCACCGGGGACAAGTTCTCTTCCTGCTGTACCAGCCAGGCTGTTACTAGCCGTGACATAGGAGAGTAGGGAATATGCCAGTCGAATGACATCAAAAGAGCTGCGTTCGTCGGCGGCACGATAGGCTAGTTGACGACAGAGTTCATTGAAACTGATTTCGGCGCTTCGTGTGAGTGCCAGCGAAAGCCTAGAGGCTGCACCCTTTGGAATGACTTTGGTGGGAAGGCCTCCAAGCCCCGCTTTCTTATTGAGGAGGTCACTGTCGGGGGCCGATGGAACCTCTGTTGACTCGTAAAGTGTCGCATATGCTTGACAACACAAGTATCCAATGTAATCGGAATATTGCTGATTGGCTCCAGCTCGTCGTTGGGGACGGGCCTCCAGGACAGCTTCCACCAATTCTCGAACCTAATGATGGCAGATAGCGTTAATTGTCATGCATGGATCAGTATAATTATTACGCATCCATTTTTGGAAGAACAGCAGGAAGAACAGCAATCCGCAACTACCGGTACATACCTTGGGCGCAAGATCCTTTTGAATGTCTTCTCCAATCACCGATCGCGATGCATCCACTTTCAAAATAGTATTTAGTAATAATGGCACCTGAAACAAATCATCGACTCTCCATTCCGCCTTGAGCAATTCCTGAACAACGGCTCGGGCTTGGATCTTATCCCCACTATTTTCTTCGTCCTCGTCGTCGTCCACAAAGGGAGACAAATCCAAATTGATTTCGGAATCGTACAACGATTCTTCATTGGCCGCCAACACTGCCGTCAGTGCATAGCAAGTACTAGTAATACTCATCCGCTATATTTTGTGTGTGCGTTGTTGTTGTTGAAAGAAGAGAAAAGAAGCAGTATTAGAGATCACTAAAATAGCAGGCATGACGATCATTCATAGTTCAATTGATATACACACATCGACACTTCCCGGCTTGATGGAAAAACTCTTCAAGCCTGGCTCGTAAAAGCTGGTCAGTGCCGAAGGGGCACTTCGTTCCAGAACTTCCAACCGAGATTCTAAGGACTGCAATTCTTCAAATTTGGTGGCAAAGGAACCTGGCAATGACGAGGACAAGGATTTTGTAGTTCTTGAAGATGATGAAGTGATTCCAATAACATTACTGTTCCGTTGTATGACAATGTCTCTCCCTATTGGAGCATCCATTGATGCTTGTTTCGCAATGACATTCTTGGAATAATTTGGGACAAAGGCTTGCCCGAGAAACGGCAAGCAGGATGTGATGAAAATGATCTGGATGAAAAGTGGGGTGAAAACCTGCTTGGACATGATGATGAATTAAGTGCCAGTGTACCAAGAGAGTACATAAATGTCAAATGATTGATAAAGTGAGGGAGATGTCGATCTGGGAGAAGCAGTAGGAGTGTTGTGCTGCGGTCAAAAGGAATGGCAGTATAATATACCAGGCGATGATGAGATATATCGCATGTCGCTTGATGCCGGAATTTCAAATTCGCTCTAAATGGGCGACTCAAACGACTGCATGACGGTGCCATTTTGTTCCCACTATAATAGAGCACAGTAGTATACAACCGTCTTTTGAAACCAAGTATTAATACAATAGGACCGATGTACAAATGCATTGCCTGCAAGCTTGATTCGTTGCGCTTGTTCAAGATAGTTTGGCCATCACGAGGTCGATAGAAAATACGCTGATACTACATGCCTATGCAACGATTGAAGACATGTGACAATCAAGCTGTGTATACGGCGAAAGCACGCCCATGAACCGGTACAAGGTACAAGGTATACAGTCTTCGTCCATCTTTCCGAAAACAAAACTCCAAATAATTTTGCGGGGATCACGTGCCAAGGGTAGGGCAAAGGATATGCAAATGGTGGGGACGTCTACTAAACAATTCCTCTCAGCAACACCAGGCAAGCTAAAGCAAAATGCATTTGTAGTAGCATAACATTTCATCAAATGGCTTTTAAAAAGCTAAATATAACGACACTTGAAAAGGCATCGCTACGTAGTGCATTCGTGATGTATTCCAGAACAGAAACATCATGTTCCAGATCGAGCGCAGCATGCGTGTAAGAAGTAAATGTTCTTCTTTTACCTGAGCTTGTAGTATCCTTCAGTGTGTGGAACACTTTCTGCGTGGGCATTGGGTCCATGTTGTCGGACAACCCCATCTCCGTGATACTTCAATGGACGGAAGTAGTGAGAAACTCCGGCTGCCTTTCGCTCCCAGTGACTGCACTGTTTTCCCTCTTGTTGGACCTTGGAGGCAATGGCTTGGGGCAAAAAGTTGTCCTGGTATTGAGCTTCGTCATCTCGCAACTTGCGAATGACGGGTTCCTTGACCAGGTATTTCCAGCCACGCTTTTCAGCAAAGTAGACGGCTTCTTGGGCATCACGGAAATACAAAGGAGTATCACAGCCCATAGTGTCAGCGGTGGAATTCCATCCCATGAGCGAGTTCTTCCATCGCTCCGAGACGGCTCCGTCGTCATTGAAACTAATCTTCCAGACCTTTTCAGGGTTCAAGGGAGCTTGGTTAGGACGAGCACGCATTTGCTTGATGACCACCATACGCATGCGTCCATCAGGCATACGCTGGGAGGTTAGATGGGCAGGATCCAAAGCAGTGACTTCCGAAGCATCGTCAGGAAGGATAGGATCCGCGAGTTCATTTCCAGAGTCGTAAACCATCAATGGATCCTTGTCAGCCATATCTTCCATTCGCTTTTCCAAAGCTGGGACTTCTTCACCCTCTGTCTCTCCAGCCTTGACCAAGGCCTTCTTGATTGGGATGACCATTGTACGCTTGCTCTGTCCCTTCGCAAGTACCGATGGGAGCCTATTGATTCCTCGGGCTGCTACTGTTCGAAGAGAGATCATTTTGTTGTACGGTCTAGTGATAAAACAGACTTGAAACAATACCTTGACTTATTGATACTTTCGATTTTTCCCGTTGCCTTTTGGGTTGCTGCGTGTTGCTTTTTTCTTGCGTTCGTACTGTACTTTGTACGCTCAACAGGTACACACAGACAGCCGATCTAGAATGAACCAATCACATTTCAATTGCTGCTTTGCGTGATTTCAATCATTTGAGTCGAAGCAACATTCATTAGTCCCAAATTTTATAACCAACGAAAACATCAAACTCTCCCAACTCATTTTTATTTCTCAATCAACACATCACTACGGTCCTACTGTAGTTATTGCTTCACATATCACACCAATCAGCAATGGAATCAGTGTCTATCCCATCTAATGCACCGTTTCTCAGGGCTATCGAGCAATATGCAGACGATAACAAACCGGATCCTCTCTCTTTGAAGCAATTGAAAGGACTATCAGTGGAATGGGAGAATAGAACACTTCCACCAGTACAACAAAGCTTCACCTTTGATCCAACTCATTTGATCCACGGTATCCTTTCCATCACTGGGGAATATATCCTTGTTCGACTGAGCATAATATGTGCCTGGACCTTTGACGAATCTTCTCCCAAGCACGGGAATCTCTCCTACAAATGTGGTGCTTCCGCCGAAATGGTAGAGTCAAAGAAGATGACTGACGGATTCAACGAAAAGGCAGCGGTGGACGAAAAGATAAAATCGAAAATGCAAAAACGACTCAAGAAGGATGCATATATATCCAAACTATTGACAAACAGCAAGGGAGATAGGACAGAATCGGATTGGCCAGTCTTTGCTTCTGCAGAAATTCGGTCGCTAATGGACGATTTGGAAGAACGGGTAGATGTTTCACAGCCGATTGCCGAAGCCATCAAACGTGCGGTCTGGTCATCGGCGGAATCGACCTTGGACATTGTGGACTTATTGTTACAGTTTCCATGCTTGCCAACTAGCATGCACACGGACATTATTGCTACGACCGAGCTTGCAAACAGAGCCAAGCTGCGATTATTGGAAGATGCCATGGTTGATGCTTGTGAGCAGGAAGGGGAAGATCAAATTCTCGAAGACTTGACGATTGGTGGTGAGAAGAAAGCTGAAGAAGAGGATGCAACAGAATCTAGAGGAAAGAACCAATCGAAAAGGTCTAAGCGGTGATTTGACTTTGACTGCGCTAAGACGACAACTACGGTCTCACAAATAACATTATTTTTAAAATATCTTGGCTTCCAGACTAGATAAAATTATCGCGCTGGCTATTCCCAAGCCCATCGACTGGTTTGAAACCATAATCTAGTTGTTCAGAGGAGAGCGAATCATAAAAAGTTAGAATTGATGAACCATGAACGATTGATTCGTTACGGCACACCGTCGCTGGACTCACCATATGTTCCAGAGTGCATCTGTGTTTGTTCTTCTTCCATCAGCTGCTCCATTGCCTTGCGCCATTCCATATCGATGGCTCCAGCATCTTCCTCATTCACTTCGTAGACCATGCTTCTCGAGTTCTTCCTGGTCATCTCGGCAATCAATTCGTCTGGTGTGGTACCCTGAGTTTCGGGCAAAACAGAGAGGGCAAAGACAAAGACGCTGCCCAAGACAAGCCCAAAGGGTCCAAAGGACCATGGGCCAAGGTATTGGTTCATGTATGGAAAAACCAAACCAATGATAAAGTTACACGCCCAGTTGACTTGGCAACACAAACTCATGGCCGAGGCAACGTATTTGCCTTCAAACATTTCGGCCACAATCAGCCATGGGATCGGCCCAAGACCGATTTCAAAAAAGCAAACATAGACATTGACTGCCAACAACGCAAACATGTTGCCTAAAATTCCCTTGAGAGACAAGACAATGACCACACACGCAATGAACATGCCTCCACTGGACCACAAGATCAGGCTCTTGCGGCCGCAGGAGTCCATAAGAAGGAGTGCGACATAGGTTGCCAAGACATTGACAGCTCCAACAATGGTTGTCCCCACCAAAGGATTATCGATGATGCCATCAAAGAAAGCTGTCGAGTAATAGAAAACCGCGTTGATACCACTGAATTGCTGTGCCACTTGAAGGATGATGCATGACATTAGTAGTTTGCGAAGCTTGGGATGCGAAATCATTTCTGACAGGACAGCAGTGGTGGTTGCTTCGGTCTGCTTTTGCGCTGCCTCTCCCATGACAAAGTTGCCAACTTCTGCCTCAACTTCATGATCATGTCGCAATCCACGCAAGCGCTTGATAATGTATCGTGCTCGCAAAGAGTTTGGGTCCCGGTTCAACAACCAACGGGGCGACTCCAACAGAAAGGGAGAAAAGAGCAACTGGAGCAAAGAAATCAAGGGTGTTACAGCAAAAATTACTCTCCAGGTGTTTTCATTAGCAAAAGGAAAGGCCAACAAATTCGCAATCAGAATTCCAATAACCAAAGCAAATTGCGTCAAGGTTCCCAGCAATCCACGAAGCGTGGGCGGTGCCAATTCTCCCAAATAAATTGGAACCAAGACCGAGGAGTATCCACTGGCAAAACCAATAATGAAACGAGCAATGATAATGGTGTACATGTCAGGAGCAATTGTCTGCAAAAGGCCACCCAGCATGAATGTCCAAGTATCCAACAAGAGCGCTCCCCTACGCCCACGTTGATCGGCCATTTTGCCACCAACAATGGCCCCAAAAGGTCCACCTACAGCAAAGGCAGCGACAGCAAGTGACCAGAGACCGGTACTGTGACCTGGAAAGACAACCTTCTCGGGTGCGTTCATAACACCTGTGTTGTATCCCACCAAGAACTGCGATGCCGCGGCAACAACTGTGGTTTGTTTAGAAACAATGAATTTTGATTAGTATTTTGCATTGAATGACGAGTCAGCCAGTCAGTCAGTCAGTCAATTGAGAAATGTCGTTTCATCACTGATTCATTGATTGATTGCCCGCAATTGTATCCGCTGTCAAGTCATGGCAAAATACACACACACAAACAAGTGCAGTACAGTGGTTCAATACTTACTAATGGCAAAGACCAGAGGAGCCGTGACCACCTGTGCATCAAACTCAAGTTCATCCAAGATGATCATGCTGGCACGAGACGACCGAAGGTTTCGTTCTTCTTCCGAAAGTCCCTGTAAAGTAGAGGTATCCACTTCTGCAGCATAGTTGGCAAAGGCACCGGAAATGGAGCGCTCTAATTTTTGCAGTCCAAAGACAGCTGTAAAAGGAACCTGAGTGTACAATTCTTGCCTTCCAAGTTCCGACGGTGTCAGATATGACGGACTTCCATCTGCTGATACACTATAGGACTTGGGTAATCCATTAACCTTGGGTTCCTCGGCAATTCGAAAGTTTCCTAAGCTTGCAGATCCTCCCAAGGCTCCTGCGGAGGCACTTCGGACATTCCGGGCCAACTCAGAGTTTCCGTAGCCTTCTCGTTCTCCTCCACTAAGAAGTTCTGTCGTCTCATTACCAATCATTGTCCTTGTCATTCCTGTAATAGCCTCTTGGATGCAGTGTTGCTTCACTGAAGACTATTAGGAGTGGTGATAGATGCCGATTTGGATCGTCTGCCGATCGGATCGATCGATGATCGGAGAGAAGAAAAGATTCGGATTCTCAAGTCAGCTGGCCGTCCGTCCGTCTTCCCCCAACAAAAACCTCCGACCTTGGACCCTTCCCCTCCCCCATTGTGAAAATTATGGGGATATGACATCTTCATCGCATGTATCGTATTATTGTCACTCGTGGAGAATATTATACTTGCTTGCTTCATCTCAATTCACAATTTGCACTCCAGTCCCAACTCATATACACATCATCACAGTCAGAGTGAGAGATCAATTCAAGCAAGCCCCGATTTCTCATAGAAGAGACCGCCACCATGAAACAATCATATCATAATGGATGCTTTCCGAAAGATCTTGTTGTTGTAGTGGTCGTGGTCCTGTGTCTCATGGGATTCTGTACCGTTTCGAATGCCTGGACGTTCAACACGCTGCTGTTATCACAACGGTCCCCTATTCATAAGAATTTTGCCCGGACTGCTGAGGCTACAACTTCCAGATCCATATTGAAGATGACGACGTCGTCGAATCTTGACCAGAAGGAAGGCACCGTCGAGGGCTTGCTAGATGCCAGCGAATTAGAGTCTCGCAATCGATTAGACGACGTAATACGAAAATTACAAGCACAATTGCCAAGAACGCTGATGGAACCATTGACGTCCCTATCTACCGATCAAGTCTACGACCCAGACTTTCAACTATCCGTCTTGGTTCCGACATCGAATAAGAACAGTCCCAAAATAAGTCCAGATGGGCATCGTAAGGAGAGTCGAAGCAACGCGGATACTAATGATCAAAGCGTAAAAAGTAGCCAGATCCCATTGGTGACATCCCGAGAGGAACTAATTTCACTCTCAGATGTTCTGGTGCTAGCCATTACTGCCGCCAAACAGGCACAGTCAATGTTGTCCTTGCCTCGCCGCCGAGTAAGTGGATCCAATGAAACAAATGCGACCCCCTCCAGTTCTGTTGCTGCTGTAGAATGTCAATTAGTCATTGATCCCAAGTTGAACCGTCTTCGAGTGCCCTGGAAGACCAAGGTCCCATTATTATTATCCGCGTCACCAATCCTAGGAGGGAGTCAGAGGAATCCGGAAGACAGCCGGGACAACAACTTTGTTCAATTGGAGGGACTCTCCGACTTTGTCTTGAGCAATACAACCGGGAAGATCATGTCTCACCAAGTGGTCCAAGTATTTTTGAACGGAAGAAGTATCAATGGCCCGGAAGTAGGCCAAGCATTGGAAGCCATTCAATCTGCTTCCAAGAACCTACAGCAGTCGCCCTTCTTCCTCCCAAATGTCTTTGGTGGTGGTTCCAACGATAACACCCGGAACTCGAACGATCTCTTTTGGAAGGAAATGCGAGATGGAATCTTGGAACAAGTGGCTACTGCCGCATCTGCTTCGTCTCGCAATGATAAAACGATCCTTCCAGTGCCACCTGTCGTGGTAGTGAATTCCATCGAAACAGTCAAGGGATGGGTCTCTACGGAACCATTCAATCTGACGATAACATCCCAGGATACCCCCCTTCCTGGAACGGACGAGTGGAACGAGTATATCACCGCACATGAATCCTTGACAGAATTCTGCAATCAAGTTATACCCATGCTGGCAGGGACCACCACAGGAAAATCAAAATCCAGTCCATTATCACCCATTTTGGTAGACGAAAGTGTCTTTGCTTCGAATGTTACCTTCAAAGGTATAGATGGCAGCACGCTCATGAAAGGGAGAGGCTTGGTAGGGAACTTTTATCAGAGCCTTTCTCTTGCACGAAAAATGGGAACGGGCCAAGATTGGACTGTGACCAAGTGTTGTGTCCTAGACTGGAGGAAACGTACGATAGCGATTGACTACAAAGCTACCAATAGTATTCCGCCACGTTGGAAAATCCAAGGAAGAGACATGTACGTCCTAAGCAGCAGCAGCAGCAGCAGCAGCAGTCATGAGGGAGATACCCAAAGCCGCGCAGTCATTCAAGAAATCCAGCAACTTGACTTCCAAGCATCTGCTGCCGATGGCAATCTCTTTCTTGATAGCAGCTGGCTCATGAAGAATCTTGTACGTGCGGTGGAGCAAGGTCGAAACGTTGCAAATGGGGGTTCTGATGGGAATGGTATGGTTAACTTTGGTGAAGTTATTTCCGAGATTCTCCTTCAGCAAGGTGGTAACTTGGGCCTCGGAGGCGGACTTTTGCGATCACAGCAGTCGAACGGAGAAACCGATCTCAAGAGCAAAAGCATGAGCAAAAGCATGAGCAAGAGCAATAAATTCTCTGAGAAGGCGGGTGCCAATGCATATTATCTCATGGCTTCTCTTCTGGAACAGTACCAGGGTCTCTTTGATGACACGACGACGGATCGACGAACGGTGACACCAGGAGCCGAGTTCATGGGAGAAAATGTGGAGCTGCAAGGGTACCTAGGAGAGCCTTTGGTGCGCGGGAGGAATATATACAATCGGGTTCTTGGAACTCTTCTTGCTAGAACAAGGCAAGCCATTGTGCAAAAGCAACTGAGCATTGTCAGTAATATGAAGAAGAGTCCCCCAAAGGTGGAACTTATTGCTTTTGATACAGTCCGCCTATACCTCAGCTATTCGTTTCGTTTAGCAGCACCTCGTCTGTTGCCAGAAATCCCATTACCTAATCAAAATGGAGCTACTGCATTTGGTTCTGGGTCAAGTCTCCCTCTCAAGATTGAACTAGTTTCAGACTACAAGCTGGATCCCAACTCTGGCCAAGTGACTGTTCACAAACTGGTGGAAACGAAAGTCAATGGTCAACTCACTCCAGGTGATATGCTATCACGCTGGATACAGCGGTTTTTGAAGTTGGACAGTGGTAGTGTTGGGACGTCCAATGGTGCCAGTGACGAGTTCTTCCAGACGTTTGTTGACGCAGTTTCATGGTTTCGTACATTTCGGCCTCCCGACCGATAAAAAAGAAACCATCTGTATTCAAACTTTGATACTACAGAGGTAAATTTGTGACCACGAAAAGACAAGAGTAAGATCGCACGAGAAACTTGAAAATAAGCTAACACAGATTAGCTATCGAGTCCCCGACAAAAGGAACATTAGACCAGCACCAATACCCATACCAGCAAGGAAGGAAAACGGGGAAGAAGACCTTATCGGCGAAGTCTTCTTGCCGCTAACCTCATGGCCCGACTTATTGTTTTCATCCTTGCTCGTCTTGTCAGCTGGGAGTGCCTCCGACGTCTGATTGCCAGAAGGGGCTCCTCCTGGTGTAATGTCTAGGAAAATATCATCCGACAGAAGCTTGATGTTGGAATGTTGGAGAAGCTACGGTAGAAAACCAACAATAGTGAGACGCTCGCCGTGGCATTAAAATGAATCCAATACATTCAGCCATGTTCATTTGTTTACTTACGTCGTCAGCAATACCAAGAATTAGTGCATACAACGATGAGTGGAGATTAGCAATCATCGTCCGCCGACGCCGCAACCAAAAGCGATCCCACCACGAAATATTCTCGTCACGGAAATAGCCATCATCGCCATTTCCAGACTTCAAAGCAAAGTCTACCAGCATTTTCTGGTCGATTTCAGAATCCATCCATTTACTTTTGGGGCGCGGCTTCCCGTCAAGAGTATTAGTAGTTGAAATGGAACTCGCAGCAGTGAGAGCAGATTGTTCTAGCACCGTAGGCTTAATCATCAAGCAAATGTCGTGTCCACAAAGGTTGATGCTGAAGGTATGACTGAGTATCTGCAACGTACGGAAGATTACCTTCAGACAGCTTTGGTACAGATAGATCTCTACGACGTCAGGTATATATGCATTGTTCACAGCATGATTTTCCAACAAACGGGCTGCAACGGTATCCAGGACTTCATCGTTCACACCAGATCGCATCATTGCAGCGGCTTCCGCAATGCGCCGATACTTCTTTTTCTTCTTCTTTACCGATTCGCTTGAATTACTGAACCAGCTTCTAGTCAGCTCTTTGTCGTTTTCTTCTTCTTCCTCATCCAAGAGCCGCGCCACCTGAATCTGGTGCGAGAGAAGCGGCACGCCATTCAAATCGTTCAAGAGCCGGTAGAACAAATTGAGTACCAGTCGGACAGCTGATTTGTACACAATCGCCTCAACGGCATCTGGAACCAATTGGATATTGATGCTCGGATCTTCTAATATGATTTCAACTAGGGCATCCACATCTTCTTCCGAAACTCCATCGGGCCACAATGGCCTGGTTGCGAGAAACGGAATATCGTCCTCAGGGGGGGCAGAGTCTTCTGTTTCCGAAGCAATCGTTGCAATCGAGTTGGCGTCGGGTTTTTGCGGGGCATCACAAGAGGATCTTGAAGTTGGCAGTAGTGCTGTATCAAATGCAACTGCGGTACCAAATGCTGCAGTAATGGCACCGTAGAAAGAATATGACGACGGTTGTGCAAAAGCTTCCTTTCGAATTGTCTTTTTAGCAGATGTGCTGAAGGTTATTGTGGAGCTGCTTCCTCCTACTTTTGCTGCTGTCCGATTTGCAGACGATGAAATTGTGACACAGCGTTTGCCACAACTTGATCGACGTCGCAGAAGACTTTGGTTGAAAAGTCGTCGTTTCATTTTATCTGGAATCTTCTCCTCGGTATTATCGCACAAGGCAAAGGCGGCTTATAATCTTGGTTCTCTCGGGAGACTTCAAATAGAAAGTAAGTTACGCTTTAGTATTCATCAACCCAGAGTCGACAAGTGCGATGAAAAGGTCGTTGATTTGGATCCAACGGCAACCTTCATCGTCAGCCTTGGCAAGCGTCATCATTCTTCTTCATTTTCACAAGATCCATGACGTCACAATATATGAGAAAATTCTGTTCATCCATTCGTCGTTCAATATGCGAAAATTTATTGAGGGAAAACGTACCAATAGCACGGATAGCGTTTGATTTTGGACCAATCACATTACGGCTCCAATAGGCCTTGCACGCGAAGCTGTATCGTGTTTCTTTTTATTTCCTCCGAAAGTGACCATCACAAAAGGCGATCGATATATATGATGAATGCCCTTCCTGCCACTGTGAATATCCCAGAGAGGATTACACCAAACGACGTCGAGGAAGTGTCGTCCAGAGACGGGAAACTCGAAGAGCCGGCGAAGAGGGAAACAGAACAAGAACGGCATTCTGCCATGCGGAACCACCATCAAATTCGATCCGCAGATGCTGCCGCTGATCCGACCGCCGAACGAGTTTCCAAGCTCCACAAGAAGGACGTTATGTTAGGGAGAGGCTATGGAATCCAAAATCATCCCGGTAACGAACGCATGCGCGATATTATTGCCAAATACAAGCCACAGTACCACTCGATGACTCGGGAGGGCAAACGGAAACTCATTGAAGGAGCCTACAACGAGATCACTGAAAGTGGAGCGAAATTTCTCAAGAAGCTCGATGGTAAAAAGGGGTGGGCTGTTGTTGATCGAGTCACTGCCCTGAACAAGATAAGGCAGTCTGTGAAACGGCGAAAGAATGCCGCTCACCCGTTTGACGAAGAAAACTGGAACAAGCCAACCACTTTCGGAGGATTTGCTGGACCTGGAGCTCGGGCTCTAGCAGGAATGCCCTCAGCACTAGAAGGAATGCCTTCAGCAATGGCAGGAATGCCTATACCTGGAGCCATGCGTGGAATGCCTCCAGCACTATCAGGAATACCTGGAGCTATACCAGGATCTATGCCTGGAGCTACACCAGGATCTATGCCTGGAGCTACACCAGGATCTATGCCTGGAGCCATACCAGGAGCTATACCATTATCAATTTCCGTTCCTACACCAGCCAGTCTCCCATCACTTGTCGCCCCCTCTAGTAGGTACGCACCTCCAGCACGTGCCGCCGAGGACATGTCCTTGGCCGCCTTGGAGGCGCAACGAATGGCCGCGTTGCAGCGATACAGAATGATAACTGGTAGTATAGCTGCTGCGACTACCAGACAAGATGACATGGAGTACTACCAAAACCTACGAAGACAACAAGAAACAAGACTGCTGATGGAACAACGGAACACTGCCGAAGTAGCTAAAAAGTGAATCAAACCTACAGGATCGGTCGGGCATTTTTTGGGCGACGTCATGGAGTAACTTAGAAGCTACTTTCGAGGGCCTGGTCGCCGAAGGTAGTGACACTCCAAGGCCTTCCTTGTCGACCTAGCCAGAGACTTAATTTTGGCATCCTCCCAAAATCATTGGAGAATGTTATCTTTCCTCGCCCTCTCGACGGAAATAAATCTAACTAAAAAGAAGATCAATTATCATACCTAGTCCTAGGTTATGACCGTTGGTTCATCAGTTCCAATGTAGGTTTTGATTGCGCTTAATTCGAGCGCCACTTTCACTAGGCCATCCAGAGCCTCCGATGCTATCATATCAATTTTCTCTTTTTCGTATTGTTCAATGTACATCCGTACAGTTGCCCCGGAACCAGCTGTGCCTGAGAGACGGAAGATTATGCGTGACCCATCCTCCATCAAGAAACGGATACCTTGCTTCTTGGCGACGGTACCGTCCACTGGATCCTTGTAACTGAAGTCATCAGCTTTGGCAATTCGATATTGCCCAATTTCTTTGCCCGTGTTTGCCGTTGCACTTTCCCTCATCTTGTCCATCATCTTTTCTGCACCTGCCTTTTCCACACCTTCAAAGTCCCAGCGACAGTAATAATTGCGTCCATACTTTGCCCAGTGACCTTTCACGATGTCTTCTACCGTCACAAGAGAATTGGAGCTTTTGTTCGAGCTATCAAATGCCAAGATTGACAATAAGCTTTTGCTTGAGCTCTCAACTTTTGAGTTTTCATATGCCAAGATCGACAACCAAGCCAAGACAGCCCAGAGTCCATCCTTTTCTCGAACGTGATCGGATCCAGTGCCGAAGCTTTCTTCCCCACAAATAAAGGGCGTGTAATCTTTTCCTTGGAAGATTGCTTTTGAATCCATCAAGTTGCCAAAGTATTTCCATCCTGTTGGTGTTTCGAATACATCAAAGCCCAAGTCTTTGGCCACCAGATCTACTGCACCGCTAGTTGGCATGGAACGAGCCACACCCTTAAGCCCGCCTTGCGACCTGAAAAATGGAATGACATGGGCATAAGACGCAATGACAGCGAGGGAATCGGAGGGACTAACAAAAAACCTGGTCCCAAGGATCATATTTCGATCTCCATCTCCATCCGCGGCAGCGCCAAAGGATTGTACCACCTTCGCTCCAGTATCGATCTTTGCACCCTTTCGGTCGAGCCCCATGAGTTCGACCAACTCCTTAGCGTATGTCAGATTCGGATCTGCGTGCGCACCGTTGAAGTCATCCTTCGGGACGCAGTTCATGCACACTGACTCGGGCTGTCCAAGCTCGTCAACAAAGACTTTTTTGGCATACGGGCCGTTTACACCATGCATGGCATCGTAAACCATGCTGAAATCGTTGCGATCCAGCAAACCCCGAATCGCATCAAAGTCAAAAATCGACTTTAAAAGGGTCACATGGTTTTCGGTAGAACTGATCACTTCCACGCACACCTGCTTCATGCCATCGGTGGATTTTACATTTGTTGGTCCGCACTCGGATAGATCGATAGATGGAAACTCCGGGCAAATGAAGTATTTATAAATTTTTGTCGTATTCTCATAGATGGTGTTGGTGAGAATATCAGGGGCTGGTCCGCCGTTTTCACAATTGTACTTGATTCTGTCCAATCCAGAAGTAGACAAGATACATCAGATTGGCCACCAATCAACAAGCAAAGTAAAACCATTCGACTTACCCAAAATCCTCGTCTGGACCACCTGGGTTGTGGCTGGCTGTCAAGATGAATGCCCCAAATGCTTGTTGCCAAATAGGACCCCGTTCCCGAATGGTCGCAGAGATAGCTGGAGTGCTCATGAGACCATCTTGACCGACCCAAATTCGCTTCACGCCATTTGCGACAGCCATTTTGATAATAGTCTGAATAGCTTCCTTGTTGAAGTATCTACCGTCGCCTCCAATGAGCAAAGTCCCCTCTACAATGTTGGTTCCCCTCGCCTTGATTGCATTGAAAGTAGACTGTACAAAATTTTCCAAATAATTCGACTCCATGAATCTCTTTGTTTTCTTTCGAAGTCCAGAAGTTCCGGGTTTCTGCCCTTCGATGGGACGTGTCTTCACAGTTGTGGGTTTCAAAGGTCCGAGGTCATAACCAAGGTCTTGTGGCCGTGCAATTACAATTGCTACAGACTTCTCCCGTTTTAGGCTCGTAATTGTTTGATTCACAGACTTCATTCTTTTTCCATTTATACTCCAGAGAAAGTATCCCGTTGGTACATCTGGGAACAATCCAAAGGGATCCACGTGTGTAATCAGAACGCAATCTTGCTTGTTCTCGTATTGCCGAATCGTGAAACCGGTCCTTTCTTCGGAAATCTTTACTGCCGAGTGATGCTGCCCCCCTGTTGTGATCCGAATATCACCGATAGGAGCCTTTCGAATGATGTCACAGGCCTGCTTTGCACTTTGCACAGTCTTTCCGTTGATTTCAAAAACTCGCAACCCGGGGACAAGATCAGTCAGCTTAGCTGCTCTCCCAGATACACTTTTGATAGCAACGAGCTTATTGATGGATATAAATGTCACGCCTACCTTTGTGGTAGGCGATTTCTTCTTCACAACCCAGGTGATAGTCATCCTACAATAACAGAATGGAAACAAATGGCTTCTCGCGTCAACAGAATTTCTCCAAAATTCGAAACCGAAATGACTTTTGCGGCTGACTGACTGACAGCTTTTAAATTTGTAGAATATTGAAAATGTTGTGTTACAAATTTGGGTGCCAAATGCCGTATTCGAACTCAATATGCATTCAGACTTGTGGTTTGGATAAAATGCAAAACTTGGTCAAGATATGCGGGCGACAATTATGAGAACCCTGAGCTTTGTGGTAGAGACTTCGGCTCGATCCCACTATAAATCAAGTTTGAAGGCCCTGTTCTAATCTATAAAACAAAAGGAAACCATGGCTTATCAACATCTCTAGAAAGTCAATGTTGAACCAATGACCTTCCCATCAATTCCGTATCTTAGCAGATATAGCAGCAGTAAAGGATTACTTCGAGTCAGAACCCAACCAATAACGCCTACTCCCTTTTTTTCTCTACTGTGGAATCTACTATGTGGGATGGTAGGAGATTGTGTCTTGTCAGAATACCGACAACCTTCCCACCACTGTAAGACCCAGTCACCACAATCCATCTCAATCCCAATTCCGTGAACAAAGTGTAGGCCTTGGACAATGGGAAATAATCAGGAAGAGAGAACGCGCCTTTGTTCATCACTGCTGATAGATTCACAAACTTCTCTTCGTGATCAGGATGAAGCCATTTGATCACCACCCTACCATCGCTACTAGATCCAACTCTACCAAATCCTGTTGGGATTTTGATCTCTGACGATTCCGTAGAAATACTGTTTCTGTTTTCGAATGATAACTCAGAACTCAAGTGCCGCAGACCCGACATTGATTCCGAATTTAATGCAGGCAAGGTGTCATCGCCAGCAACTCGAATTGGCCTGTTTTCATTCCCATGAATCGAGGTCTCCGTTCCAGGATAGTGCGATATGGCATCTCGAACAGACAAGAGGTACTCATTTGTATCATACTCGTCATCTTCCAGATCATCTACGTGTTCTCTCCCACGGTGGTCTTGTGTTTCCAAGTATTGATATCGATCGTCTTTGATATGATAAGCCCAATGCATCAGAGGCTACCAAAAGTGCCAGTTAGTTCCGCTTGACGGTAGTACGAATTCATGGTGCGAAACTTACTGATTTGTGGACACCAGGCGTTGGTGTCCAAGATTCAGAGGCACGAGATTCAAAAGGATTGGTCTTCTCAAACACGCCGCATTCAAGAAGAGCCACAATTTGGTTCCGGCGGACAATTCCTAGCAATTTGTGGTCAGAATCAACGACTGGAAAACCATGGCCCGGAGACCGTTCCAAAAATGCAACCAAATCTTTTGCTTTCTCGTATGGGCGCACCGTAATGACAGGCGCGCTCATGACATCCCCAACTTCAAACATATCATACAATCTAATGTCTTTGTGGTTAAGGAAGGGATATCCTTTCAGTGACATTGATACCTCGTAGATTCCATCCGGGTGTACAAGACTTGCAACGTATCGTGCCACAACAACAGTGATGATAACTGGAATCAGAACTTTGATTTGACCAGTTCCTTCCACAAGAATCACACAGATACTGACAGTCGATCGTTGGACTCCAGCTAACATTGCCGCAACTCCTAGTAATGCAATCGTGGAGGGTGTGATTTGTGAATCCACATATGTTTTGAGTAGTATGCCTCCAGCGCCACCCACACTTGCTCCAATCAGAACGGTCGGGGTAAAGACACCCAACGGAAGGGCCGATCCGATTGTCGCGAGGGTCAGAAAGTAAAATAGGCCTCCAACTGTTAGAAGTGTCAAACACTGGAACTGTTCTGGGTCAGTAAGAATCCATCGAATGGCTTTGTCTCGAGAACCTAGCAAGATGGTCGCAAGAGCATTCACTTCGCCTTCCTCACAGAAGAATTGGTGTCCAACATTGGCGAGATAGTGATCATAGGCGGGAATCTGTCGACAACCAAACGACAGTGTGGTCACAGAGAACAAGAGGAAAGAAGTGACTACGCTCAAAACGGTGACATAAATGAGATGTGTATATTTGCCATCGCCAGTCCAAAGCGCCATTTGTCGCTTTTGGAATTCCAAAACTGAAGAGTATAGGCCTCCCATTGCCCCGCCAATAATGCCTGTCAAGAAATAGAATGGGACTTCCTCAAATCGATTGACAAAAATATTCTTATTTGGTTCGTTGTAGTCACCCTAGATGATTCGAAGCGAACGAATTGTTATCCTGTTGGTTAGAGACTCAGGTGAAAAAATCTTAATGAACAGATAGATCTTACCAGATTAATCACACTGTACTGAGACAGATCCCCTCTATACAGTGCAAGACAGAAGGTTCCCAGTGCGTTGGCTACCAAAACTCGAAGAAACATCCTCTTAGAGAAGAAAGATGACAGATCATCCAAAATAAATAGTAGCCCTCCGATAGGCGCACCAAACGAAGCTGCAAATCCTACTGCTGCCCCAATGGTAACCAAATCTCGCTTTTCCGTGTCATTGGCAAAATACGCAAGATCTGAGGTGCTCCAAAGCCATATACGAGAAAGAATCGAATTGCCAGACCCCACGTTTTTAGAGGCTGATATCGATGGGATAGGAGACGAGAGAACATGTGGCAGCATCACGGAGAGTTTGGAACAACTTGCTCCAACAATGGCTCCAATGTGAACGAGAGGGCCTTCTTTTCCTACCGCCAAAGAAGACATGACACTTAATATCGTCCCCACAATTTTGACCACAAACAAGCTCACGCTTGAGAATCTCTTGACCCGAACACCGTTCAAGTAAGCCTTCACATCAGGAATACCTGATCCCATAGCTGCTGGTACCCACGCCACACAAAGTAGACTGGAAGAAAAGGCCAGAATCCAGCTGAAAAACGAAAATCGTAAAAACACGTAAATGTTTGGGTCTTCTGGATTCGTAATATTCGCGCTCAATCTGCTGGCTCTGAAGGCAACGAGCTCTTCCGTCACGGATACAATCAGGATCGTAGTCAAACCTGTCAGCAATCCTGCTGCAGCTGTCAATGTCCACCGAGTGACAGATCTGCCCGCATGACCGACGAAACCCTTATTGGAATTCCACTGGTCATTCTTTTTTTGCGGGTGCCTAGAAGCTTCCGCAGTCATTCGGTCACGGCATGCCTGAATCGAGTATTCATTGACGACCCTTTCAAAATCGAGGCTTATCGCACCGCGAGAGTAGCCAATGTTGTTGTTCGGGGGTGGCGGTGGAACGGATGCCAAATCGGAATGGACCTCCTCCTCATCCTCTTGAATTATGCTGTCGTACTTTATGCCTTCTTGTGTTTCATTCAGGACACTTTCATGCTCGGAATTCATTGCTCCTTGCTAGTCGCTTGATAGCTATGGTATGCTGTTTTCAACCTGGCTTTGTTTGTTTGCATTAGGCTTTGATATAGGCAAGGGAATACTACAGTATGTATATATCGAGATGCGAATTATAAGATCGCGATTTGTATCTATGATATCTTTTATGATCCCCCAATATCCGGGGGAATGGAGTGGGGGAGCATATCCATCAAAAACACATCGCAAATCATCGTCAGAAAAATCTTGTGGTTGCAGAGACGAGTTCGCGAGTCCTTATCCTTTGCTTTCAACGTTTTCGTTCCAATATAGTACGAGTATCACGAAACCAGAATCAAAAGTACAGTTTGATCATGACCACAACAGCTATTGCAGTCCTGGTGATCTTGTTGATCCAACCTGTCTTTGGATTTGTCGTGCCACCGCCGCGGCCTTCCAGTGGTGGTATCCATCACTCATGCAGTAGTAGTCATCGCCCAACCTTTACAACAACAACAACAACACCAGGAACATCGAGTCGTCTATTTGCATTGGAACGAGCCAAAGAAGTCTTTGACAAATATAGTATCTCCAATGTTATATCTTCCAAAGATTTGGCCAACATGTTGAACTCTCTCGATGTTGATGCCTCTCGAGAAGAAGCAGACGCTCTGTTTCGATACTTGGATACAGATGGAGATGGATCTATTACACTTGAAGAGTTTTTACCCTGGTACAGTGAAACTGCAGAGGAGGCAAGCGAAATATCTTCCACCTTTCAGAGTTTGTTGCTTGGCCGTCGCACGGTGCATCAGTTTGACCAAACCCCAGTGAGTGACGACGTCTTGAGACGAGCCATTGCCTGTGCGATTGCAGCTCCGAATCGAAGTCAAAGCGAGCCTTGGAGATTTATTCAAGTTGGTCCTGAAACGGTACGAAAGTTCGTCTCCCTCAAGGAATCCATGGAGGCACCACAAAGTGAATCTTCGAACAATTGGACCAAGATCCCAGGATGGTGTGTGGTCACTTCCAAATTGAGCGATGATCCCGTGGAAGAACTAGATGACTTTAAGTCGACCAGTTGTGCCGTTCAAAACTTCATGTTGAGCATGTGGAGTGAAGGCATTGGGACCAAATGGACTTCGGGACCTGTCCAAAAGACCCAAGAGTTTGCGGACCTGTGTGGTGTGGATACCAAGGTTGAAAAAGTAGCTGGATGCATCTGGTATGGCTTTGCCACTGGGGGACTAAAGAATGCGGATCCCAAGCGACGAAAGAAGGGAGTGGAAGATGTCTTGACGACCTTGCCATAGTAATAATAATAATAGTGATAGTAATAGTAATAATAAAAGCAACCAGTATGGCACGAATAAATCATAAAATGTGGAACGAATCAATCAAAGAGGTAGGATTCTTCTTTGGTCTTTGGACTTGCGAGTCTTTTGGACTTGCGTATCTTTTTCCGCTTGGGCGAATCATCCTCGTCACTTCCATCAGTTCCATGAGTCTCACTATCGCTGTCGTCCTCGTCCATCATCTTTCGCTTTTTTTCTTCAGGTATTTTTCTCAATTCTTCCAGCCACTCATCCCTAACAACTGGAATGCCCCCCTCCTCGTCATCAGTCTCGTCGCGGTCGCCTTCTCCTTCGGACGATGTGTCGTTTTCGTGAAAATCTTCGTCTCCTTGATCGGTATCGTCGTCCGTGTCCACCGCTTCGGCCTGCACCTCGATTTCATCATCGTCCTCGACGTCACCGTTATTTTCCGCTGTACCACTAGTACTCTTTTGCAAATATGGAACGATGTATTCTTTTTTGTAGTCATCAAGTGCCTTTTCTTCTTGGCAAGGAATATTGGAAAATTCTTCAATCTCACCCTTTGGAACCATTGCACTATTGGTGGCCTTTTTATTGTTACTGTTCTGCTCGTTGCCATTTTCGTCTTCTGCCTGTTCCCTGGGACGCAGCATAATGGCCAAATCGATATATCGACTCGAGGATTGTCCTGCCGAGGCTCCTCGACCAAACATGACTCGTTGCATGTCCTCGACGGGAAGGAATCTGGGAGGTCTAGTAGTATAACACAAAAAAGGGGAATGTGAGATGTACATCATGATACAAACAATAGTAATCATGATAATGATAAATATTGACAACCGTACCATCACAATTCAAAATGCATAGGACGACACAAACATAGTACGTACTTGAAAAACAACAATCCTTGTTTCAATGGATACAAGACACCATCTTGGACTCCCCGATTGCAGCTGACAAAGGGCATGCCACTCGTGGTTGTGGAAGTCCCAATGTCAATGTGACTGTAAAAGGCGGTACAATTCACTCGGACTTGGACTACCTTCATTGACATTTTGGTGTTGGCGTCACCAGGAACAGTAGTAGCAGCAGGTTTTTGCAGGGCTTGGGTCAACACTTTTCGCCAACCATCGGTTGCCATTTTCCACGCGGGTGTAGGAGTAATACTCTGGTTTCCATTACCATATTCAACTTCTTCCTCGTCATCATCTTCCTCCTCGTCATCCTCCTCTTCGTCATCTAGATCAGCAAGCTTGGGTCCTGTGCATCCCTCCTTCTTGTCCCATGGCAGGGAGAAACAAAAGTGATCCATCTCCTTTCCTTGAAATAATATGGGAGCTTTCAATTTCAATAGGACGACGTGTCCCTTTACTTTGGACGAATTTTTGCTGCCAATGCCTGACTTGATGAGCTTGCAATCTTCGGGTTTGGGAAAGACAATCAAATGGCTGACTTGGCCGGGCTTTAGATGCACCGATGGTTGTTGACTGACATTGGAAATTTTGAGACGAGTCGCCAACAAACCATTGGCCGAAAGCTGAATTTGAACGCGGCCCATCCTTGGTGTCAACAAGGAAGTGTCCAAGGGTTCGGACAGTAACATTTGTGAAGAAGTGTTGTTGTTCTTGTTTTTGTTGTTGTTGTTGTTGTCGCTGTCATTGTTGTCACAGTCGAAAGAATCATCCATCGGTTGGGTCATGGCTACTTGGAGTGCGGCTTGTTCGGCATGTCGGTAGGTCTCCTTGAGAAAGGTCGAAGCTTCCGAATGGCGATTGGAAAATCGATGGTCCAACAGTTGCTGGGACAAGACGCTGGCACTGCAGGTTTTCAAAAAGGCAATGGTTTCTGGGTCAAGCGGTGCAACTTCTGCTTCATCTGTACTGGAGTCATCTTCCACTGCAGCAACAGCAGTGGCAACCATTGTATGGTGTATTATAGGATACTTTTGTTAATATTGTATCGTATATATAATACTGTATGTATCGAAGTTTGGTTTTGTGTTGATTGTGTTTTTTATGAATCAACAACAATCATCGCACGACATTTCAAAAGACACTTCGATGCTTCGACAGTACCGGTATACCGGTATATTGAATATCGTGTACGCATGGACTGTGCTCGCACGCTTGATTGGATTTGGCGCGAAATCACATCTACACACGCCCGGAGTGATCCAAAGCCTCCTTTTAGGAGTACCATACTGCATGCGATGCGAAAAACTACCATATTATAGTGACTGCAAAATATTGTTTACTTCAATATCAAAAATGTACTACTTGGATAGCAGCTTGAGATCTTGGTATTCGCCTTCTCCTTCTTGACGACAATGTGACGACTACTACTAGGCTCCTACTAGTACTAGCCTACGTGTATAAAGCATCGTAGTCCAGCATCATGCATCATGATCATCACTTCTTCTCCTTCTTTCTTCCCTTGATTGTTTCATCTGGCCAATGTGGCAGTCTCCATGGATGGTCAAAGGACCACGTTCGAACCGAAAAGGTCACCAAAAACGCAGTGACAGAAACCAAGTCCTCGTCAAACTTTTGTTTGCTGCTAGTCAACAGGGTGTAAATCACGCTTCCAAGGATCGGTCCGGCACTCAACATGCTTTTGTAAGGGTACATGACCCGCGGTGGCTCCCCACAAAGTATGTCCCGAATGATACCACCAAAGACAGAGGTAATCACACCGGATACTACCCACATGGGAGGTGCCAGATTCTTTTCGACTCCCCGTTTGGTACCCAGCACACAAAAGGCCGCCATGGCAAAGGCATCGGCCGTGCAAATGGTCCTGGCCGAATCCTTGATTCCAAATTCGCGTTCAAAAATGGGCCACAGCAAATAGGTTGCGATCGTCGTCACAAACGAGATTTGAATGTAAATGGGATTCCGCAACCAAAAAATGGCCTTGCCACCAGTTCCCATTAACAAATCCCTTACAGTTCCACCGCCAATGGCGGTAATGCTGGCCAAAATCATCATGCCCAATAGATCCATTCCCTTTTTACCGGCCTTGTAGGCACCGGCAAAGGCAAAGACAAAGGTCCCAAGCACATCAATTATTTCCAAAAGCTGGTGGACGACGCCGGTTTGGATCAATAGGGAATCTTGGGCGGAGGAAATGAGACTGGAATATGTGCCAGAACCGGAACCACCACGAGGAATGCTGGTGGTGGATGACAGCAGTCGTAGACTTTTGGATTTTCTCAAATCGTCATGGGCAATTTTCGTCGACGTCATTGTCATTGTTGTTGGTGTTGTTGCTGTTGTTGGTATCGTCGTCGTCGTCGTTCTCCTGGTGCGTGTAGCAGTAGTAGAATGACCAAAGAATGGTACCAACGACGACGACGATGATGACGAGGAAAGGGTGGTCAATCTTTCTCCTTGAACACCAGCAATCGATAATATGAAAGCGAAGAGGATGCTTCGCAGAAACGCCATTGCTGGTGTCTGTCTACACACACGCTACAGTACTCGTGTGTGTTCTCGTTCTCGGTTGTGTCTGAGAATTTACTCATACTGTACTTGGCACCAATTTTTGATCGGAATCAATGACGTGTTATTGTGTGGGTGAGTTTATTTATTTTATCTCCTGTTTTGCAACGCCTGTCCGTCAGGTCGAGAGCTGATTCAGACTCAATTTCGTTCGGGGGTGGAGGTGCAGACCATGACAGTACAAAAAATTCAAATCTCGCCATCTCATCATCATCGCATTTCAAACAATACATATGTACAGGCAATTTTATTGTTTCGCCCCAGATCACGATCCAAGAGCACTATAATAAATAACAACGAGCTACAATTGTACAAGGAGATAGTCGCATTAAAAGCAAGCAAGCAAGCATTGGATACCATGATACTCCGAAGATGTCCTCATCTACATTTCACAGTAGTAGCCATATTGATCATGTTCAGCTGGTGTAATTCTGCAAATGGATTGGAGCACCAACCACGATCCTCCTCCTCCACAACGAAGAACAATCATCATCCAATGCTGACACTGGAGAATAATAATCACCTGCCTCGACGTCGACCATTTAGTGGCGGAACGACCCGATTGACATCAATCTTACCGACAGAAGGAGAAGGCATTGTGTTGTCAGAACAAGTCAACCACTTTCGTCAGCAACCAGCCTATCGAATGTTGTCTGCAGTGGTGGGTTTGTCTTGCGTCAATATTGTGTACAGCATGTTACGACCGGATCCTGATATCGGATTGATGATGCGGATGCCTCGAATATTCTGGGAGATTTGCATTAGTTGCACTGCCGCCATCTCTGTGGGCGGAGGCGAAGGATCCATTTTCAGACTCTTATTGGCCATGATGCTCGGTCCGACCGCATTGATTGATATCTTCTTTTGGGGACCCATTCTAGGAGCAACCACGACCTTTCAAACTTGCACGGGTGGATATCTGCGAGGGCCCCGGTTTTGTCGGTTGGATATGGGGAAAGGGATAGGGAGAATTGTGGGCATGGTCCAATCGGTATTTGGTGGTGCCTTTTACATGCTCGCAGCAGCCGTATGTTGGTCCGAATACTGGCAAGCACAACGGATGAGGGAAGAAGAAGCGCGGATGCGGGCTCGAATTGTGGACTATTCCTACGAACATTGATCAAGGAATCATTTTTAATTTGTATCTTTTCTTCAATGGTCTCGACGAGCAATTTGAAATTTACATGTTTTAGAAGGTCTTTTAGTACTATGAGAATGACTTGAACGATGCTCTTAAGGTTGCGGGAGTGTTCGGTTCTCCACTCCTATACGGCGTTTTGCCTATATATAGTGATGGCTTTTCATTCAACGACAACAAAGCGAGTAGCGGGCACAGCAAGAAATGCCGAGAGCGGCTTGGACAACGCTAGACTACTGTAGGAGTGGCATCAACAGCTTTCATGGGGAATCAGATTATAAAGTCAGCAGGTGATGTGATTGGCATGCTGACAAATTGAGTTTGCATAGTTGGACCCTGCTGCTCAACACATACTATAAAACGCTGTCGATGACATGCGACGATACCAATGTACAGAAACAACAACAAAATAGAACGAATTTCACTGGAAAAAACTGCTTCTTCTATTTTCCTTATATAGCAGGACTTGTTTTTACAATACGGCCATTTGTAAAATAAATAGTCTTGTAGTTTCAGAAGTGTGAATCATCAAAGGCTATTCGGGCTCATTGATGCGAGAGTCTATCTTCAAGGCCCAAGAATGCACCATCACTAAGACAATGCGCACTGTATATTGTTTTGATATCACTTTCTCAAACCGAGTTTTCGCTCTTCCTTTATCATTTGAGACCGCTCCATTGCAATTTTTTTTTTCAATGCGTAACGTTTTGCTTGGCTCAGTGCAAAATTTGTGTCAATTTCCTGTTGCACATCATCGATTCTTTCTTTGCATTCTGCTATCAATTTTAGCGAGGCTAGTCTCTCGGAAGAGTCAATTGATTGGTTAGAAGCTCCTTGGTTTGTCGTATGGGCTATTGGAAAACCTTCAATTTCTTCTGTCTTGTCTGCATGTTTCACCACTGTATTGGAGAGTGAAAGCGATTGTTTCTCAGCTTGAAGCGCGTCCTGTAAAGTTACCAATCGCTTCCTTGACTCCAGTACTGCTTCCTTTGTCATCCTATGCTTTAGGTATGATAGTTGATCTGCACATCCTCTCTCCAAAACGGCATGTCGCACGGCTTGCTGGGGATTCATCTGCAGGTTCAACTTGCGTAGTTTACCTTCGAGAAACAATCCCAATTCCAAGGGTATCTTCTTCAACTTATTCTGGGCAATTTGCAGTACTTGAATGTTGGGACAACTCAAGGCTAACGACCACACCAGGTCTTCCATATCTTCGATCTGATTCTCTGACAACTCTAAATGAACCAAAGATGCTGGTAGCCATGCTGTACAACGCTCCAAGGACTTGATCTTATTGGATAGTAGATTGAGAGTCTTCAGACACTTCAATTGAGCCAATACCTCAATGGGCACCTCTGTGAAGCAATTACCACCTAGGTCAAGTAGTTCAATCGTGTTGGCCCATAACAGATCCCCTACAATAAGTGGAGAGAAATCGCTCAACTGATTTTTTGACAAGTCAAGATGGACCAACCGTGGACAGGTTGCCAATTGGGGCGGAACCAATGATAGCTTGTTCGCCGAAAGTGATATATTGGAGACATCTCGGATAGTCGAAATCAGATCCCCTGGAATTGAATCAAACCCATGCAACTCAAGTTTGTTTGTAATCTTGCTGGCAATCACAGGATTTGCTTTTAGCGATCGCACAAGTGGATCCAGGGAGAGAGATGACCGTACTCCTTGCCCTTGATGATGGAATGCAGAGAGCACAATAGAGTTTCCGTTGGAGATGAAAGCGGAAAGAATCGAGGAAGGTTGTGAATGTAACGCTTCCTCCCGCTTTGGCGCTCGTCGGCGAAGAACTGCCAGTACTTCATCTGGATTGCTCTCAACGTCAGATCTTTTGAATGTAAAAAGTGGGTTTGAGGCGACTCGGAAAGCTCTGAGCTTCGGAAGGAGTCCTAATTGGTATGGCAAGTTTTTGAGTTTGTTGGAGCTAAGGTCGAGGCGTTGCAAGTTGGAATACTTTTCAACAGTGGAGCCATCGATTTCAGATAGGTGATTCCCACTGAGCATCAACTCGATCAAAGCAGGCGGCGATGCATCCGATACAGGGAGAAGTGCTCCAATATCCTTTATCCTGTTTTCTGTCACGTCCAATACCAGTAGGGAATTTGGAATCAGTGGCAATGCTGTCATTCTGTTCATTCCGATATTCAGCGTCTTCAAGCTTCTGTAGCGGCTGAGATCAAATGTGTGGGCAATCATATTGTATGAAGCGTCAATGGACTCGAGCTTATTATCTGTCGAAGCGCCAAGGAACTCAGTTGGAAGCCGTGAAAAAGAGTTCTGATGGCACCGAAATACTCGAAGGTCAGGGCATGAAATGTGACAGTCATTCAGATGAGTTAGCTGGTTGTGCGAGATGTTAAACACCTGAAGCTGTATGGTTGCTGACTCGTCGGACGAGCTTATAACCGCCAGTCGATTGCTCGATAAATTGAGCTCGTGCAGAATAGGCGGCAGAAGGTTCATGTCGAAAGCAGTCAATTGGTTTCCTGAGAGATCCAATATTTTCAAAAACTCCAAACAAGTCAGCGAAACAGTCATCTTGTTCAATTGGCATCGCTTGAAATACAGTTTTTGAACCCTGGTGAACCTTGTAAAGCGCTCATCGAAATCACCAGTGATTAAGTCATTGTCTGAGATATCGACCACTGTAAGTGTATCTTCCGTGTGCTGATAGGCCGATTGTTGGTTGTCCATAGAGAGGTTAACCTTTAGGCTTGCACGAAGTTCGAAAATCTCGTTTGTCAGCAGTCCGATGCCCGCATTGTTTAGACGAAGGTGTCCTGAATTGCGAGCATCCGCTATTGCGGTCTCCAAGCGAGAGGCTTCTGCCGTCGGATCTCCACAAACATGAAGACCATGTGCCCGTGCAAAGTTCGGGTTCATTTGAAGACGGGACTTCCTCATGACGCTTCACCTAATTTCAAATTGCAAGTATAGGTTCCTCAGCATCGATTTGAGAAAATACCGCGGGACTGTAGACCGGTAGATCACTCTGTAGTGTCTGAGAGAAGACCGTACGGTCTTCGTCCGTATGGAGAATATTGTGATCCATCGTATCGAACTTTTGCTGCAGTAGGTACGTGTACAGTCTACGATTGAATATTTTTGGCGCGATCTCAAAATCATTGTTTTGAGCCCGGCAGCATAATATTAAAATACTGCACACAGCACACAGCACACAGCACACAGTAGCACTATAATACTGTACCGGTACCAGTATCGTTCATACAGCTTCTTCATATTACGGCAACAATGATCACTGCTGAACTACTGGAAGCTCTTCTTTCGCCAGACTTGCTCCGCAGATCACAAGCAGAAGAGCACTTCCAATCACTCGCTGTTTTGGATCGGGTGCAAGGACTGATGAATCAGCTCGGCCACAACTCGCCGTCCATTCAGCTTTTGGCACCCGTTTTGCTGAGACGAGACATCCTCAAGCTCACCGACATCAACTTGGTCAATCAATTGATCTTGCCATTGCTCGCTTCATTTCCTGGAAGACCCCACGTAGGACACTGCCTAGCTGAAGTTTGTGCGACACTTTCCATTATTGGTACGGATTCAGCGGCCGATGCTGCACTTCAGAAAGTATTGGCTTTCATTGAACCTGCTCTGAAACAAGGAGATTTAATCTCCATACGTTTGCTGGCCGACTTGGCAGATCGTGCTCCAATGGCGTTTGCCAGAGTCGCCACACCGTCATTGTCATCTTTGATTTCGGAATCTTCTGCGACCTCTTCCGATTGCCTGCTCGATGTCTGGACCCATGTACTCGTCAATGGCGCAATTGCAACGACCATTAAGACATCATCCCTTTCCAGAGAACTTCCCAAGTTGGACGAATTGCAAGTGGATCCGGCCTCTCCTGCATCGCAAACGCTCAGCGCATCCTTGACCACCTTGCTGCAAGGCTATGGGACCATGCGAGACGAGGAATCCATCAAATCCTGCATGGAACACTTGAGCCAAGCAACCATTCAGTGCCCTTCCCTGTTGGGAGGGAATGAGGTCGTCCTCAATACCTTTTTGCACACTTGCTTGCAATTTTTGGAAAATTCCAAATATTCGAGTTCTGTCCAATTGAGTGCCTTGGAAACACTGACCAGTTTCCTTAGTGTTGGAAGCGTGAAGCGAAATCTCATCACACGAAATTTGGCCGACAGTATCGCCGCAAAAACCGTACCAGTCTGTGCCCAGCTCATGGCCAATGGAGTCAACGAGAATTTTGATGAATGGGCATCTGAACCGGCGACTCTGGTGGAAGATGCTATAGAAGACGAGGACGAGGCTGTATTTGCGGAGTCATTATTCGAGAGTATCCTGCAGCATTTGGGTGGTGCTGCATTGACCGTTGCCTTGCCCTTGGTACAGCAACTCCTTTCTTCGGAGGAGTGGAAGCACGCACGAGCGGCACTGGCAATGCTTGAATGTGGTCTCGTGTCTACCCCAATCAGTCTCGTTTCCATGTTGCCACTCATGCTCCAAGCTGGTATTTCTTTGTCCGAATCAGTTAATCTTCGAGTGCAGTGGCAAGCTATTCGGTTGCTGGGAATTCTGGGCGAGACATCGGACCCGTCTACCAGAGAAACACATGCAAAAGCAATTCTGGCGAGATTAGCAATGGCGGTCCAATCCCCTTGTAACAAGGTCTCGGCCATGGCATCGTTGGGGATTGTATCATTTTGCCGTGGGAGCGGTGAACAGGACGACGTGGAAGATGCTGCGAAGTATGTTCACCTATTTCTACCAGACCTACTCAATGCATTGATGAACGGTCCTTTGTCCTCCAGTTCTACGGACACTGGCTCTATAACAGCTCGAGTACGAGCGATGGGAGCACTTGCGTGTTTAGCAGAATCAGTGGAAGAGAAGTTCTTCCCCTTTTATCGTGATGTAATGCCGGGCCTTCTATTAACTGCACGGTTACCCATAGTCGAATTGACTGGAGCTGCTGTAGAAGCTGCAACTATTGTTGGAAGAGCCGTTGGTCTGGAGGTATTCCGGGACGACGCGAAACAACTCTTGTCCTGGATTCTTCCTGTGTTACAGTCACGGGCAAATACTCATATTCCTCTGGAACAACTCTTGTCAGCATGCGCAAGAGTGGCATCTGTCTTGGGGGAAGAGTTTGCTCCATTCGTTGACGTTGTTTTGCCAATCTTGTTAGAGAAAGCTAAAGAAGAAGACGACATCTCAATTACGGTAAGTCATATTGGTGCTTGGAGCTTTTTTGTTTGGCAATGACACCTAACTCATCACTCTTGCTGCGCATAGGAGGCCAACGAATCTGGTTTTGGGAGCAGCAACGAATACCAAATGGGTAACGACACAAACAGCATCACCGTGGCGGTTCCTGGAAAAGGATTTACGAAAGTAACCATCAATACTAGCAAGATTGAGGAAAAGTCCCAAGCCATTCGTGCGGTCTATGAGCATGCCAAGGCTTTGGGTGCACTCTTTGGCCCCTATGTCCAAGTTTCGCTAGACACTGTTTTACCGCTATTGAACTTTCCATACTCAGCAGATGTTCGCAGTACATCGGCTCAAACCCTTGCCGCTGTTTTTGAAGCGGCTTGCGCCGCAGGGGCAAATTCGGGAGGTATGCACATTCCGCAGAAATATCTCCCTGGTGTTGCAACATCTATAGCAAATCAGATTGAAGCAGAGGATCCAAACGACATGGAATCTCTATACGCCCTATCTGATTCATTGAGCGAGATTCTATTTGTGGTTTATCAATACCGCAATGATAGTGTATTTCATCGCGAAATTGTGGGTCAGTTCTCTGTAAACCATGCTCAAGCACTTGTTCAAAGATGTATGCAAGCTATGGTTGCCTGTTTGGCACGACGAAAGCGCGTCACAAGTATATTGGGAGGTGCGCTTACTAGTAAGGATGAGCAAGAAGAATACCTTCGTTTGTTGAAGGCAGAAGAAGTACTTTTGACATCATTGGTTGATAGCGTGGGATATACACTCAAAATGTTCCGCGTCGAGTTTGTTCCAATCTTTGAATCGTTGGTCGTACCAGTGTTGGGACCAATACTCTCATCAACCAACGATATTCGGGCTTTGCACTCAGCACTGTGCCTCTTTGTGGATTGCGTTGAGCACTGTGGGAAAGAGGCTGCTTCTAAACAAACAGATCGAATTCTTGGAGCAATCATGGGAGTCATCGGCGAAGGGGACGCTGCAAACAGGGATTTATTGCAGACTTCTGTGTATGGGATTGCTCAAATCAGCCGCTATGCCCCTGGTTGCCTCACAGATTCGCATATTCAGATGATTGTCCACGCGCTCCTCGCACTCACGGACTGTTCGAAGGAAGAAGCCGGGGATGACATCTATTTGGTCGAGGTTGCAGCATCTGCACTTGCATCAATTACGTTGTTTGGGCGGCATTCGAACCTCAAATTCGTTACGCAAGATACTTTGGTGACACGATTCTTGAATCACTTGCCGATCCAAGAAGATGAAGACGAAGCGAAGGTAAGTAAAGACAAGGAACTGATGGAACTGATGTCAGCTAGCGCTGTGCTTGTACATCTCCTTCTCACTTTCTGCGCGTTGCTCTTAAGATATGCCATGCAGGATTGTGCCATTTGATTGAATCGCAAGTCATTGACGTGAGCAAAAATGCTGTCAAAATTTGTCAAATCGCGGGCCAAGTATTGTCTGCTGTCAGCGATGGTGAAGAAATTGCATCACCTGAAACGTGTGAGAATCTAGTTAGTATTTTGAAAGTCATGCGTAGTGACCTACCTCAAGACATGATGCAACAGGCATACTCTACTCTGCATCCGGAAGCTCAGCAAGCAATTTCTGCCGCAATCTACAGCACAAGCTCTGTTGTAACACCTTGATCCAGACCATAATAGCAGTTGGTATGGACCATTAACTCCCAAAAATTTATGTAAGAACATATTTCAAACAACACCTGCCTGTAATAGTGCATTTGTACAAAATAGCTGCACGCAAACGGCAACGGTGATGAAAAACTCGACTGAAGTGATTTGAATTCATAGCCCCTATAGCATTACGGCGAATAGGAGATGTTTTATGATTTGGTCTGTGGCAACTCTTGTAGTCTCTTTTCTTGATTGCAAGAGTTGCGAAGAAATAAACTAGACTTGTGACACAGTTTACGGTTTTGTAGTTCTGATTATCATCTCGTCAAATATGACTGCGTTTATAATAACTGAAAATGTTTAATGTACTACTTTTTCTCACGCCGACCGCCGTCGTTCAAATTCTCTCTTTGCTTTGGGCGTCCAGAGAATTTCAATGTCATCTTCGTGTGCAGATTCTCGATCATCGGACACGAACGAAAAGTTTAGAGCAAATTCATCCGAACCTTCGCCGCAGTAGCTATCAAGGTAGGTGGGGCTTCCTGACGAATCCCAGTTTCCAAGTTTGCTCACCCGCTGCTGTTTACGTTTGTATTGTGCCACCTCGTATGGGCGTCCTCCCAAGAGGGGCACCTTTCCATTGCATCCCAATACACCCGACATGAGTACCGTGGCGAAGACCGGGTAGTACACAAAGAGGCTAAGGCCCATTTGCACAAGATACGCAAGCACAAAGTGAAACTCTTCAGTCCCTTTCACGTTAAAATCCCAGGCCTCGTCGGTAAAGAAGAAGTCGATGCCATTGGAATCTGTAACGTTGCTAGTAGCAGCTGCGTCATCAAGAGTATCAGTTTCCGGATTCCCAATGGCGATCCTCATGACAATGACAAGAACCGTCATGACTACGATCATAAGAACGACACCTCGAATCAAATGTTTCCCAAATGACGGGCAGCAGGCCCTTGCTTCGCAGCAGCCACCGGCTCTGCAGCAACTGCAAGCGGCAATGTACCACAAGCACAAGTTGAAAGAAGCATGAATCCCGCCACCAACAGTCCAAAGTAAAAGCATTCCCGTGGTAAGTGTGTATATCTCACCCGAGTCGAGCGTGATGCTCATGACAATTTGATCAAATTCAGGGTTCCACAAGTAGAACAAGTAAAAAATATTGGTCATGACGAGCCCAAACAGGATGGATCCACAAAGAGCAATCATCCTTGTGCAAGATTTGATTGGATGAAGTTTATGGTGTAAGCAGATTCCAAAGAGAGGATGGTTATTGCGCATGAATTGTCTCCAATCTTGGAACCAGGTGTTTCCAGGAATGTGATAAGCTTGGGCTGCGAGGAGTGGAACCAAGTACGAAGGGTCTGATCGATAGGAGCTACCCATTGTAGCCTTATACTTTGAGAGTCGGGAATGGGCATCCGAGTAGGTCTCATCACCCGTGGATACCTGTCGGGAGGGCAGTGTCGAACCCTCGCTGGAAGACTTTTGTCGTTGGATAGAGTCTCGCGAGGACCTCTTCTGAAAGTCTCGCGAGTAACGTGTGCAGTTGTGAGTTGACTGAGCGTGTTGGACTTGTGTTTGTTGGAACTCTAACCTTCGATTAGACTTTCCAGCTCGATAGGATTTGGAAACGTTTAAGGAAGGTTTGGATTCGGCGTTACTTTGGTGATGTGTCACCAAGGTCGCACTCCTATTGGAAGGAGCGTGTTTGCTGTAAGGTCGAAGAGGTTGTGCTGTTGCTGTTGCTGTTGCTTCTGCTGCGTTCCTCTTGGAGGAAACACGATCCATTATTGGGTTGCGTTTGGATCGCGTTGGTACCGTTGGTCGATTGTAGGATTGGTTGTACGCCTCCATTCTTTCACGTGCTGAAAGCACAGGTGCAGTGTTGCTCTCACGAGCTCTAATTGCTGGCCCTGCTGAAGTCGATCGTCCTTTCCGAAATGACTTCATGGCTATAAGGTTGAGACTGATTTATTAATATTGATTGATGATTCGAACACTACGATGTATAATAGATACTGGATACGAATTTGGTTGGACGCTTGTCGTGTTTTGTTTTGTTTTGTTTTGTTTTGTTTTGGCAATTGGTGTTTGAACTGAACGTTTGAATCAATGAATGAATCCTTGGATCGGAAAGTTTCAAATCCGTTCGGTGCTGAAAAACTGGCCGGCAAATCCGATTTTTAGCTACCAACTGAATACAAATTTGAGTGTTCAGTACTGATTGGTAGGATTTCCACGTTGGTACATAATTTACACACGGTTCGTTTTCGTTTCGTCATTGGCCAGTTTTGAAGTTTCGGTTTCCGTTCGGTCGCGAGTGCAAACACTTTTCCCTTTCCACCTGTCATCTCGGAAAACTGCACCTTTCCCTCCAAGCATGTAGACAACACATATCTTTTCACGTCCGTCACTGTCATCATCTCAACTCCAATGAGCCTACTTTTCTTGAACCCATCATGCCTCTCCCCAGGCATATCTCGCAAACTGCAGCACCTCGAAAGCAATTGCCAATACAAGGATGAGCAAAACTGAAGCTGCGTTCAAAGCGAAAGTCAAAAAATGGCAGTATTACCTTACAGTGTAAGCGCCTACTTGGCAGTTTCTGAGCAGCCTGAGAACAAATTTTCAGCGTTGGAAAAGAAGATTTTGTGAGAATTCAGGATGTTGGTTGCCAAGACGACCAAAATGAACGAGAGACTGAAGGACGAAGTCAGCAAAGGCAACGAAAACAAGCCACTTGACGGTGCAAAAATATTTAGCAGAGCCAAGGACTAAAAAAGTGAAATAACCAATGTCGTCGTTCCTCTGTGGAACTCAAACTGTACCGGTACCCCAAGTGGCACTTTGTCCCAGGAGCAATCGTTCGAACTCCTCAGAACAAAGTACTGGTTGGTGAAGAAGACGGAAGCGTACAAGGAGAAGGTCAAGAAGATTCGCAAGAAGGATCCCAATGCCGCCCTTAACTACTTTGCAAAGCCTGTCATCAACAATTGCCCAAATGGCTATGCACACCCCATCCTTTTTGTATTCAAGAGGCTGTTTGAGGAGAAGCGTCTCTTGAAAGTTTATCACGCCAGATGCAAATGGCAAGATTCGCAGCAAAACCCCCAACCGGAACCGGTAGCGTAAGAAGGAGGCAGAGCATAAGAAGAGGCTCAAGATGAGTACAATGGACGTAAAGTTCAAGGCTTATACTGAACAATCTTCCAAGAAGCTCAACATTGCACATGAGCAGACCTTGACTGGGGAGCTTATGGCTCAAACAAAGGTTGCGCAGTTAGCACGTGACGCAGGCCTGGAGGTTGGCGACAAACTCCTCAAGCGACTTGCAGAGAAAGCACTTAGATATTTTGAGCAAGAGATCATTGATATGGAGGAGGTAGAGAAGGAAGAGCGTGTCAACTTGGCAAAGAAGAAAGCATCCACACCGCTTCCAAAGAAAACTTGACCGGAGATACTACAAGTAGTGATGATGATGATGATGATGATGCTCTAGGAGAACCAAGCCCTTTTCTGCTGGGTATCAAAAGAAGAGTCCTTCAATGATGGACCAGGATAATGACTTTGATAGTGACAATGACAAATCTTCAAAGATTCAAAGAAGCAACCTACAAACATGGAACCTATTGAGATTGATGGTGATGACGAGGAGGAGGACATCTACAGCTAAGGAATGTAGAGTCTAGTATCTGTGTTATAGTGAAATGTGATATCAAATTGACTATCTATACTATGATTACTTCATAGCCATGTAGTGCTCTGTCAAAGCCTGTCTGCGATGATGAAAGTCCGCTTCAGAGAAATCCTGACACTATTCGTCGTTCGTCTGACAATCTCCAATCTCCCCATCTTTAAGAGTAGTATCTCGTCCAGCCTCTCACATGTAGGAGGGTGCCTTTTTTGTGTATCGACCATCATCCAAAGTCTTGACATCTACCGACTCTTCATCAAACTCCAATCTCCCCCATCTTTAAGAGCAGTATCTCGTCCAGCCTCTCACATGTAGGAGAGTGCCTTTTTTGTGTATTGACCATCATTCAAAGTCTTGACATCTACCAACTCTTCATCAGACTCCTCTTCCCAGTCATCATACCCATCAAATTCGAGGAACATGCTGGGAAGGATGCAGCATGTTCGGACCACCTTTCCAATGGTGCGGTTTCAATGTCTCAAAGTTGATAGGCGTACTTGAGTACCATAAACCGCTTCTTGAGAATTCCAAAGACGCATTCAACATCTTTTCGAAGCGACTCAATCCATTTGCTCCATATCATTACTGCGGTGCCATCCTGCTGACACTTGAATGGGCACATGAGAATCTTCCATTGGTGGTCACTCTATAGCCATCGTCACAAATAAGATGAAGACCCTCTTCCGCATGTCCATTGCCGTCACTATCCAACCAGCACCATTTCTGGGTAGATAGGTGACCACCAGGCATGAGAGCTCTTACATTTTTGTCAAGCTTGGCTATTGTTTTGTCATCCCATGTTCCAAAGGTTGGGCCGGAAGCACCAAGGACTTTCTTGGTGTGAGAAGAGATAACTTGAAAAACCACAGTGTGGTACTTCTCCTTTCCTTTACAGCCGGTTCGGATACCAGCTGGGCATATGTAGTACCAGGGACGCCTTTCCTCTTATAGTTCCCAGTAACATGTGCAATCTCCTTGTCAGTTTCACATATCTTCAAGTAGTCTTTTGCAAGTGGACATTTGCTGGGATCACTAAACCAAGTGATGAACTCATGAAAATAGTTCTGATGCTTCTGTCCACTTATGTCTGAGAGCTCCTCTAGAGGGAGTCAAACGGTATGACTTTGCCCAAGATACCGCAGAACTCGATATTTTACATTACATTACATACAGTACAGTGAGACATACAGTAGGATGTTCCGGGTATATCCCAGGTATCTGCTAGCTGTTTATTCATCCAACAACTATGGTGCACTTTTGCTCAGAACTCTTCTTACAGACTTCCAGATGTGCCGTATCTATTTTTGAACTGCTCATGAAGATTTTGCAAGAGTCCTGATTCTTCTGTGCCAGGTGAAGAACGAAGTGCAGATCTAGTATCAAGCTCTTCGGTGTTGTCATCCATACAATAAGCACGGACAAAAGTGTGGGACGCAAATACTTCAGAAGGGCCAAACGTAATCTCGCTAGTCAATGTGCAAAATGTATCACAGAATCCTCCAAATGAATCTTTTGCAGGAATGCGAAGTACACTGCTAACAACCTTCTTCTTTGCCAGCTCCCTGATTGCAGAATGGCCTAGGGTAAGGTCGTTGTCATCGGAGACAGCGGTAGACCCGAACACAACCAGCAAACACAATGCTCCAGGGAAGAATTCAAAAACTTCCTTGTCATCGCTTTCTTCAATTCTCTTGAATCTCTCCGTCATCCGCTGGCACTCCCATCTTGCATCTGCAGGAGAATAGAACGCACGCGACTTGATGGAGATCACCATAGGCGCAAAGTAATCTGTTTCCCTTGTCCCGACAGCTTGATGGGAATGACAAGGTCAATAATGGGACAACCAGGGAATACATAGAAAGCTGTCCCGCTTGCGTACATGTATGATAGAAAATCCTGCGAACAAAATCCTTCCCAGTCGGCTTCACAAGCACGCAAATAGTTTCGACAAACTTGAATAAAGCTGATGCTAGCCTCTACTTCAACTTCGCATGCTTCATCCATTGTTTCGTCCGCTTTCTCAGCAGTCATTTTCTGTCTTGAGACCTGTGATTTGGCAGCAAGGAGGCGTTTGCTCTTCCGCTTTGGCAAAACATCCTCGTCGGAATGACGCCCTTGTCTTCTCTCAAGGCCACCGGTTGTTAGCTGCTCTATCCAATCTTCAAGAGATACTGAAAACGTAGTGTGATTGTGATTGTCCTGTCGCCGAAGTACATCGGCACAAACAAGAAAGTACAGCGCAACCATGACTTCACCAAAGTCCCCCTTTTCAGCTCGACAGAGCCCTTGTGAAAAAATTTCCTTCATCTTACGCAGCCACCAACTACTGGGCCTGCCTTTGATGTCACCCAATGTCCATTCTGGGTCCATCAGTTGCATGGCCAGACGACCACAAACAGGATCTGGCATGTAGCATATTATTGCATCTGTTGAAGTGGCATGAGTCAGGTTGGCATATCCGTAACCTACCATGTCCGAAGCGACAGGAAAAGAAGTTTGGCCCATTTGCACCCTGGTACCCAAAATGCTGAGACATGCTTTGAGTGACTCCTTCCCAACAATCCAGTGATTCCTGAGACCATATAGTAGCATCCGACGGACTACTGATCCTTCATTTCTTGCTAGATCTCCATTTTCCTCCATGAGCTCAAAGAGCGGTCGTCCATGGCGTATCGCCTGACGATACTCTGTCGTATGCTTACCCAATTCTTTATCTCCCTCCAAATTTCGACCGGCGAGGCAACCCATTGTGGTTGTCTGAAGAAATATTGGAAACATCTTTGCGCCTTTATCATAGAAGTTGTACTGCGCGCCACTCAGGGTGAAGTCTCGAGATGATGGAACTGACAGCTGTGGTTCAGGCTCCAGCCGGAAGCTTGCCAAGGTTGCAAGCGTGCCAAAAAAGCAACCAATCACTTTGTGTTGTCGTTTCTTCTGCCGAAGCCATAGCCGAATACATCGAAATAGAAATGCAGCATGCTTCACGTTCTCGGCGCCCTTGTCGTCCGTGAACCTTTGGCATTCCAAGTATACGTGGGCTTCATCAAAACAAAGAAATATGGTATTTTCATCATCGTCTTGATTGGATGCTTCAGCTACTAGTTTGTCGCAGAAAGTATTCAGGTATTCAAGTGCTGCCGTTGCAGCATCCAAGGCTGTTTTTTCCTTCATAGATGCTTCGAGATTTAGCCTGTGAGAGAAAACGTCGCCATTTGTCAGCGCATTGGAATCTTTCAGTGTCAATGGCAAAACTGTATAGCAAGACCAATTATTCTTTTGTTCCAGCTGCTTGCAACCTTCGTAAATTAATTTGGTCTTTCCCATCCTGCTCGACTGTACGACACAAAAGTAAGGTCCATCTTCGTACTCCGAAGCGTTAACAGAATCCTTTGATGCATCGAACCATTTCGCAACGCGCTCAGCTTGAAGAACAAACTTATGAACATCGTAGGAATGAGAGAGCTCTTGTTTTGCTGATGAGATAGTTGACAGGAACCATACGATCATTGGTTTTGGATGATACAGTTGGCGATCGAGCTTTCTCCTTTGTTCTCTTGTAGTACTCCTTCAAGACGTTGTTGCACAAGACGAAAAGAAAACTGTACAATAACATTTCATCTTCTATTTTCAGTCGTTCCTGCTGATGCTTGAGAAAACTCAACGACGCACCAGCAAGGGCTGAGGTAGTCTTGATAGCACTCTTTGTTTCTGAGATGATGTCTTGGTTTCCCTGAAAAGCAGCAACGGCCGCATCACATATCACCCCTTGACGAAAATTGACCGCTTGCGCATCAGGAAACTCTTCGAGAGTCTCATCGTCATCCTCTGACCATCGCTGCAGTATAGAGTCAGTCCTTCACCAGCCTTTCATATGCTGTAGATTCATTTTCTTCTTCATTTCCATGTTCACTATTCGCCATATCCGTGTCTTCGTTTGATGTGCTGCTACTAGAGACGCTTTGACTTCAGATTCAATCATTCTACTGTACTGTAGCATCAGGATCGGCTTTCGAACGTTTTGCTTTTCGGTCTACGAGTGTGATAGTGCGCAGTGCGTGCGTCATCGCAATTCCTACCGTAGGAATAAGTGCGCGCAGTTATTGCACTTGAATGGAAACAAAATATGTATCTAAATTGGCATATGCAGACGAAATACTATTACTCTCTGTTGGTTCCCATTATGTTAAGGATTCTGGTTTCTCTCCAACATTATGCCCCGCATACGCTAGCAGTCTCTCTTTTCCCTTCTGTTTCCCCCTGCTAATGCGCACTCTAGCCCCCGCTGGCTACTTTTATACATTATTCCCGGGTGAAAATAAAAAAGACTGCACAAGTACAATATTAATACCGGTATTTTCGAGTCAGTCATAATTCATTTTTCGGAAATCGACAAAAAAATTGCCACCGCACATGCAATAACGAAACACACAACTGAAATACCGGTACACTACTGTACCATCGCATCACTTACTGCCGATATAAATATTATTCGGATGAAAATTTCCTTCGCTCTCATTCCTCTGATATTGGTGTCGATCATCGCTCTTGTTTACAAACGTCCCGTGCTCGATGGTCCAGCAATCTCCCGAATGCAAGAACTGTCCACTCGGGCCTCTATTCAGGAAGAGTACAGGGATGGCGGCCCACAAGAAGACGAGCAGCCATCCCTCTTTGAAACGATCCAAATATTTCATGCCAAACGGGATCCCGCCGAATTGAGCAGCAAAAACTGGACGGCCCAGGTGCAACAAGACAGAATGGTAGCTGTTTTGACCAACATGCAGCGACGGGCTTACTTTGTCGACCTTGCCGCCAATCACGCTGTCACAATCTCCAACACCTACGGGCTGGAACGCAACCTCGAATGGAATGGTCTTTGTATCGAAGGAAACTCGCAAATGTGGAAGGAGCTGGTCCGACGGCAGTGTCAACTGGTTGCAGCGGTTGTGGGACAAGAAATCGACGAAAAGATCAGTTTCCTGGTGAGGCCGAACAAAGATGGATTATCTGGAATTGTGAATGAAAATTTTGATAACAAACAGGACAAGGGTACAGAAAACGAAGTGACATTTGTGGAAGACCACTATGCGGTACCACTAGTGGAGATTCTGCGACACAATCATGCACCCAAGGTAATTGACTACTTGTCATTGGACGTGGAAGGAGCAGAATTCTACGTCATGGAAAAGTTCCCCTTTGAGAAATACCAATTTCGCATCATTACTATCGAACGACCACAGCCAGAGCTTCGGTCGTTGCTTCGAGCCAACAATTATACGCTCCACGCCGTCGTTGCAGGTGGAAACCACGGCGAAACTTTGTGGTTTCACAATGATCATGTGTCAGGACTGAATGTGGAAGCGTTTACCAAAGAGTTTTCCCTGCCCAACCAGGAAGTTGCATTGAAAAAGTGGGGGTAATTGACTGACTGGAATCAACGACGCATCACCACCAATCACAGGACCAGCCTGACGTTTCAGTGTGCTGACATCATTGTCATGCACCAGGTTCCAATCACAAAAGTGTCGATACCGGCACAGCAAGAGCAAAGGTTTCCCATCTTCTTGCTTGCTAGCCATCAATGTGATCGTGCCGCTGCTACTGCTACTGCTGCTTCATTTCTGGCGTTTGTGATTCAAGGAGGAGGAGGAGGAGGAAGACGGCAACAGATTCTCCTCGTCCATATTTCCCGCAGTTGCCGCATCTGCTGGTAGGGTTGGTGGCGAAGGCATCTGCAAATGTCGTACCACGGATGGAGTAGTATTATGAAAATAAGCTTCTGGTGCAGCACTCGTACCTGCCGTCGTCCAGCTAAACGTCCTCTGCCGTTTGTGATTACTACTACTCTTGTTGGGACTAATGACTTCGGACCAAGCCTCACGGCTACTCATGGTCGTACTATTACTTGCATGAGAGGATGTGGCATCGGGAGAAGTAATGGAATGGGATATGTTCCATGAGAGAAAATCCAGAGGGGAAGCAGCACGAGCCATGGCTGGAGCTGTGGTTGTCAATGGACTCGTAGGGTAGTCACCCATGTCCCATGCTGCACCATCATTTGTTTCGTCGTAAGCAGCGTTGGTATAGTGTAAATGCCTTGAAATAACCGCCAAACTACCATCTTCATTGGAGCCATTGTTGTTAGCGATGGATTGATAACCAGTGCCACCTTTCCTCTTTGGAGTAGTCCTTCCATCTGTATTGCCACCGTTGTTATCATTGTGCTGCATTATATTAGTTGCAGTTTCTTCTTGTTTCAAATCTTGATTTGCTTCCGAATCAGACCCACGATTACCGGCATCAAATAATAGTTTTTTGATTTCCTCTGGATCTCCCGTTAGTTTGCGCCGCCCCTCGGTGATGATAAGGCTGGCACTCTTGGTAGTTCCAAATTCCAAATTCTCGGGTGTCAAGAGCGGCACACTGAGTAGCAAATCACACCCAATCCCAAGCAGCCAAAAGACGCAGAGGTATCCATACCACGATTGTGGTTGATCTTCCCAGACCAAGATTCCCGTCAAGGCATTGACCAAAATGACCATTGTCGCATTGAGAGGGACATACCTTGCCTGTTGCACCGAATAGGATTGGACCACAATGCAATAGGTACATAGATTGCCCGACCACAGTTTGGTAACAATCAATGCCCCCATCACTGCTTTTGAGGGTGGACTTAAGATTAAAAACCGGCTTACGGTCAAATCGACCGACATGGTCGCTGCTCGGCACAGCAGCAAGACAATGGTTCGTTGGATTTGTGTGTATTCCTTCAAGAACAAATTCGTCTCGGGGTCCGTATTGGTGGGAGACGCCTTGAAGACCAAAATGGCCCCCGTCACCAAGGTGGTCACCACCAGTAACAAAAACCAAAGAATGGAATACCAGTGTTGCATCAAAATGGCAAAGGTTTGATCGGGCGATATGGTGGGTCCCACCACGGGCAATAAAATGACGGCCAATACAATGACATGGGTCCCCACTCGCATTGGCTTTTTAAAAGGCTCTCCCAGAAACAACCCAAATACAATCATATTCGTCAACAAAGTGGCGCAGTAATAAAAGGGCACCACAATGCTGACGGGCCCAAACCAGGTGGCGAGCAAAGCACTAAAGATGCCCCCCAACATTTGCAAGAAGATGTTGCCAAAGACGGCCATCCATCTGAAGAGGGGCGACACAAATATGCCTTGTTTTTCTCTCACGGAAGGTAAGGCCGTCAGGGCCGTGGCGGCCACCTCCAGAATGCCACCAATGGAAGCCAAGGCAATGCAAATGGGCAGGGATTGATGGACGTGCAATTCTTCCATTCTGTTTGTTTGCTTTTTTGTTTATTCTTTTTAGGAATGTGGCATTAGGGGATTTGTGGAATAGTTGTGTACTGCTGTGTTGTCTATACTTGGAGAAGGTTGCGTGTAACAACAAAGACTTTTTGGTTTTGAATCTGTTAAATTGCATCAGAAGTGGAAGAGATTCATTTCTTTTTTGTTTTTCAAAAATTCCATTCCGTCATTTATCTTTGACTCATTGGAGTAAAGGAGGCGAATTGAAGTACTCGTATATCTATGGTTCGCATACCATATTGATAATATGAACAAATTGATGATTGATTCATTCGTGTTGCATCAAACCTAATAGATATCATCTATTGTATGTGTGTATGTGTCATCAACAGCAACATTCCGCACCCTCGTTGCTGACCTAATATACTACCATAAGCTTCATGACAAGCATGAATGTCATACAGCGATTTGACTTTCTGGAAGTCAGTCGCACGGAAGACTTGATCTTTCCTGAAAAGATCTTGGCGTTGGGTCGTCGAACATTGGATCGTGACAACGATAATAGTTATCAGGAGGATAATGATGTAGTGTCATCTACGAGAAATCATCACTCGAAAGTATTAGCAAATACTTCTTCCGATACGAGACCGACTCATGAACATCGTCATCATCATCAGCGTCATCAGTTAAAAGTAAGAATTGAGGAAATGAGGCATTCGCTCGCACCCATGGAACTGGCAGTCCTTGAAGGAATCGTGGAACAAGGAAACGACGCCCAAGTGGATCTGGCGCACGAGCGCCTCAAGCGTGCTTTTCCTTCGACCCTCGAAAACATGATGGTAATCAACAATAATTCATCTCCAGTAGTATGCAAAGATGCATCATCGACGCATCATCGACGTCATCGTCATCATCGTCACAAATCATCCGTCCGGCGCGTCAATCTGTTAATGCAACGCCAGGAAAATAATGCTACCCACAATGGCATGTTCCAAGCCATGATCCGAACGCGATGGCAAAATGCTGGTAAGAAGGTTATCTATGCAAGGCGGTTGTTACAACAACAAAGAGGTCGACATGTCGTATCTCCTGGAAGCATTGAACTAGATGGCCAGATAGCAACAAGAGGAGGTAACGTAAGAGTACAAGATAATAACTGGCCCAGGCAGCATGAGCGAAGAACCAAGACACCCGCGGAAATGAAAGATATCGCACTTTTGGCCATCAATGCCGCTGCTATTGAGAGTGCTGGATTACTAGAAATAGAGACGTCTCGGTCCGCAGAAAACAACAATGCTGGTATTGTGCCAAATTACGCCAATAATGCCGAAAACCAAACATACGACCCATGGGAGAAAGTGGACGAAGATTTCACAGGCGTTCATTTCGATTTCCATATTATTGGCACGAGTGCGACCGACTCGGAAACAATGCCACATGTCTTGTCTCCTCCCGTCATGCACCGTCTCCAAGAAGCCTTGCCCTACAATAAGAAGGGCGAGTCCTTTTGGCTGAAGTATTCCTTGGTCCGAGATGGCGCCTCGCTGACCACCTTTTTGAATAAAATGCGGGGCACGAAACATGCCATTCTAGCGATTGAAACGGTCGAGGGTGAAGTCTTTGGTGCCTTTACGGGAGAGCCATGGCACTTGGATTTGAACTATTATGGCTCGTCCGAGTCCTTTGTGTGGCGGATGCGCCATCATCGCGGTGAGATTTCCGAATCCATTGCCGAACAAGCCAAGCGTGAATCCGAGATTGACATTTTTGGGTACAACCGAAGCCACTATGAGAACAGCAAAAGCATGGTCCAACTGTGTCAAAGTCATCCTTCTTGTCGACTGGCAATAGGAGGAGGGAGCTGCCACTACCCACGTGGTCTATGTTCTGGTGAGATTATCCAGCCATATCAATGGGGATTTTCCATCGCCTTTGACGACAACTGCTTGTTGGAGGGGACAACGTCACCGTCGATTACCTTTTTATCTCCATCATTGTCCGAGTTTCATAGCGATGGGTCCAAATTTGAAGTTTTGAATTTGGAGGGTTGGGCATTGACTCCTTGCGTGAGCGTCGGAGAAGCAGAGATTATGGAATGCCGCAAGACATTTCTCGAACGTGAATCCTTGCGGTAGTATAGTTCTTCCACCAAGGTACCAGTGCTTGAGAAGCCCGCTATCCTGTATTTCTTTCAAGCTATAACGTAGATAAGTCTGACAGACTTAAATGAAATCGACACTGGTCTTTGCTTCCCCACTGTTGATGGTACGATTACGATTACAATCAGCATCTTTGCCTTGTTTCAATCTTGCACTCCAATTCTATAGAGTGGAACGGAAAGCTGAGTGAGATCTGGCGATTGCTCGAACCTAAACGTATCTCCGCAAGCTAGCCTTGTAAAAGGCAGCTGCAACTTCACCGACTTCTCCCTTTGCAGGACGGCTCAATGTCAAATGCAGAGGAGTATATCTTGGTGGCCTTCTCTGACCAAACAGATAAAGGTTATTAAAACCGTGCAATATACTGTGTGTTGTATACTGAGCTTTTTACGTATCTGTTCCTCAACTTTCATTGCGCAGAGTGACAAACAGTATGTAGCATAAAAGCTTCATTGTGTCGTGCCAAGTCCTCGCTTTAACAGGTTGGAGATTTGGTGCATTGAAGTAATGAAGATGACTGGACCGTCTACAGGTATGGATGCTACTACTGCTGCTGCTACCGCCGTGAGGAAAGGAAGGACAAGACCAGCAATGCGACCAGGACAGCAACAACATCACATTGCTACAACCCACTCGACAAACTTTTCATCAGTACTCGCTAGTGGCACTTTCAATCTCTTCAGAGACAGGTTCCTCCATCCGCTTCTGCATACTGAGCTTTTTACGTATCTGTTCCTCAACTTTCATTGCGCAGAGTGACAAACAGTGTGTAGCATAAAAGCTTCATTGTGTCGTGCCAAGTCCTCGCTTTAACAGGTTGGAGATTTGGTGCATTGAAGTAATGAAGATGACTAGACCGTCTACAGGCATGGATGCTGCTGCGCTACTGTCATGAAGAAAAGGAGGGCTAAGGTTTGACTACGACTGGTGATACTGCCACTAGATTTTCAATTCAAGCCATGTCGTCCACCACTTTGGGAGCCGGCACTCTGGGAATGGTCAAAAGTTGGTCTTGTCAGACGATATTGTCAGACTGGGACTTCATTTGTCCTCATGCATGCCTGTTGCAAGGATATGCTGAGTTGCCTCCACCATCCGCAGCTGTCTTGTCGTCATCTCCTTTACACCGAGTTGCCTCTGTGAGCACTATCATGGATTGTCACTATGATTGTCGTCGCTGTCTTCATTGTTATTGTGGATCTAGGTGAATAGGTCATCCTCCATTCAACCTTTGTTTTGTGTGCGTATGCTGACACCAACAATGTTTTGCCTTAAATTGTCGTCACCTGGATACTACTATTGATACAGCAGTGTATGTAGTGTCTGCTTTATTTGACGCAAAACAATACTTGGCTCTGCATCATTGCCACCACAGAGATGATTCAGAGATGATTCAATAGTCTTGTTAGAATGGCTGGTTGGCTTCCTTCAGCCACCATCTTCCCTTGTCGGCAGTACCTGCTTTTCAATTTGCAACACGTAATCATTCTATGCAAGGCGGCAACTGCTTCGTTGCTTTTCAGATTTTGCTCTCTTGTCTAGTTCAATATTATTTATGTTTCCCACACTGATTTGTCTGGGCACATTGCAAAGACGGAGCGAACCAGTGTACCGGTACCAGCACCAAAATCATATTAGATGTAGTATATGTACAGTATATGTACAGTCAAATCCTATCTAGTAGAGCCAACAGCTCTTTTACTTTGTCTTCAAGTGTTTTAAAAAAGCTTCAATTCAACTACCGACTTTTGACTACAAATAGTAACTATCGTATCATACTCGTACAGTATAAAATACCATCAGTATTTGAACTTGTGAAAATTCGTGAATTATTCAATGGGTCTGTCCTTCCACTCCAATTTGGTTCACCAGATGTGGGAGGCGGAGATCAGACTAGCCGTGCCGGTGTCTTTTGGTAAATATACAGTAATGTGCTTGAATAGCGTCAACTTCTTTGATTTGAAGCCACAAACAAATATCTGAGCCCAACCGTGTACGGTCCACGTGCTGTACACGTACACGTGTACCTGGTACCATGTACTGTACACAAATCAAATGCATTTTTAATTACCAGCTCTCCAGGGGAGGGGAAATTGGTATGGAGCTTGTTTGGGGGTATTGTACTGTAGAGTATCGTATAATAGTACACCCAGCAGATTTGGCAGGGTGGTACAATTTACTGTAGGCATGGAAATTTAGTTGTGGCAAATGCGTGTCATGGGCGAAGAAGAAAAGTGATAGATATATATAACCAGGTGAAACTTGTTGCCGTTGGGTGATTGATTCCGCTTTTATGTATTGTATCAAACAGAGATTCATGAATCCTGATCTCTTGTAGGTCAGCGCAATGGATGTAGATCCTTTTCTTTCCGCCAGCAGGTAGTGGGGGCTTTTGGGCCACGAGGTGCATATATGGGGATTGTGTATGCAGAGAGAGTCACCAGAGGTTTGAGAAGATGAACGACGCCAGGGGTGGTTTTTCACAGTCCCAGCTGATGTAGGAAGTTGCAAAGGAGCGGAAGGGAGCAGAAGAGCAAGAGCAAGAGGGGCATCATTTTCAGCTGAGAGAATAATAATAATAATAACTAACATTAATCAATGAAATGCTATCTAGTAGCGCAAAGGATTGCTGGTGGAATGTTTGGCTGTAAAGACCAGGTACTGGGAAGCGGCAAGTTAACAACAAGTTTGAACCATGAGAGGCATCTGACAAACAGAAGTTGCTCTAGTCAGAACCAGTGGGTCCGGACTCTTCCACGAAACAGTGGCTAGGGGACTTGGTCCTTAGGATGAAAAAAGTGATGGAGAATGCGGCATTGAGGCACCAGAGCACGGCAGTAGGCTGTGTGTTCCATTTTCACCAGCTTTTGCCACTCCTCTCAATCTACCGAGGGTTTGTTCAGTACTGCCCGGCGCTTGACCAAGAGCATGCACTGGGCAACCTTTGGAAGGTTGGTTGGGCCCATATCGAACTGGGAATGAATCCCGTCGTTAACCTGTCAGCTGTGCTCACGTAGCTGCACATTATCCTCCAAGTGTTGCACCAAGTTCCAATGTTCCCACATCTGGAACCCCATCAAGATCAGCTGGTGTGATAGATGAGAAACCCACAGAGTGGGAGAGCTGCCTCCCATGCAACTGTAGGTATTCTTCCTGCAAGGGGCCCATTGACAAGACAGCCGTCCTTCCAAGAGTCCTTGGTAGCCAATGCATTGTTGAGAGCAGAAGGCCCTACAGAGGCGGCCAGGGACACCCCGTAGGGAAGGAAGGGACGGATCACGGACACCTTGGATAAGGAGGAGGATGGCATGTTTGATGGCCAGGTTCTCACTTGGGTGTCCAACCAGCATTGGTCCAGGGCATTTGCAGCCGAGAGACGAAAGATGATCGAAACGTATGTAAGTGGAAAACCTATTCCAAATGGTCAATACTTTGTTGTGATGCTGGATTTTCACTAACCATCATTCTGAAGTCCAAAGGATTACACATACTGCTGGCTTTTATGGAAAGGTCTAGCGGCAAGTTGTAAGAATTGGTAGCCCCAAAGTATTCTTTGGTAGATATGCTGCAAGATGTGAGGGAAACTGAAAAGGCCCTCAGTGGAAGGCCTGTTTACATTGCAGTATCAAAGAAAAGTACCTAAGAGATAGTTTGGCTTTTTGTTGGGGGCGGAACAAAGATGACCTAATTGGAAAAGAAACGGATGAGGGACTTTTTTCATTTCATGAAAAGATAGATCAAGAATGGAAGGCAACGCCCATAGGAAAAGGAAGCACGATTGGAACAAAATGGATTCTTCCACAAATTTCTGGTGGAGAAAGTAGAGACATCAGCTCATCAGGACATTGAAGGTAAAGCATCCTTGCAGTAACCTAGAAAACAGCATGTGACTAAGAGAACGTATGTAGCAATGAAGGTTGCCTCAAGGTTAGAATGGAGACATGCATTGTTACTTTTACTTTTTATTGCACCATATTTGTGTTTGGATAGTTGTTCTTTTGTGGGAAGAGGCGATGCATGCTCCGCGTTGTTCCTCTGTTGTGCGATTGTCTCTGGCACGTCCCCCAAAACTGTCATCTTGGCCCTTCTCCACCGTCTTCCTGTTCATCCACAGCAACACAGACAATTTGCAGAATACAATGAGGAGTCTAACTGCCAATGGGCAGACTCGATTCAATATGTATGAAAGCAATATCTGATTGACAGCATATCACAGCCTAGACATGAAGTTCCATAGCAGCTAGCAAAGGGAGACGCTGCCTTGTGTGACACTCAACAAATGAAAAGAACCCAAAACACTCCTGAAAAAAAGATTCCAACAGCCAAGAAGATTGCATTGACTACCTATGCGCAGGCAGGGCACAGACAAGCGCCGTTTTGGATAGAATCGCTGCCTAGCAGTTGTGAATTGCCAAACGAATTGGTGCTACAAAGACACTGTTCTTATGGCAAAAAAACATCATCGATGGTGTTGTTTTGTAAGTCAATGGCACAGACGGACAGACAGTCCATAATAGTTATAGAATGCAAAAATTCTCAACTGTTACAACTTATACCCTCAACAGAAACCTTCCCGGGAGCAAATCTTCCAAGATCCGAAAGTACCATGCGCCCGTGGGGATCCACGTTTTTTGTGTACGTTTATTACGGCGCACCTCGTAGAAAAGCGGCTCGCTGTAAAACTTTCTGGAATCGGTACCGTAAACTTATACCGATTAAAAAATGTTTGTTGAAGCAGGTTCCACGCCTGAATGCGAAACCGCAAACACGGGAGATTGTTTCCATACAAGCAAGCAAAAAGCGTGTCTATGTCCTGTTTATGAAGCCAATGGTGAGATCATCCGTAACGATAAGAAACAAGAACCGCTGTGCCAAACAATTGAAAGCGAGCTGCTGATAGTCGGATGGTCTGAATCTAAATGTATGATAGTCAAAACAAAATAATATCGAGGTGCATTACTATGGTAGTCAATATATCATCATGCAAGCATGTACTATAAATAATCCAATCTTTCGAGATTGCAGTCATCACTTCAACGAAACTTGTATGATCTCTTTATGCGGCAGCTTCAGAGAAGTCCTGGTCTAAAGGCACGACAAAGGCAGCGTGAGATTTATTCTGCCGAGGTGCACAATTACCATCAGATTAGATTTACATACCAGGTTGCTTCTTCCCGTTCAATGGGGTGATCTTGCCCTTGAAGTATGAGTAGCGGATCACTAAGACCATGAAACTGATCAAATGAATAACAATTGCATAGCATGCTAGCACAATCATATCGTTCCATCTGTTCACATCTTCAATCTCGTAAAACTTCAAAACGTCATGACCGGTTGCAAAGGGAGACCTTGGATCGTCAAATGTCAAGTTTTGGAACTCCGTCACCATGAACGACCGCCAAGAGTACGTGTGGAAAGCAACGTCGTAGGTCCAACCCAAACCGTAGGGAAAATCAGACGGAATGACCATGAAACCCATGAAAAGCATGAAGAATCCAAACAGTCCAGCGATACCAGCCATTCCAATCACAAAGTGCGGAACGACGTGTGACACCATCTGCGCGAGTGCCTCGGCAGTACACAAGGCCAAGAACATGTTCAAAAAGTACCACCACCCGTCGTTTAGCTTCAGCATGAATACAATAATGACAGAAGTCAGTCCTGCCAGGATACCGGCGGCAGGAATGGTTGAAAGGCCTTGAGCAACTTGATAAGCAATAGGATGGTAGTATCCATTCAAGACCTCCTTGTCGACGATTCCTCGCTCCATGACAGTGAATGGCAATACAGCCACACTCATAAAGATGAAAAAGGCGACGCAGTAGAAAAGAACGGCACTGCGACTGATAATGGACTCGTAGTCCGTGCGGTCTCCAAGCTCCCAGAATAGTCCTCCAACCATCAAAGCTGATTATTAAAGAAAGACAAGGAAAATGTGAGCGTTGACGCTGATGGTACAGCATTTTGGCCTTCTAGTACGAGCAATGGACTTACCAAGCATAGAGTACATGGCAATACGGGTTCCGAGGATTCCTGGGTTGAACCACAAGTTGAGGAAGTATCGATATAGCAGCGGACCGACGGCCATGAAAGAATTCGATCTCTTTGTATCCACTGTGCCCTTGTTGGTAGCCGCATTCATCGACGTGGTACGTTCTTTTCCGCTACGCTTGGGAGGTGCGAAGAATGCACTCGATTTTGGTCCACCCAAATGATGGTTCTTTTGCCAATCTTGATAGGACTGCGCCCATTCATCGACACTTCTGGCGTGGTCTCTGAACTCGTCATTCACCATGGTGACATAGTGATCAGCTGGATTCCATCCATGCGGAGTTGGGTGTTCGTACTTCGCAAAAAATTCTTCCATGCTCTTACGAGAACCCTCGTACATGAGTTTTCCTTTGGCAAGCAAAATGACATTATCAATAAGCTGCCAGATAAAGGTGGAAGGCTGGTGAATAGTCAAGATGATACGTCGTCCAGATGCAGCGCGTGCATAGCTCTTGAGGAACTCCATCAACTGCAAAGCAGATTCGGCATCTGTGTAGATAACACGGATTAGCAAGGACTCTCAAGCGCCAATCTGTTTCGAAAACATTCATTTTACTTACCCAAACCAGAAGTTGGCTCGTCCAAGAAAAGATTCATTGGGTCGGTCAATGCCTCCAATGCCACAGACAAACGACGCTTCTGACCACCACTCAAACCCTTGAGGAAAATATCACCAACACGAGTACCCTTTTGTTCAGTAAGACCAAGTTGCTTCAACAACGTGTCAATCTTGGCATCCAATTCTTTTCTTGGCAACTTGAGATTTGCCATCTTGGCATAATGGTTCATGTACGACTTGACAGTGAAGAAACCATGCAACTGGTCGTCTTGTGGAACAAATGATGAGTGTCCTGGCAAGTGAACTGTTTCAAAACAAAATCGCAACAATTTTAGATGGGTTTACGAAACGGAAAGCGGAACAATCTAGTCGCTTACTGTCTGCCACGGCTTTGGAGTTTGACGACAACGAGTCGGTCAAGACGTTCAAGAGTGTCGATTTTCCAGCTCCAGAAGGACCAAGGATTGCCGAAACACTGCCCTCTGGGAACAGAAGGTTCATCTCCTTCAGAAGCTTCTTCTTTCCAGTGGTGGTCGAGACGTTATCAATCAAAGCATATCCATCGTCCTCGGTAGGATGGAATGTTGCAGAAACGTCGACCAAATTTGCTTCTGTAGGATCCTTCGAATTCAACAACAAGTTAAAAGAAGGTTAGATCAAAGTCTGTTAGTTTGATGTTTTGTAGGAATATCAATGTGAACTTACGACGGACATGGTTGTTTTGTGCTTTGTTTTCTTGCGCAAATTCGATCGTTTTGTTTTTTGTGTGATATCGAAATCCTTTTTCTGTGCAGGAATCGCAGCTCTGCCTGACACACCATCGTTGAATAAGCGCGAAAACTTAAGGGCGAACCTGAAACTGAACTTTTCTGCGCAACTGGGCCAGTTTGATCAGAAATTGATAAATTGGAGAATAAGCGCGAAAACTTATAAGGCCACTTCCACGCGAACCTGAAACTGACGATTGGCCGGACTTTTCTGCGCGCAGTTTCCGTTTTGAAGAAAAATCGTTTCCGCGTGATCGTTTTCCCTCCAAAACTGGACCAGTTTGCTGAAAATCCTGATCAGAAACTGATAAATTGGCCATTTGGTCAGGCCACTTCCACGCGAACATGAAACTGACGATTGGCCGGACTTTTCTGCGCGCAGTTTCCGTTTTGACGAAAAATCGTTTCCGCGTGATCGTTTTCCCTCCAAAACTGGACCAGTTTGCTGAAAATCCTGATCAGAAACTGATAAATTTGCCATTTCGTCAGTAATCGAAGATTACCCGGGGCTTGAATCGCATGATGTAGTCTTTGTCTGGAGAGATCGCGCACGTATGCTACCATGGAAACTGTGGCAAAAGCCTGATGCTACATACGAGAAGCGAGTACCGGTAGGTTTGGCACAGTAGCGAGGTACTAAGTTAGTGACTGGTTTGCACCGAGGTCGAATCATAGGATTCGAAAAGGACAATTGACAGACAAACCCGGACCAAATGGGGTACCGAGCTATGGTGCAAATGAGAGAGAGGGTGGTGAGGGCGGGAAAAAGCAAAAAAGCTGACGGTCTTGACCGAGCAGCTAAGCTCCTTCTATCGTCTCCATCATCCCACAAGCTCCCATTGCGAACAATGTCTTCTCCAAATCTTCCGTCCTCTTCGTCGACACTCTTCGCTCCGTCCGCCAACCGTGTACTTCACTGAAGCGACGCGCCGCAATCGACACGACGGAGATTGAGACTAAGGAAGAGCTAGAAACGCCCATACGTCTCCCGTCTTGCCGATCAATCACCGAAACTGAAAACTGAAACTGATCAAGTCAAACTGATTGCCTCCACCACCGAACCCGTCGTCGTATTTAGGTATTGCATATATTCGGGCAGCTCGCAGCATGACACAGATGTGCACTTATCGTTGGTAGTCTGCTGATGAAGCCAACCAAACGTGCTGGTGCGAAAACTTCAGCTGCGAGAATCTCTTCCTTTTGTGCACTCTTGCTTTCTGTTAGGATTATCACGAAAGCGGTTTGGGGAAGCAATGATCACTGTGCTGCTCAGCCCTTTTTGGACGATGAGGATGCGAACCAAATTGCAAATTCGGCATATCCAAGCTTTTGTTTTACAGAGAAAGGATCGCTGCACTCAATTGCCCTCGATATGTTCCGGCATTCCAGCCCTCCTGGGTCTCGCTCGTTTCGAAAACTTCGCCATGTACTTCACCGAAACCCATCCTTTCACATCAATTTCCCACGGAAAATATTCAAATCAAATCAAGAATCATTGACTTCAATGTTCACTAGCAACGGTCTCATGCAGGAAACAACCGACATTCCAACAGAATCGAACTGTTCAGATATAACCTTGGTAGAAACTTTGCTCCATTCTCATTGCCCTATTCAAAATCCAAACTTTGTGGATGCTGGTCGCATCATCATCCAGACTGAACAAACCCTAAAGTCACGTCTTGGAGACTGTCATGCATCACTAAACTGCATCATTGTCGAGTTCTCGGATTACAATTTCAGGCTGTTGCAAGAAAAAGGTTGGGGCGATTCCACGATTCTATTACCAACCATGCATCAACATCCAAGCCGACTAGTACTCATTCCACCACCACAAGACAAAGAAGGCACCCTTCGGTTGATTCCATTTGTCAATCGCTCCATAGACGTCTCCTTTTTCGGGCTCATTACGCCTCGACGAAAAAGACTACAAGAAGAGAAAAGAAAGTTCTTGGAGCAGAATCCCAACCGAACAGTGACATTGAAACAAGTTGGTTCCTTAAAGACTCAAGTCATGTCCAAGGCATATGGAGATTCGAAAGTATGCCTTGTGACACATTCGTATAGACAAACGTCAGGAGGTGAATATCACCGACTATCAGAATTTGCACCCTTTGGGTGCATACCGATCATGGAAAAGTTTGCAGATACGATTGGGATCGATCGATACACAAAATGCGGCCGAGTCCTATTTGCAGACTTTGGAAACCTATTCAGTCATGTGGAAGACGTCCTGCGCTCAATCGATGCTGGGGTATATGAAGGACCTGAGGAATTCGCTCATGTCAAATGGTGGAATAAAGGAGTACAGTGGGATTCACTACTGTCGGACATATTCTTATTTGACAGCCAAGAAGGGGCACGAGCATCATGACGTAAAGGAATGTCAACTGAAACCAAAAAAAATCTACACTGAATATGCCAGAATATTGTGTTTCGTAATATACAGTAAGGGATCATGATAAATTACTTAGTTTCACAGATACCGCTCACTATTCCTTGGGAAAATTGCAAACAAGCTCGGATTCGAATTCGACCAGCCTTTCAGAATATTCAATATGGCCAGAACCGCACAGTGCTCGCACCCATCGGTAGCTGGACTAGCGCAAGCACCGCCGTCAATCTCTTCGTCACTGATTTAGGAAGGCTCCACACATACTAAGAATAAAGCCTTCTCAATACTTGCCATATCCATCGCTGGCAATAGCACCATGATTGCAATGTGTGCAGACGGCTAAGCTGCCAAGCTGTGTTGAACTATCTTGTTGTACTTGCTCGTTTGTAACCTGATGTCACATGATATGATGGTGATATGATTGTTTTTGGCAGTGAACATGGCGTCGCGACGCGGCTCTACGTTTTCGTTTCCGGCGAACATTCTGATGCAAAGTTGTCGGCTGCTCCTGCCCAGCTTCGCACCCATGTGAAGAAGACCTACCTAGGACGCAGACACAAGCGGAAGGCACCAGTCGGCTATCTTTGATAGACAGCGACACCGAAGAATATACACCGAGAGGTAAGCATGATGAAAAATGTACCATGTGGGAGTAACATTTTAAAACTTCTTTGCTTAGCTCTCAATTCAATTCAAATCATCCCAATACGAGTCGCCATAATCGTAGGATAGCTCTTCTCCCGCCTCGATATCTCTCATTGCAACAAACCAGACTCGAGGCTCCGCTGCCTCCAAGTCTGACGAGTAGACAACGCCATGGATCCGGGCCTCCTCTGCTGCTGCTGCTGCTTCTGCTGTGCATTTTCGTACGCTGTAACTAGTTTCCACATTGCAAGCCTTGGAGTTTTCCGTCGCATGATTCATAAAACGACACCATCCACTAATGTCCGCATCCTCCCCATCCAAAAACTTGTTTTCACCTAATTCAAACAAGTAGTCACCCGACAAACCTTGATCTCGTTTCTTTCGACTTTTGATCCAACGGCGATCGGACGTCTGTTTGGACCGAGTTCCCCAATAGCGTGCTTCCACCTGATTTCGCGTCAATATCTCTCCCTTGTACTCGCCCACCAGTTCGCCACTTTCAATGCGTTGCAAACAAAAGGCACCCAAGCCTTTTTTACCGGCTTCGGCGATACGAATCTTGTGCAATTTGGCAGAAGCCCGAGAGGGACTTTCCAAGGACAGCGGTGGGCGTCGATGTTGACTCTTGTGCTTTGATAATGATAGTAGTGTTGATGATGACCATTCCAGTGGCCGTCGGTTATTCCTGGATTGTGCTCGAAGATCACGACGATGATCATGATGAATTCTTTGATGATTCGCAAGGAAGAAGGAGGACCATGCTGGGTGGATGAATAGAGCCGAAAATAGAACAAGAGTATAGCGTTTGCTATTCTTCAGTAATGTATCTAACATGAATAGTGATCAACTGCCGTTTCACCAACAACGTATGCTGAACCAGATACCCGCCCAGAATTGTGATGCAATAGGATGATGAGGAGGATGATGATGATGATTCATCGACTTCTCATGGAACATTTGCGAACATTGAAGTTTCACTTCGGATCCGGCATTTTGGACTCATTGGAGTGCGTAAGACGGTCAGACGACGAATTGAAACCTAAAGTATCAGTAGGGACATACTTTACAGTATGAAACCATGTTCAATGATATGTGCATGATGTAAGAATCTTCAGGATTATCTTTTGAGGGCACTGCTCCTGTGACCGATAAAGCTACTACTGAAGTTGCTGAAAACAAAGGTAGTCGTCTCATTCTCGCTGGTCTCCTCCTCCCTTTTTACATACTAGCGCGACATACAAGGACCACGGCGGCGACGATCATAGTGGTGTAAGGTTAATTGATAATTGTAGGTCGAGAGATATTATATAAGCTCTTGTGTTTTGTGGAAGCTATCATGCATTATGCAAAGCGTTAGTTGATAACGTTCTTGCAGATCACGATTTGAGATTTGAGGCAAAAACCCTGTCATTGCCAACGTCTGGCCTTGTATACGTCGCGTTTTCCGAAATTCAAAAGCACCACGCAGTACGAGTATTTTATTGTATCAACGCACTATCTATCAACTCTGAGTTGCGAGCGTTTCCAGTCAGTCGACATTCTCTTTGTTACATACGTCTCTTGGTTCCATTTGACGCTTCTTGATTCTTCCAGTGCACACATTCCAGCACATTCCAGCACATATTGCAAACTTTCTACAAAAGCAGCATTCTACTGTATCTATCCATCAAAACAAGACAGATCCAAATCACATACTGCATAGCCACAAAACAATGCCGTTCATGACGCCTTCCCCGCAGAAAAAGGCAATGGATCGCCGACAACTGATCAAGCCATCAACGCATATCCCATGGTCCGTCGATGTGGTCTCTGTCGTCCCCAAAGTTTTGGTGGACAAGTTGCAAAGTCAAGAAATTACAGCTTCGGCCAGTTGCCCCGGATGGGCCTGTGTCTCGACGGGCGACGGTATGGTATGGATTTGGAGAAATCGTACGAGCACCCAATCAGATGCCACGATTGAACCACCCAAACCACTCAAGATTTTCCTTCCCGATATTATGAATAATGCGGATGGCGGCCATCCTCCCCAACTGGCACTCACCGGGGATGGGGAATCCGTCCACTTGTATGTTTTGTTTCGAGAATGGCTCTTTTTGCGAAAGCTGACACAAAAGGATTGGACAACACGGCAAGTTGGCGCCCGATCCTATACTGCCAAGCTACGAATTGCTCTGGAAGACGAAGACAGCGGAAGTATGGATCCAGAGATTCTAACCACGCTCGCTGCGACACCCACTGGAAACGCCGCTTCCTTGATGGTGATCTTGGGTTCTAATAAAGGAAACCTCTACTGGGTCACGCATACGGCAGTTCCAGTTGGTATGCAACTCCAAAAGATTGCTCCACCTTCTTCCGGATTGTGGAATCGTTTGATTGGTTCCTCGCCAACTCCTCACGAGGAATCAGATCAAGACCAATGGGTTCTTCCTTTGGATGCCTCGCAATTCTGGGTCATTTCTACTTCGAAGCTCACCCTCTGGAAGGTCGATCGAACGAGTGCCCCACCCACCTTTGAGATTGTGCAGCAGCTCGAAAACTGGAACTCTTTGGAATTTCGTGTGGAATCCTTGCTGGAGGCAACTCTCTTGATGCCCTCTCGTGAAATGGATCAACAAAATGCCACCATGCATTGCATTGTGAGAGGAACCGGGGGACGTCGTTCGTCTTCGAGCGATGGCAGCAAACTCTACTGGCTTCAAGTAAACCTTCATACTGCCAAGGTTGAAAAATCCCATTGGCTGTCTCGGTTCGCATCACCGGACAATGTGGGAAGCTTGGGACTGGCTTGCACTCCCAATGGAGATGCCTATGCTGCGTTCCATGCGTCGGGTACAATCATTGTCATGGTCTTGCTGGGAGATGACATTTTGCAAGAGGTTGACTTGCCCTACAATCAAGTGCCTATGTTGGTTCCGAACATGTTCCAGTCGGACACTGTGACTCATGGTTGTAACATGGTAGCATCCTCAGGAATTGGGTTACGGGCAAGATACTTGTCCTCTTCTCCGTCTTCCTCCTCCATGATGACGACCAGCCCTTCCAAAAAGCGAGCCCGTCATTATGCTTCTTCTGCCACAAATGTCAATTTGCTGGTCAATCACTTGCGCAGCTTCTTTTGGCAGTCCTACCAAGATCCAACTTCTGTGTCCATTCATAATATGCCACCGTCACTACAACAGGCCTCTCAAGACGAACTCGAAGCTGCAACGGTTCAATTTGGATACGAACTACAACAAAAGGGAGACACCTCCTCTGCGAACAATCCTATGGAATGGCACAAGGCATATTGCAGCCTTCTTCAACAAGGTGGTCTTTATAGATCTTTGTCCCCGGCTGTTCGATGGCAACTATTGGGCATGGGACAAGAATTGGCCGTCTTTGGTCAATTGGCAAGAATTCCCCTTGCGAATCCCAGTAGTGGTGCAGTTAGCATGGACACTAATAGCAGTGTAGACGCCTTGCGACCCTATGATATTGGTCAATGGCTCATTAATCTCTATCAAATGGACCCATCCAGCAAGAATTACACAGAGTCTGAGTGGAACGAACTCTTGACCATTGCCCTCGAAACAGCAATTGACTACCGCCACGAAATGGCGTCGCCGATTTACGACATTGTCGTGCCAACCGATGACATGGAGGCACTTGGTAGGAAGATTCCAGAAGTCCCACTCTGGACGTCCCAACCAGCACTCCAAGCACTGCTCAAGCTGCAGCTGGAAGAATGGAAACGATCCAATGCCAAATCCGAAGAAGGGGGTCCTGTGGATTTGGTGCATGTAGAAGCAGTGGTCAAGGCGGCTTTGATTTCCTATTCGGAGGCTACGCAAGAAACGGCAAAGAAATCATATCCACAAGTACGAGCATTGGCATTGGATCTGCTTCGATCTGTCGCGAAAGAAGGGGAAGACGAATTGGCATTTGAATTGTCAATTCAATACCACCACTTTCGTGGACTCTGTCAAATCTCAGTGGACCATGAGAAGAAATTGGATGCCGCAGCCTACTCATTGGATCAACTATTTGGAAAGATTACTGAAGTAGACATTGAAACGGGATACTCGTTTGCTCAGTACGTTCTGCAGTGGCATACCGACAACGGGTTGTATGGGCACGCTATCAATTATGGCCGTCACGCATCGAACGATCTCAAAGTGCTAATGGAGAAAGACGAGCGTTTGCAAAAATACCAATGGATACCAGCCATTAGACAACAATATTATGGACAAGCAACGGAGTCATGTTTGCAGTTTGGAGACAAAAGCAACCTTTTCAACCATGAGTGGTCCCTAAGTATGGCCAAGCTCGCGAACAAGCTAGTGGTGAAACAAGACAAAAAGCGCACCGTTGCCATTGAAAACCAATTGGAACTTGTGGATGCTCAACAAGTGCTCCTGGAAGACTCTCTAGTAAATAACCTCACGGAAAGCGAACTCATGTTACCAGAAGCGCTTGTCCAACTGGCATTAAAGAAGCTTACCAGTGGAACTTGCATGGAGGATCGAGTCAAATTTGGCACGGTGGCATTGGCTGTCTGTGCGGCCATGGACGACCAGAAGATAGCGTCGCAATATGCTGCCACTGTTTGGGCAAATTGCTTTCGCTTGGACGACACCTTGTGGAATGCGTGGACGCAACACGAGGATATCATTACAAGAGAAAGCTTTTATGAGGACACTCTTTTTGGGAAGCTGCTGGAAGATTGCCGTGAAGAGCCCAAGATGGCCGATGTCATCTATAGTCGACACATTGAACATTATGTTTTGGACAAGTTGGATGTGACCGACGCCAACAAAACGGAGATCTGTCGTCTACTACGAAGCGTCACTGCGGTGGATGATGACATCCAAGGGCAATCGATGATAGTCGCTAAGATGGAGTAATGCTGTGCCGTTGAGACAATTGCTAGAAGCAGCTGCGGTCCTTGGGTGTAGTTTTGTTACCCAGGTAGCGATTCTCTTCATTACCCCTATTCTTGTTGTCGACACGCCCGATTCAATCGCTGGCTACCAAGCAGTCTTAGCTTTTGTAATATTAGAAGCGCTACTTTCAGGCAGAATTTTTTATTGTTTGTGTAATGATGCCTAATGTAGGTTCGTACTCGCAACAGATACCGGTGCCCGATACTGGTGCCTAAGCCTTCATAAGCTACCCATTTTACTCAAGTAACGGATACGACCATACCAACATGACAGCACCGCTTCCCGTCCGCTCAGCGAAGTTAAGCATGTTCGGGCCTGGTTAGTACTACGGTGGGGGACCACGTTGGAATCCCAGGTGTTGTGTTCTTTTGCCTTTTATCATTACAACTTTACCGATGGAAATAATAATGGAGAAATAATGTCTCCGGACTATGCCCTTTTGGTCAGGAAAGGTGAGGCTGGAGAGCCTTGCCACATTATGCTTCTATCCAATCCGGTCTTGACACAACCAGATATCATGGATTCCCAAAACTTTGGAGCTCCGGCTCTTGGAAATCGGTTCTGGCGGACATCAGACTGCTGGTCTTCGTCCAAACCGATTGACAACGTTGTGGCCCATCAAGCCATGATTGCCAACCAGCCGTGCCAGCATGCGACCCATCAAGTCGTCATGCATAGGCACTAACCATAGCGATCTCCGATCCATCTGATATGAAATAATCATCTCTACAGGAAATAACTATTCTAAAAGACTTGTTATCTACATGGAATGGGCAAAGCAAAAGCCTGGCACGAAAACTCAAATTTCCCAAACCTTTACCGGATGTTTGCAATCCGGACGTGTCGAACTGCTTCTATCAAGGAGTTTTCCAATGAATGGTCTCCAAGAGAGCAATTCCAACACCGGCTCTTGGGAACATTGTCAATAATGAGCTTGCTCGTCAGTATGTTAGCAATCCCACAAAACAGAGCCATTTTCTGTTGGGATCCATGTCTGGGCATACTTTTGGTGCGCCTCTCACTGAAGGTGGCCTGGAATTTGCCCAAGAAGCTCTTCTCCCCATGTCCTGATGACGGACGGTACCGCAATTAGTGCCAAGCCCTTCAATCAAGACACATGGAAAATTCACTTTTTCCCACAAATGTCTGCATGTCCTGTGGGCGTTGTTTGGCCTGTGGGCGATAGATTCGAGGAGTTTCAAGCAAGTATTTCAAATTGAAAGAAGGTATTCCACGGTTTTCTACATCTACTGAAGACAAGGAAGACTGCAATCGAAGATTGGTTCAAGGCTAGTATACAGGAGAGTCCAGAAAGCTACGCTGTCCCGGTTGTGGATGAAACTAGCACTACTGTAGGATTCTACGGTATGATAATACTCAAACTAAACTAAAGTTTGGCACTCGATGCTGTAACATCTGTTTTGAGAAGAGTTGAATGAGTGTTTTGCCACAGGTGGCAACACCTCACTGGACGGACATAAATGCAGGGCACCAAGCAGAAAAAAATAATACAGAGTAGACTTTCTAAAACCATTGGATATGGTCCATGGAAACTATGGAAACTATGCTCTTTGGAATAAACTACTCCTTTTTTGTACCCGTCACTAGCACCCAAATTCCCTCGGTGTCTTCCACGATAACATCATCGAAGAACGGCTTGTAGGCCTCCAAAATCATGTCGGATTGTGACTCCATTATGCCGCTTAGCCCCAACTTCCCTCCCGCCTTCAGTAAACCTGCTAAAATAGGTGCCAACGATACCAGAGGTCCTGCCAATATATTTGCCACACAGGCATCGTAGATGGGTCCATTCATATCATCCGGCAATGTCTCCGCAACATCTCCCTCCTTGCTACTGTAGGCCTTAAGCAACAGGCTGCGAGATTCGTCATCCTTGGTCTGCACCAAGTCGCTCAGGTAGTTCTTCATGTTGACATTGTTCATTTCGGCATTTTGGTTACCGATGTGTACAGCATCGACATCAATGTCTACTCCCACAGCGCTAATTGTATCGTCCAGTTTGCACGCGGCCATCCCGAGGACTCCCGAGCCCGCACCATAGTCCATGACCAATTGGACACGATCGTCTTGAGAGGAATCTTTCTCAATGATATTAGAAATCCAATTCAAACAGAGTTGGGTCGTCGGGTGTTCGCCCGTTCCAAAGGCAATACCTCCTTGCAATTGAATATGCACAGCATCTTCGACGTTGACGTTGGATTCCTTGAGTTTTTGTTCCACAAGATCGTCCGAATGCCATGGAAATCGAAGACAAAATGGAGGAAGAACTATTGGATTCCAGGATTGTTGGACATGAAGCACCCAATCCTTATTTTCCACTTGCTCGACGGAATACTTGGGCAAGTCTTCAAAGGTCTCTTGAACAATTTCCATGATCCATTGAAGGTCTGTCGAAGCCGGAAAATGGGCTGAAACATTGCAATTGTTCCAAACATGGGTTGTCACGGCGGTTCTGGTCATGGTACCCGTATCGAATTCGTGGAAAATGGCCTGTTCGTCGCGGGTTCCCTTGTCCGAATCCGTAATAGCCGTCGAGCAAGCACCGAGTTCCATTAAAAAGTTGCATAGTAGTTGGGGTTCTTGATCTTCTTGGAGTCCAGAAAAGGTGATGGATCGAATGGCAGAAGCATCACCTTCGCTTTTAGTCTCAACGTTCGTTTCGGTGCTCTGCAAAGCGGAAGGAGAAAGATGCGGTGATGGCAGGAAGTGTGATTTGGAAAGTGAAGCTAGTTGGAAACCTTGCACGCCATAACTAGTGGAAAGATGAAACGCATTCGCCGCATTTGCGAGAAGTGTTATTCTCAAAATCATCAGAAGTGACATGTTATATGGCATCTTGATCGTTTTATTGAAGCTTTTCGTGGTGATGGATTGGATGGATGACAGATGTTGTGATCGAACGAGTCGATTATGAGTAGTTAGATACCGTTAGACTGCGAATACCGACAAAGTTGAAATCCAAAACCAGCAGTGTCCAGTCGACAGTGTGTATCCATAGTATAAAATGCAGTTATATTACTATTTCAGAAAGTACATAAGCCGACAAAGAGTACGAGAGCAGCTTTCGAATGTTATTCAAACATTTCTATGAAAGTTTGAACTCGATCAAGTACTCAGGATACGCTTGGGCATCGTGGTATGTGACATAGATGGACGGGTTGGACATGTTATCGCCATGTAAAAGTCCGACGGTCGAGTCATAAAGGGTTTGGGTCTGGACATCACGAACATCAGGGGTCAAGCCATTTTGTACACCTGGACAGTATTCTCCAACTGTGACACGACATGCCATAATGTACTGGTGGTTTTTCGCGTCCGGCACGGAATAGGTGGGGTATGCAGAGTAAGATGCATCACGAGCAAAGTAAACGCCCTTGCCATACACCGTGGCATTTTTTCCACAGAACGAACGGTTGAATCCCTGTTGCACAATCTTGTCCTTCACCTCCACATTGGTACCGTGCCAGAGCCAATGTCGTTCAAACCGCTCGATCGCCTTTTCGCGTGCATGTTCAGTTGCATCAGCACCAGCCTCCCGATAGCAGATTGTTTGCCGCTTGACGACATAACTTTGCCACATGGCCAAGTTTTGAATACGCTCAACATTCATAATCTTCACCTTCTTGTTGAAGTTTGGAGGTTTCAACGTCGACTTGAATGCCTTGATCACAGCTTTGCGTTCCGGGTCATCCTTTCCTAAAGAATGCCGTTGGACAATAGACGGATCGTTGACAGCATCCCAATAGCTTGGAGGGTCAAGCGCGCCTGTGTCACCGACTTTGTTTTGCAGAACCGCAAGTTGTTCTCCTGTTGGAATCTCAGTATGCTCCACTGGAAACCATCCAGTATCAGTGAAGACGTTAGCTTCATCAGTTGCAACGCCTGTCGTCGCAAGACGGACAAGCTCGCGAGCGACGGCTTCATCTTGGTGATGGAGCTGTAAAAAAGTGGCGGTGTGTTAATATTGGACAGAATTCTGCATAGCGATTTTCAGCGCTATTCGTCGTACCTTTGTTCCAAATGCCCAGCCATCTTGGCGCTGAGAAGAAATTTGAATTACGTCGCCTGCGACCAAGGCCATCTGCGGTTCATCACAGATCTCCTCGGGCAACGAATCACCTATCACAACATCATCCATATCGATTTCCTTGCGCTCATTTCGCGCTTGTTCCTGCAAGGCATCAGGTACTTGCTCTACTCGAAGGACGTCTCGTTCGAATCCAGTCGCCTCCTTTGTCTGGATCATCTTCTCCAAGTCGACTTTGTATCCAGGCAAAGGATAAATGATACGATTCTGCTTGGTTTGATTCGACAAATACTGTTGATACACAGTTTCCAGGTTCATATTTTGGGCGGCGTCATACTTTATCCAGCAGTCTCTCGGATCTCCAACAATCTTGTCTGGGGCGTGATTATCCATCATATGAGAAGTTTCCTTCCAGCACCACTGGATTTTGGATTTGGGTGGAGGTTTCATTGGAACGATGTCTTCAATTGATTTTCCTGGGAGTATCATCGATTGGCGTATGGTTTTCGATCTCGGGAGGTAGAGCGTTGTAGCTGTCCTCATCCCAACAACCGAATTTCGAAATGCTTCCAGTTCCTCCTCTTTCTCGGCAATGACCGCCTTCTGAGCTCTCGAACGTAGAATCTTTCGTCGACGATACCACCAAAATCCGCCGGCAGCTATCAATATCAACGGAACGATGACTGCTGCCAGCAAACCGGCATCGAGTTCTGAGACGACTCCACTACCATCACAAGGACAATCACATGCAATGCCACCCTGGCAAACACACACCCCATCAACACATTGTCCACCGTCACCTAGTTCACACTGTTGTTGGCCTTCGCCTTCTGGGCAAGCTCGGACAACTAAAGCATCGAAGAACACTCCTCGGTAAGTATTTCCATTGTCATTGCGGTCAGTGCTAAGAACAATGTCAACAGAATTCGTATTCAAGTCAAATGCACTCTTCACAGTACAAGAGCCTTTGCTCGTATCACATACACCCGTCTGAATGGTTCCAACGAAAGCTTAGTGACAATATTTGACATCCAGAAACAGTACAAGTACTAAGAAAGAACGAAACTTACCTGCCAATCATTAGAGCATTGTTCGTCCGAAGAACAACTTTCCGAAAATATCTCTGTAGACCCGATGGTAAGCTTGTCGCCAACGGAACCGGATCGGTGTGGTTCCAAATCAAAAGGATCAGTAAAAGCGATTCTCATCGACCCCGTACCAGTGGCACTCAGTGACCAGGTACAAGTTGAGGAGATCGGACGCAAAGAAAGGTCGTTTCTTTGACTCATGACTCGGCCAATTTGAAAAAGTGGGTTGGTATAGATTCCTGATGACACTGGGGCAAACTCATTCTGGGCAATGCAATGATCTATCTCACAGTTGTACCCAGTCTGGCCAGAGTTACAAGAGGCAGGAGATCCAAAATCGCTCCGCACATCTCCAGAGAAACCAGAACGTCTACCTCTGGAGTCGGTCACGAGACGAATCGTGACCGAGCCGTTAGCGTCTGTGGGAATGTAGTAGGTTTCCCTCATCCCATGCGAACTACCCGTCAAGGTAGTGTAGAGCGAATTTTTGGAATTCAACGAGCCCGTGTATAATTCCAGCACATCAAAAGTCGTTTCCAAGTCATATTCGACTTCAAACACAATGCTGTTTCTACCAGGACCAGAATTTAGTTCAAAACGACAATCCAAATCGTTTGGATATAACTGCGTGGCACCTGCCAGTCCCGATTGTAGAGCGTTGGAACTTGCAATTCTAGTACCAATGCCAGATGTATCTAAGTAGGTTGTTCCAAGACAATAGTCGGTAAAGGAGCAATCTCCGCCCCAGTGTAGTCCATCGCATTGGCACATCCCGTCGCTATCGCACGGAAATCCGTTGCATGAACAAGTTTGGCTCGTGTAATCTTGAGCTATTGCCACGAACCCATCGCCGCTATCACTGGTAGGATCTCCGTAAGACCGCTCTTGATTGGCATCGGTCACAAATTCCACCAAGAGACAACCAAGTGCCCTAAGCGGAGGCAGGCTTTGAGCCAGATCAAAGCCACTAATCTGAGCCAGGAGCACCAAGCTTGGATTGGATGGTAAACAATCATTAGCATATCTGCTGCTATACAGGCGTACACTGTCCCCAGACCAGACCTTGACTCTCTGAAAGTTGATTTCCACAACATCGTTTGGGTCGTCTCGCAGGACCCTCCAACTGCATTTCAAGTTATCTTCATGGTCAGAAATGAAAGCGGTTTTGTTAGGAGTACACTCCAATATGGATACCCACACATGATAATGCAATCGTACCAGAGTAACTCTTTCCCGCGATTGCGTCTGCTCCATCCGAAATTTGAATGGCCCTGTTGCTTAGATTGATCAATCCTTCTTCGGGGCAATTGGAATCTCCAGAGGTTCTTCCAATTTCTGAATTAGCAAAGACATTTCCTGACAAAAAGGTGGAGGAAGATATGAGGGAGCCATACTGTTGTACTCCGATATCCAGAATTTCTCCATTCAACACATCACTTCCGCAAAAAGTATTAGAGTCAAGACAGGATCCACTGTCGCCCATATCCCCCAACAGGCCCATGGACTGAATTATCTTTTGATCGAGCAAAAAGTCAGCTGTTTGCTGGATGGCTTCATGCAGTAGACTTGGTCTGCGGCAGATCCCCAACCGAGGAGGTAGATAGTCACAAGATGCTTGCTCGGTGATACTCTGCTGAATATACAAATCCAAGGCTCTTCGTTCTTGGTTGATAAAGTCAATGGATGGGCTTCTTGGCGACTGGTCCGCTTTCATAATGCTGTCAGCTAGACTTGGCAAAAAGGAAATGACCCCATTTGTCTGGGGTGTCCAACGAGCAACATTGGCCGAGTCGCCGGTTCCCAGATTGTCGATAAAGGAATCCGTCAGCACGCCAAAGACAGCTGTAAAGTATCTTACAAAGTTAGTATGTTCGGTTAGAAATGGTCGTCTGGCAGCAACTACCCCGAAGGTAGGTCGACCCCAGTCTCCCATGACTCCTGCTGTTACCAACGTGTTGGCCACACTGGAAGTATCGCCGCTTCCACCTAAGACGTGCTCTCGGGCTTCGCCCCAACAGGCGGCCGCATCAATGGTTCCATCGTCCCATGCTTCAATGATTTCAGTGGGGGACAGATTCAAAAGGCTGACACTGCCAGTAATTCCAAACAAGTCTAGAATGTACAAAACCTGATAGTGCATGGTAGACCCAAAAGGAACTCCCAGTGTGCGATTCACCAAATCAAACGGATTCTCAACGCCCACATATCCATCCGAAGAGGGACGGACATAGACTCCCTGAGATTCGCCCTTGTAATCTGTAATGTAAATGACCGAAATGTCAATTTCTCGTGCCAATGCTTGGGCCAGTGGTGTGGATCCCATATCGGCAAGATCCAATTGATCGCTGTCCAAACGGGAGGCCACAAAGGCTCCAGATGTTTGTGGATAGCAGGCTACCTGATATTGGGTATTGCCATCCACGAAATTGAGCCATCCACGGGCGCAGGCGACACGAACGGGTCGGGCTTCGGGAAAGTAGCCATACCGAACCTTGACAGTTCTCGTTTGTGCCTGTGCTGCTAGAATCATGGCAGAAAGGAGGAGCAATCCAAAGATCCTCCACATTGGAAATAATTTTCGTGATGCTGACGCTCTCATGGTTGATTGAATGCTCAAGGGCGTCTCAATGTGGCAATGATGATGATGTTGATGATATTGAATTGTTGAATGATTTCGTGGTGCTTTTGAAAAATGAGTGTTCGATCAATCAATCTTGTTCTGCAAAGGCAAGAAGAAATTCGTGCGCACTTCAGTAAAGGCTGGTAGTTTTGTAAGAAGATGACAGTATAGACGTGCCAGTTGGCTACGGTGAGTGGCAGACGCAGTTGGTATTCGTACTGCAGGTATGTTTTATTGTTCACGACGCGTTTTGACAACAAGAGGTCGAATTCGCATCGCTTTTCGAAATTTCTCGCCTTGACATGATCTAAATCGACTCACTCGAGTCCAAAATTGACCTCTAACTGACTGCAGTTCCAAGTACGAAGGTTGGTAGGTTTTCAAGAAGATGCTAGTAGCCAAGTTACCTTGTACCAGCTGGCTACAAGAATTCTAGGCACAGAGAGGTCGGCGCATTTGTTTTTTCGTATGTTTTTGCTCGCAGCAAGCTCCGTGGTGTAAGGTTGAAGAGTGATGAAGAGGTCGGAGTTCGACGAGCGATTACATTCGAAGTTCGAAAGTGAAGGCAATCACAATCTCCATAGAATTGAGTCAGTCCATGCAGCCAAGCGAAGTCCGACCTCTCGTCAAAGATTGGGAGGGGGGGGTTCTCTTGCTTGCTGAATGAATGCAAAGCTAACTTGGTTTTTCTAACAATTATAAGATATAAGAGGTCGGAGTTCCTGCCTGTACACGTGTACGGTGTGTGGGAATTCAGAATCGATACAGCGTGTACCTGGTACACGTTTACAGGGTCGTTCTCCGCGTCACCCACCCCCCCCGGGTCGTATGTAAAAATGTACTGGAAACTTAATTTTGTTAAAACTACAAGACGGCAAACAGACAGACCGCCCCCCTATTATTTGGGAGACGAAATTGAAAAATTAATCAATGGAGAGCGTGCAGCCGTTATAGACCAGGTGCATGCAAACTCGCACTCGCCCCGCACTCGCCCTTCTCATGTCTTGCATTTTTCCATTACTTTGTCAACACATCAGAAAGAAATTGATTTCCCAGAAAGCCCACGAAACACCCAGTTCCACTCCAGCCTTTACGCGACAGCAGCGGTGTTCTCTTTCTGTCACATTGTAGTCTCCATGTTTACAAGAAGTCCAAGCTTCGCCCCATCTTTTGTGTCGCTGAGAAGATGTTTTCACGAAAGTATCTGTCCAAGACAATAGAAGAGGAGGCCGTAGATGCGGTCCCAACTTGATTCTTCCTTCGTTGCGTGTGTTTCACATGGATTATATCTTCCACGCATGCGTTACAAACATGAACATAGGCATGTTGAAGCATTCCAAAAGTCGTAGGTCTCCAATGTGCCGTGTCGGAATCCTCTTTGTTTCTTGCAGGAATCGTAGTCTCCGGTAGTTCACATTGCTTCTTCAACAGCAATCATAGTCGTCTCCCATCAGTTGAGTGTCGGAAAAGAACAGAGCGTTGCTTTGAAAATGAATTCCAATCAAGCTTTGTTGGAGTTTTCCAAAAACCAAAATTCAATCCCATTTTTTTGCCTCCTTTTTTTTTCCCGCCCAATTTTCCCTCCCAATTTTCCCTCCCAGTTTTCCCTCCACCCCACACAACCCACGGACAACACGGTTTCGTTTCAATATAACCCGCAAGAAATAGAATATTCGGCCCGCAACTGCAAGCGGCCACTTCTCGATTATTTCTCGGGAACCTTCCAAGCTAATACTAAAAGCTAATACTTAGTGAAGGAACTTCGGATACAGAAGACTTTGTTTAGTGTCAATTGACTACATTATCTTTCTCATCTGTAGTCTTCCAATAATGTTTAGTGTCCATCAACTACTTCTTTTTTTGCTTTCTCATCGTAGTCTTCAATAATCCGCTGCCACAAATTGTCCTTCTGCATGTCGTCCAAAACAAAGTATTTCATCTCATCCAACAGCTGTTCAGAGCAAACATCCTTGTAATTTTGCTGGAAGACAGAGATTTTAATCTGTCTGTCAGGATGACTAGTATTCCACATGTCGACGTTGGTCCTCATCCTCGTTAGGGATTCTGCCTCGCAACCACTTGGCAGCTTATGACCCATATGGAACGTTTTGTAGTGCATGCGCATCTTTTGACAGTATGTATGAAACCTTGGCAGCAAAACAAGGTCCAGCCAACCAGCTTTTGACGGTTGTGCAAGCAGCGTAGGTGACGACTCCATTTCAGTATCGGTACCCATTGGCTCCTCGTCGTCGCTTGGTACTGCATACCGTTCTTTTCTACTCACTCTAGCTTTTTTTTTCTTTACCCCCACCTGCTTCGGTTTCAGCTTCTGAAGGAGGATCTCAGGTGCCCTTGGCAAAAGTTGCTCCGCGCCCCCATTTCTGTCAAGACCAGATGATAGTCTTTTGTGACGCAAACTTGCAAAGCTGTGTAGATCGTTACCCTTTAATGAACAGAGCTTCCTACCCTTGCCAACCACAACTGGATCGTGGCATCTCTCGACAGGACATGCAACAATGAAAGAGATTTTGTTCGGCATGCTCGGATAACACCAAATTGAATCAAAATTTTGTTTAGCACCTGCAGGAGCGGCAGTGGACTTGTCCG